CTGAATATCTTAGATAACTTGAGAACCATCTTGTATCTAAGAGACAGAAAGCAATTTCAAAGCAAGGTAGAGAGACAATGAGACATTCCGTTCTGGGCTTATAAGGGGGGTTTTGAGCCATGAAACACCCGAACGCGGAGAAAGTGACCGACAACCTATCCAGAGTTCTTCGAGAAGCAGGATATCAAGGTGAATATCTGGTAGGCTTATAAGTGTTCATTTCTTTGTTGAAAGCCTATGCATACATGTACGTAGTACCTCCAGGTTTTTTTGTAAGGTGACCTAGCAGATGACACAATCATCACCACAGTCCGCAACAATCAATTAAGTGGGTCCTAGAAGGTTCAGATTGGATTGATTGATTACCGCTTTAAGCCTAGTAGTTACCTATAGGAGTTTAAGCCCTACCTAGATAGGTAAGTGGGTCTAGGAGAGTGACCGGATTGAATTGATTGTTGCGGAGTCTAATCATCACACGACTGTATCCAAGAAAAGCACATTTGCGATTGTACACTGCTGTAGATACCTAGATAGGCGATTACAACTTTGGAGATTATCTTTCATTTCCCAAGACCCGTCACACCAGACCAGAGAAATTCCGCAACCAAGAAAATCCCGAGCGATGTCAAAAGGCAAACATCTTAATCGTGTCGTTTACACATGCGCACACCTGAGATCAATCAAGCTAGCTTGATAGCTTGATTGGAAGATTGATGCCAAGCCAATTCAATCAATCCAGCCAAACCTCATACAAAAACGCAATCAATCCAGCTGAGCTTTTCCGTGAGCTTGATTCAGATTGATAGCTTGATTGCCTTAAGTATATAGTAGATTTCGGTGATGAGGCAGCCCATGAGGCAGCTTAGATAGCTGTAAAAGCTCTATACTGAGCTTTTTTTGGTGTTTTAGTTACGCCGTGTAACATTGAGTAATATCCGATAGCTCCGTGTAACTAGCAGCGAGCGCGTCGTCTCATATAGTATACTCCATCTCCATCTCCATCACCCACAATACTATATACTTTTGGTGTTGCAGATCTATCGCCGTATACCTCACCTCATCGTCGCCCTCATGCCGCCCAAAAAACGCGTCTCTGATAGCGCTCCCTCGCCTAGAAAGCGCGCGCGCGGCACTGCGAGCCAGCCCGTCGCGATCGACTCGCAGTCATATCAATCTCCATCACCCACAATACTATATACTTTTGGTGTTGCAGATCTATCGCCGTATACCTCACCTCATCGTCGCCCTCATGCCGCCCAAAAAACGCGTCTCTGATAGCGCTCCCTCGCCTAGAAAGCGCGCGCGCGGCACTGCGAGCCAGCCCGTCGCGATCGACTCGCAGTCATATCAATCTCAGCCATCTGCTCTATCTCCGCCGCCTCCATATACACATACTTTCGAGTCGCGATTGCGCGAGTCGCAGCCCGAAGACGCTATCGTCGCGCCCGCCGAGGGCAGTGAGCAAGCTACGCTCGCTCCGTCTTCTGAAGCCGCCGACGACGCTGTAGATGAGGCTTTTGACGCCCATCTCGAAGACAATTATGATGGCATAGATTGGGGTCGCCTTAAGCTGTATACGAAGCCTATCACGACGCACCAACACAAGCGGAGTTGGATCCATCGCCACGGCTATCGCGTCGCTCTTCTCAAAGATCCAACCCGCGTATTCTTCATCTGCCACTGGTGTTTCAAGCACAAGCTCACGGATATTGGTATTGGGATATACAATACAAGCGCAGCAGTCTCGTCAGCCGCGCGCCACCTCAGCGAGCAGAAACCTGGCCATAGGCTAGTAGCACCAGGCAAGACTCCAGTTGCTAGTGTTTACAACGCGCTCACCACTGCGAGAGTCCCTATCTCACAGGCAGTAGCTAATCAGATTAACGGGTTTAGCAAGCAGCGCTTTAGGTTTGCCGCAGTAGACTGGCTCGTCGCGAACAACCACCCCATCTCTGAGTTCGAAACACCAGCTTTTCGACGCCTAATTGCTATCGCCAACCCACTTGCAGAAGCAGCGCTCTGGAAGAACCACAAGAGCGTCTCCCAATACGTCATACGACTGTTTGACTGGCTCAGGCCCCGCGTTGTCCACGAGCTGTCACAATCGCTTAGCAAGATCCATATAAGCTTTGACGGATGGACAACGAAAGGCGGCAAGCGCGGGTTTCTCGGTATCGTCGCCCACTACGTCAACTCAGATGGCAAGCTCCGAGACCTGCCTATCGCGCTGCCTCAGCTCACAGGCGCTCACTCCGGCGATCGATTAGCTGAGGTTGTATTATCAATCTTAGAGCAGTTTAGCATAAGCGAGCGCACACTCGGTTACTTCGTCCTCGACAATGCCTCTAATAACGACACCGCTGTCGCTGCGATTGCCCACGAGCTTAACTTCAATCCTATACACCGACGCCTCCGCTGTGGCCCTCATACGATCAATCTGATTGGGCAGAGACTGCTCTGGGGCAGAGATGCAGACTCATACAACAACGAGGGAGTTGACGAGCTCGCCGACGAGGCAGCGTTTATAAAGGAGTGGCGAAAGCACGGGCCTTTAGGCGTACTTCTCGATATTGTCAACTATATCCACACACCGCAGCAGTACAATCTTTTTGAGAAGGCGCAGCGTACAGCTTACCGTGAGCTACCTCACGACGCAGACGACAAGCTCACGATACTACAGCCAATCAAGCCAGTAGTCACACGCTGGAACTCATACTTCGACTGTTTTGAGCGAGCTATAAAGCTCGCGCCGGCCATCAACGCGTACGCGAACACCCACATACAAAATACAGCAAAAGAGGATATCTACGCCGACTCACAGGGCAAAAATCGGCCTGCTGCTCCACAGTGGATGAGATCAGACGGCCTCACAGCTGCCGATTGGGCTGTTGTTACCGACTATATAGAGGTTCTTAGGCCACTTAAAGAGTGTACAAAGCGCTTTGAGGGACGTGGCGAGTATAGCTTTGGCGCGATCGCTGAGGTGATCCCAACGTTTGAGTTTCTACTCACTCAATTAGAAGCTCGCCTCCTCTACTACGATTGCGTAGTCCATGACGCTCACGACGAGGCACCCGAAGATCACCTTCCTATTAATCTACGCGCAGCGCTACTTAAGGCGAACGAGTACTACGCTAAACTCGACGACTCGCCAGCTTACTACGCTGCTACAATACTCCATCCTCGCTACAAACACTACTGCGATCAAGCGTGGGCTGAGAAGCCTGACTGGCTGGCGCTTAATAATCTTAATTTCCAGGCACTGTGGGCGGATTACAAGTCGCTGCCGTTACCGAGGCCTTGCTACACACGCGCACCGAAGAAACCGAGCAATATTGACGACGCGATTGACGGCATTATTGATCCCACACGCGGCAATACTAAGGAGGATGAGTATGAGCAGTGGAAGCGCGAGCCAATCGTTGGCAAGGGCACCGATCCTATACAATACTGGTTCGGGCTGCGCGATCAATATCCCAACCTTAGTAAGATGGCGCTTACTATACTCTCTATACCCGCTTCAAGCTGTGAGTGTGAGCGCGTCTTCAGTGAGCTCGGAGATCTACCAGAGCCTCGCCGACGCTGTATATCACCTGAGCTACTAGCAGCACTACACTCAGTACGACGATGGAGACGGGCAGGTTTTGGTGGCGGCGACAACGACGATATGGGCCAATCAAAGCTTACCGACGAGCAGATGGACGTTTTGTACGAGCTTAGCAAGTGGGTGGGCGAAGACGACGATCTAGATACATGGGACGACGGCTGAGACTCAACACCAAAAAATATATACAACTTTCCTATTTGGGAATCAAGCACCCAAGCTACCAATCAAGCTAACAACTTTCCGCCAAGCCAATTCAATCAATCCAGCCAAATCTCATACAAACAGCCAATCAATCAAGCCGGGGGCTGTCAGCTTGCTTGATTGATTGATCTCAGGTGTGCACATGCGCAGCTAATTCAATGATTGGGAGGTCTTGTACTCTTCAGGCACTTTGGCAATAGCTGCGCGCGTGGTAAGATTCATTGTGGGCGGTACCTGTTGCAAACCCCATGTAAACGCCCTGAGAATAAGGGTCTATTGAGCTTGTTCTTTACGTTAGTTCTGACAGGTTACGGTGAAAGAATTCTGCAATCACAACTAATAATTCTTATAGGCATCTAGATGATCGGACCAACTTTGAATAGCCAGTACAATCACAAAACCAAAGACATCAGCCCCCGTAAGCCGGAGTTGGGAACCCCCGGCGTGTACTGCAGTACTAGTCTGGTTTCTGTTAGCGTTATGGTACGTGTTTCTCGGCATAGTGGCCCGTGCGTAGAAGGCTTTGAGTGATGGGTGGGGGAGAAAATCTGAGTGGGGGTCGAGTGCGTCGAGTGCGTAACTCCACAATTGTTGAACGAGACCCTCTGCACCTCTATGACCCCAAGCCGGTTTTTTACCGCTACGCAAACAGCTCTATGCTGCTACGCTAATACTCATGAGAACCGAAGTATGTACCGCTTTATCTATGATTGATCTCAACTGTCATCTCATACTTCCAGACATACTACCTAGGTAGTCACACAGGGTGACGCGCGGCTCCTTGGCTAAGAGCGGACCTGACAGTAAATGAACACACAAACAAAGGATGAACTTTTGAGATAAACTACTGGAAGCATACACAGATTCACGAAGGTCTCATATCGAATCTTCACGTGTAGATGGTTACACGCAAATCTCTCAAGAACGACCTAGCTGGCAGGTCTCTACTACAAATATTACTTGTTCTCCGTAAACACCACTATGATGGGCTGGCTCCAGTATCTAGTACCTGAGATTCTCTTGCCTACCTTTACGTGTCCTCATCGAGTCCTTGGATCTGTCGCTTTAGCATCATCGATTCCACTAACGCCGCGGCTTTGGCCTGCAAGTATTCGTCGAGTGACCGGATTCCTTCACTATTACCTTCAAATATTCTCACAGTACTATTACAAATGGCGTGGCATTCCATACAATGCCATACAATAATCAGATCGCCGCCCTTCCATTCGGATTGGTTTTGAAGTGGTCGGACGGCACGCGGCTTGAAGAAGTGGCGGCAACCTTGATGGCACGGTCTGCGGGCTTTCCAGTACCAAAGGTCATCTCATACGGCGATCATCCTAAATCGCCTCGTGCACCGATGTCAATACTCATGACCCGCATACCGGGAAAGGACATGGGTGACCGTGAGTTGTATGAGAGCATGACCGATGACGAACGTGAAAGCATATTCGCAGAACTCCAATGCATCCTACAAGTCATGCGGAAATGGACATACCCAGGGGGCAAAAACCAGATCTGTTCTGTGTTGGGTACTGCAATCAGGAGTGTACGCATCCCCAATCATGCAGACGGACCGTGTCAATCTGAATCTGAATTCGACGAACACCTGTTCAGTTGCATCTCCGGCCACAGTTTCAACTCCTGGGAGAAGTTCGAAGAGACGGTGGAGATCGCCGAAAGACTGCGAAAAATGCGCCACCCCATTGTTTTTACTCATGGCGATTTCAAACATCACAATGTTATGATTATGAATGGCCATATCACGGCTTTCTTGGACTGGGAATCTGCGGGCTGGTATCCAGACTATTGGGAGTTTACTACACTGTTGAGATTTGGCCGGAAAGACCATTGGTGGAATAGTGGGTGTGGAGACTGGGCGGTGAAAGATACGCAGCGGAATTGGAAAGTGAGAAAGCGCTTATTCCCCTTTCGGTCGATGCCTGGGCATGGTAGACACTTTGTATTGCTTTGTAGCCCCTCAGAGGTTGATACGAGAGAGCCAAGTCGAAAAAGCTCGGTAAACCTTTAATCAAATTGGGCAATGAGCGGATTTTCAGTTTGACGCAAACGAATCCGTAATAGAAAGCTCTGTCACAGAATCCACCAAGTAACGTATACCAACTGTTGGATAACAAAAAGGCCGACCTTCTTGCTACAATAGCATGAAGGTATATATAGTTGATGGTCTGACACCAACTCCACCATACAGTCCATCCCACCCAGCCTGGCTGTATCTTCAGGCCGAAAACAATACGAACGTCTTATCTACAGTCACTAACTTGTCCGCAGAAAATACTACTCCCAATGTTCTGCTGTATCTGGTTTTCTCTAGTCCTCTATAGTTCCCGTAACACCATTCTTGTCAACCTTCCGTTTTCCGGCTATGACCATCTCGATCCATTTACAGAGTATCTGTCGGACCATAAGTATCGACAATATCTCAGCTACGCGATCAGGCGCACTGATCGCAGCGTCCGAGCAGCGCTCAGACCAGAACCCATGGGCCCTCCCTTCTGTAGTTCTCCTCCTTTGTACATTAATTAATCAGAACAATCACCACACAGAATGTATTCCTAGTTATCGTTATTTCCCTTTACGCACTTAGTGCAAAGCCAACCAACAGTACCCAATAAATTTGTACATCATGCGCCGCAATAGATTTATTGAATCCCTGTTGGTAGAGCGCCGTACTCTTTGGTCTCAGGTTTCCTTTGACCACTAATCCTCTCCTTCGCACGTCTTCACCTATCAGTGCACCGTCACTGGTCTGAGCAAATCCGTTAGAGCCAATGGTAAATGGGAGGATAAGCTTACTGCCATCTTCAAACGGATAAATAGTGTCATTGCATTCTGTAAGGTAGAGGCCAGCAGGGTACGATAAAATGCGATCGAAGTCGCGGGTGAACGTCGAGAGGCGTGTCTCTTCGCCCCGCTTCCCAAGACCAGTCTCTTGGTGCGCGACGTGTGTGCTTGAGAGGAGGACTAGGTAGATCTCGTTGGATCCCACTTGCCCTAATGCTGGGACGAAAGGTTGATATCGGGCAAAGCTCAATCCCGGTGTGATGTAAATAAACGTAAGTCTTGAGCACTGGGTGAGGAACCGATGTACAAAGCTGTTAGGATGCAAGCGCCCCGGGTTTCCACTTGTTACTAAGTCGATCAAAAGATGTTCGGCGTTCTGTGTTTGAAATGGCATTCTGGATCGGATCGCGTCTACTAGAGTATTGAAAGCGTAGAGAGCACGATTGAGGTCGTGGCTAGTGTAAGAGAGCACTTTCCACTGCCCCAAATCAAGATTGATCATGGCTTTTCCCTCTGCTATCATCTCCAGAAGTCTGTCGAGAATTGTCTCAAGACGTAGCCACGTCTGCCGGCCGTTCATGGTGATGTCTGCGTCATTATAGGACATGTGATGCATGGCTAGCGCGTTATCTTAATCGAAAACCAGCCCAAGTGGCTCATCGGCGCCTAGGTCTGGGCTTGCCGCGTAGAGAGTGATATATTGTCGTTTATTTGATTTGGTCTCACCCTCAGCCACATTGTCATTCAGCCAAAGTTCTTCGAGGGAGCACAAGCGGGTCAAATGAAAATGGAAGTTGTGAGTCCTGACAGGCCCCATCGCGAATCCGTGCCAAGCCGCTTTTAGGGAAGAGACAACGGAGACATCGAGGCGATTGTAAAGATGCGTGAGAGCTGCATCGCCGCCGTAGCATCTCCACTATGGCCGTGTATCGAGTGTTTCCAATGCGAGACCTCGCTGGGTCCAACCTTGTTTAACAATGTGGTTATGAAGCTCTGCGCAACGCTCCCAATCGAAACTGCCCAATATTCTCAATGGATGCGCCGGGTTAATTCTCCACCATTGGTCTATGGGTTCCATAATGGTGTCCCTGAGAATATGATGGAGCAAATCTTGTCGCGGTCGTACTTCCATGAGTCTTAATGCGTAAGGAATTTTTTAATTAATCGAATAAGAAGCTGATGTGTTTCGCTCGCGATGTCAGTAGTTGGCCCAGCTTTGGAGTAACAGACGTTATGGCAGCACCCAGTGAGGCTGCCCATCCTCTTTAACTAATGTAAGTCCGCTTCCGCACGGACAATAGCATCGGAATCTTGCCACGACCCTTGCATTGCAATTGCATATTTGAACTTGCACCAAGACCCTTCGCTCGTGGCTGCTATACCTGAAGAAAAACATGCCAAGCACGCCTGTTGCGTTCCTCGATCGGTTCAGTCGCCTTTGGTAAAGCGGGCTACAAAATTCAGCGATTTTATGTCCTTGAAGTGTGGAATGCTTCACCAAATCCAGAGAAAGGTAAACGGCCTTTTCTTCATCTCGCGCAATATATCGATTCTTGTGCCTACGGTGATTGAATACCGAATTTAAGACGCTGGTACCTGGTTTTCTATGACTCTCAACTATACCGGCAACTTCTCTGACCGATGCTTGGATGCGCATGAGCGAAGAAGCGCAAGCGACGACGCAACGCGATCTTTCCAACTACCTTAGTGAAGTACGAGCTACACAGCCTCCAAAGCCTAGCTATATTGGATCTTATATTGGTGGACCATCGTATGATCATCGTGTTGACGTTGGCCGTCTCTGCGGTCCTTTCATCTTGTGAACGGTCTGTAGGGACTGTATTCCAGCTACCTAGTCCAGATGCTATTTACAGTCAAGATGAAGAAAGAAGGTAAGACGCAAGCGGCGAGCCTGCTTTGTTTGGGTTGGCGCACGGCCCTCACGTTGCCGGGGAAGCGACTAGGCTAGCAGCCTAGTCATGTGACTCGAGGCTCAGCCCGTTACATTACCCCCCTCCTTTCCCTTTAGCGCGTAGTTTTCTCCATTTCCTCCAAGCGTCAGTCTTTAGTACGTTACTCACAGGTTCCCATGTCGGTTCAGTATAGTCCACCCACTTCACATATGCCTCCTTGATTTCTTTCCCTCCCTGCCTTGTTGTGCGTTCGCCCAGAATACGTTCAACCAGCCATAGCTCGTCTCCATCTACAAGTATAGGCCCTGGCTGAGTGTCTCCAACCTTCTGCGATGGGAGAGAGTCGTTAGGCGCGTAGCGAAGCAGGTCTACGTGGAAGACAGGATGGATCTTCCCCGGAACGTCAAGTTGATAAGAGTGGGAGTTGACCTGCCTCAAGACTTTGTACTTTCCATGCAACCAGTCTAGCTTCTTGGAAGGTCGTGTTGTCTTCACGTTTCTAAGGTTCAAAAACACCCAGTCTCCCTCCTTGTATTGGGGCGCTGCTGTTCTTGTCTTGTTAGCTTGATGTTGCTGTTTCTCTTGTGTTATCGCGATCGCAGCTTGGGCCCACTCTGTTGCGTCTTGGAGTCTTTTAAGGAAGCCTTCTGCCAGTGCTTCGCCGTCTCTCTTTGGTCGGTCCTGAATAGTTCGATCCTCTACCAGCTGAATGGGTTCATTGTGATATCCGTGCATAAAATAGAAGGGGCTTAGGCCAGTAGATGAGGCCTCGCGATTGTTGATTGCTCCCATAACGATAGGTAAAAGTGCTAGCCAATTTTCTTGCGTGTAGGTGGCCCAGATTCGAATCATCTTCTCAATCTCTTGGTTCATTCGCTCTGTTGCACCATCGGTTTGCGGATGATAGGCAGTCGACAGGCGTTGCTCAACGCTGAGGAGTTTACAGAAATGCCTCCAAAGATCGCTGACGAATTGTGGTCCTCTATCGCTCGTAATTGCCGTTGGAATACCATGAATAGGGTAATGCCGTTCTAAAAGCCGTTGTGCTACTGCTTCTGCCGAGATATCGTGCATGCCTTCCAGTTCAACTCCCTTTGTCAGCCGATCAGTGACCACCATGCAGTTCGTTGCGTCATCGCGTCCAGATGGCGGCAAGTCCGTAATAAAATCGATTGAAAGTTCTCCCCATATACGTTCTGGGATCGGTAGCGGTTTAAGGAGGCCCTTCTTTGTCTCTCTCCATATCGTATTCCTCCCGCAAATCTCGCAGTTACGGACAAAGCGTCGCACGTCGCTTGCTACACCTGACCAGAAGAACTGCCTTGATAAGATTGAGTAGGTAAGATCTCGTCCAGGATGGCCGGTGATATGCGAGTCGTGAATATTTTGAATAATTCGTGTGCGAAGTGGTTCGCAGTCAGGGATCCATATCCGGTCTCGAAATCGCAACAGGCCTCTCTCGTCTAGGGTGCATTCTGCTATACTCACTGACTTCTCCTTCTGAAGTTTGGTAGGGAGGTTCCGCTCCTTGTTTGCTACCAGCGTAGTGAGCTCCTGATAAAGCTTATCCTCTTGGCGGCTTCGGTGCCAGAGATTTTGCATGTCCTGGTCCTCAAACATGCGTATCTCTTCTGTGAAGTCAATCTCCTCGGACGACAGGGACTGGATTTGAACACTCTGCAAGTGCTTGCTCTGGAAAAGACGGATAAATCGAGACCGTATTCGTTCATCGTCGTAGTTGGCGGGTAGGTCTTGTTCTCGTCGTGACAGGGCGTCAGGTTTTCCCATAGTCTTTCCAGGTTTCCATTCCAGGGAGAAGTCGAATCGTGAGAGAAACTCTGACCAACGTACTTGTCTTTCAGACAGCTGTCGTTCGCGGTAGAAGTATTGAAGGTTCTTGTGGTCCGTCAGAACTGTGAACTTCCTAACCATACGTAGTTCAGGAGCCCATGCTTCTAAGCAACGAACAATAGCTAGAAGCTCCTTGTCATGAATTGGATAATTGGCCTCTGTTGGTGAGTGCTTCTTTGAGTAGTAGGCAACGGGTTGCCAGTTGTTGTTCTTGTCCTTCTGCAGCAATAGGCCGCCAGTTGCATGTCCTGAGGAGTCGGCTTCTACCAAGGTGTCCTTCTCTGGATCAAAATGGCCGAGTATTGGTGCTGTAATGAGAAGTTCCTTAATCGTTTCAAATGCTTGATTGCAAGCCTCGTCCCAATGAAAAACCATCTCTTTCTTAGTTAGGTTGATAAGCGGTTCAGCAATGTCCGAGAAGTTTGGTATAAAAACTCGGTAAAAGTTGGCAAAACCAATAAATGCTCGGATAGCCTTAACTGACGTTGGTGTAGCCCATTCGCGGATTGCGATAATCTTTTCAGGATCAACTCGAATGCCCACTTCTGCTTCCACAATGTACCCGAGGTATTTGACTCGTTTAGTCTCGAACTCGCACTTGTCGATATCAATCTGCAGTCCAGCGTCTATAAGGCGTTGAAGAACCTTTCCAACCTTCTCTCTGTGATCCTGAAGCGATCCTGACGAGTAGATTAAGATGTCGTCAACGTAGGCTGAAACAAAGTCGTCAAGGTAATCCTGTAGAACACCATTTACGTAGCGTTGAAATGCGGCTGGTGCTCCTGTTAGTCCGAAGGGAGCAACCCGCCATTCGAATAGGCCGTATCTTGTTCGGAAAGCTGTCTTCCATTCTTCTCCTTTGGCCACACGGATCTTGTGGAAGGCTGCGATAACGTCAAGTTTTGTGAACCATTTAGCTTTAGCTACATTTCTCAGTGTTTCTGTGAATAGAGGCAGAGGGTAACGGTCCTTCCTGGTGATGTTGTTCAAGCCTCGGTAGTCAACGCAAAATCGGATGCCCCCTCCTGGCTTTTTGACCATCAGGACGGGTGCAGCTGCGGGAGAGTTACTTGCGCGGATAAAATCCTTGTCTAACAGCTCGGTGAGAGTTTTCCTAAGCACTAGTAACTCTTCTCGGCTCATGCCGTAGAGCGGACCCCATGGAATGGTCTTCTCGTTTCCGTCTTGATCCTTTTCAATCTCAATGTGGAGATCAACGCCTTTACGATGCGGGGGAAGTTTCTCAGCTAGGAAATGGTCGAAAGCCTTCAGCCATTGGTGGTACTGGGGTGGGAGCTTCGTCTTTGGATCGGATCGTTTGCGCGGTTTCAAAGCTTTCTCAATGTCGGCGATGGAAACAGCGAACAGTCCAGTGTCGAGCGCAATACCGTCTCCTTTGTTCTTCCTACGGCTTCTTCTCACCTCCGCCATGAATGCGGAAGCCATCACCTGAGTAGCCTTCATTAGTGGTGGCTTGTATGACGCTTTCTTGTGGTTCCATGCGCGGATGTTTGACGCGCCGATATCTAGGCAGCCTTGTTTGGCCGAAATTGTGACGTCGGCATCTTCTAACCAGGGCTTTCCTAGGATCACGTCGTAAGTTAGGCCAGGTACAACGTAGAAGAAGACGCGTTTCTGCTGGTGGCCGTCTATGTCTATCGAGGCGTAAGTAACTGTATCTAGGACAGTACTTGGTTCTGCGTTCTTCCCAGCTGCTTCCTCTAGCTGGCGCGGGGCTATCTTGATTGATGGCAGTCTCAGAGATCGAAAGAGTTGTTCATTAATGGCAGAATAGCAAAGGCAACCTGAGTCAACAAGTCCAGTGACAAAGTCAGTTCCATTAAGTCTAACGTCCAGTACAAAGGGATCGCTATCCATCTTTTGCTTTCCGGTCTCTTTCCATTCTTTCTGAGCTGCCGCGTGTTCCTATTGCTCTGCTTCGGAGTCTTCTGGATCTTCCTCCTCTACAGCTGCCTTGGTGACCACAGTACTCTTTGCTGTCTTGACGCTAACGTGAGTTGGTCGTAGAGCGGCTGCTAACGGGCATGTAGCTATTCGGCAATTGTTGCGGCCGCATCGGAGGCAGCGTCGTTCCTGGCGTCGAGCATCGATTTCCTCTTGGTTGACCCATTTTGCTCGTTTTCCAATAAGTTCTCGGTCTTCGGGACGCCTAGATGGATATCCATTCATGTTGGTCTTGCCGCGGAGGCCGACAGCGTTCACTTGGGTAGTTGTAGGCTGCGTAGGTTCCCATTCCATCATGTCTTCAGGGGAAACTGCTGTGAGCGTGGCATTATTTGATTTTGCTGGTGGTTCATAGGTTGGTGCATTTTCAGCAGTTCGGCTACCGTAACGGCGGGTTGTTTTCGTCCATTGGCCGAACAACTCCATGTCGTTGCTAAGATCTGCACACTTCTGAGCGAACCTTGCGTATGTGCTTGTTTCTGCTCCTGATGTACCAACAAGCCTATCCTTTATCCTACCACTTAATGCATTGCGTAAGTAGGATATCTTCGTATGCTCAGGCCAGCTTTCTGCGTCAGCGTTGGCCATCTCTTTCTCAAACCGTGGATAGAAGGAAATAAACGTCTCGTCGTCCTTCTGGCGTATAGAGTAGAGGTTCTGAATGGCTTTCTCCTTCCGATTTCGTTCGCCGTAGAGGAGTTCAAGGCGGTCAAGCAGCTTGAAAGGGTTTGGCGATTCTTCTTTAACTTGTATCTCGTAGTATGTTGTAACGTTGGTTTTCGCTGCCCCATCAAGACGCATGTAGACGTAGCGTAGCTGAGCTTTTAGGCTTCCAATAGCTTGCGCGTCTTCTTCGATCTTGCCCTCCATCTCTAGCTTCCATCCTCGCCATTGTGATTTGTTTCCACCAAACGTAGGCGGGTGGGGTAAGCTGTGCCGCGGCTTTGGGGTTATAGGCACAGATGTGTTCGAAGTCTCGGAGGTTGGCGTTGGATCAGTGGTGGCGTCTGTATTGTGACCAGGCGTTTGAGGTAGCTCGTGCGATGGTGCTTCCAGCCTCTCCATCCTAGTGCTCATGTCTTCAAGTCTCTGTAGTAGCGACTGTAACAGCTGGTTCGAATCGTTCGTCGTCATGTCAGTATCCCCGGGGGAGCTCATTATAGCGGTGCTTTGGTTGCTGCGTGTTCTGCGTGTTCTGCGTATTCTGCGTATTCTGCGTATTCTGCGTGTTCTGCGTGTTCTGCGTGTTCTGCGTATTCTGCGTGTTCTGCGTGTTCTGCGTATTCTGCGTGTTCTTCTTGATCTTGACTGTATGTGAACGGTCTGTAGGGACTGTATTCCAGCTACCTAGTCCAGATGCTATTTACAGTCAAGATGAAGAAAGAAGGTAAGACGCAAGCGGCGAGCCTGCTTTGTTTGGGTTGGCGCACGGCCCTCACGTTGCCGGGGAAGCGACTAGGCTAGCAGCCTAGTCATGTGACTCGAGGCTCAGCCCGTTACACATCTCGGTGTCTGAATTTCGCAACTTCCTTGTCGTACCCGTCGCAATGTTCCCCCGTCCCGAACTTGCAGTATCCTATTGTCTACAATAAAAGGACGACCATGAGATCATGTTTTCCCACGCAAATCTATGTGGGGACTGCATTTTCGTTTAACCGTCCACCGGAAGGTCCACCGCAATCATTGACCGTGAGATGGCGGGCTGGTGGCCTGCATATTGGCAGTACATTAAATCACAATTCGGAAACCGATATATGCCTCAGTGGGAATTATTCGTGTCGAAAGTTTTGGATCCTTATCAGTACGGACTGCGAACTGAGCGTATTCTCCAGCAATCTTGATCTGAAAAGCCTTTTCGTCCGAGCATTATTTCTGATCCATGTGATCAAACTCTTCGTTCTCTTTAACCCTGCCAATACTGATCTAGTTTAGGTGTTACTCTGTTGGGAATCGAACCTGCGGTAGATAAGGCAGCTGGTTGCTGCATGCACGAGCTTGGATTACACGGCTGACTAAGCCGTGTGGTCCGAGCTCTAGCTGCTGCCTTACTGCCGACCTCCCTCCACCTCCATAGAACAACAAGAACAATCACAATCATTTCAACTCGTTGCAACGAAGGTGATTCCGATACCTTAGCCGTATCAACATACTCCTTGATCGATCCCTCCGGTATCGGTAGTCGGGTCAGCGATGCGTTCTCTAGTAAAATAGGGAGCACATGAATGCAGTCTAACCATGCCGTATGTTCTTTGATAGTTACATGTAAAGTCCGCAGTATGAACCTTTTTCAGGAATCGAGCCGTTCAAAGTGGCCTGGTCTGTTCTCTCCATCCAAACTCTCCATCTCTGAATCTTCTCCCTTGTCCACTGTAGCAGACTCCGCAACAATCAATCGGATCGGCATGATTGATTCCTATCTAGGTTAAAGGCTGCCTAATGAAGTAATTCTTTAACCTATATAGGAATCAATCATGTCAATCGATTGATTGTTGCGGAGTCTGCACTGTAGCAATAACATGATAAGGGTCCATCAACCGCCCGTCGGTCGCTTTCTCGGGATTCTCCCAACAGATGTAAAAAAAGTCGACGATAAACGGGACCCATGTAGCGAGTGCCAGTACTTGTCCAAAGCTCCATTCAGTATCCTTATTTTCTTTGCCAGAGTGGTTGCGTATCTTGATAGTGACGTGGACGAACCACAAGACATAGGCCCACATGATACCTGTGGCGATAATAGGAATTGCCCAGAACACCCATTGTTGCTTCTGTGCGCGTTCGCTCTGGCCATTGAAGAATGCGCACAGGGTTTTGCTAAAGTATAGGTAAGAGTTCATGCCAACAATAAGAAGACTGGCAACTATCCAAGAAAAAATGGACATGACTCTGAAGGACTTAAACTCTAAGCAAAAAAGCTCATGATCTGATGGATACTGTCCTTCATATTGACTGTTGCGGGAGTGCCAGCTGCGTATCAACAACCATACGGTTAGAATCTCGATTAAGAGCCACAAAAACATTCTGCCCTTTGATCGACGCAACATATCCAATGCAGCGAGCTGGAGTACTGCCACTGGTAACAGTGAGTTCAGAGGCATGAAAAATCTCAGCATCCACGTTATAGGACTACTATCTTGTCTCTCTTTGTCGCTGCCGAAAAGAGCGGCAGCCAGCATAGCTACCGCAAAAACAGACGATGCCGATAGAAATTGGGTTGTCGAGTGCTGGATTGCAGGCAGGATCCTTGAAATATAGCGGCCACGTAGCCGTTGAGACTTGCTTCCTGGTGAAATTTTCGAGACTTGTATGGTGATGAGCGCGAAAAGGTAGATCGAAACGAGGACCGCTTGGAGGAGATAGGTGACCAGCATCTGTTGATCAAAAATCGTACTAGTTAGTGTTGGTTCTTATGCCGCTGCATGTTTACATACCCCTACTCCAGCGATATCCGGGTTCCCCTCCCAAGCATGCGCACGACACATGTCATCGTGGCATTTATGCCAACCATACGCTTGAATCTCCTCATATATGTTGGTCGTGAGGAACCATATCCAGAACCCTGTCGTCAGGGATGGGGTTTGTATACCTTCCGTCTGCAGGAAGTCTTGCACTGCGTCAAGAATGTATGGGTAGGCATGATGTAGTGCTTCAATGTCCGCATTTTCCTGTATACCCTTCCATATCTCGACTGCATGGGAGCAATTGTTGAAATGAAACTTAACTGAGTCACTTAGCGTCAGATTAAGGATTTGTGTCGTGTTCATTGTTGCGAAGGTACCAAGGCGGCTTGCGGGATGGTGATTATCCGGAAGTAGCATGAATCAGTCTGGATGAATGAAGGGAGTAGACTTATCATTGATTTTGGTGATGCTAACAGTCGCTTCATGTATCTCTATGAGCTCAGCTAGCTGCTCCATTATACCTCCAATTTTAGTATGGTGGAAAGCTGAAAGAATAAAAGCAAATCATACACGCCTCCCACAATCAGTTGATGCACACATCGGTCGAGAAAGTGCCAAGCCGTACACAGCATCGCCACAGCCCCGGGCTGAATGTCATGACGTTTGCAGGAGAGCCCAGCTGAATAGATGTGGCACAATACAAGAGAAGCGAAGAATCTGCGACAGCGGGGATCCGTAGACGATTACTCATCCTACTACTAGTCTTTCAGCACCCCATTTGGGTATCGTGAAGGAGATAAGGTGCATGGTTTGTATGAATAACTTGCGCTATGTATGCCGCACCTGCTTTTCCGGGTTTCCAATATTGCAGCCCCTACGTGACGATGTCATCATTGTAGGCGGAGCAGCTATTTCAGCAAAAACAGGCTTTAGTATTCACTAAAACCAAACACAGGCTTCTTTGGGAGTGCAACCAGGCTGACACTACGCCTCCTACTCTTTTAGATACTTGTATGTTTTTGGGTGTTATGATTGAACTCGCAAGCAGTCGCAGGCTGCTCCTTCTCCGCTGCCTTGGGCGCGACAGGCACGTCCATCGCTTATACGGCAGCCTCATACTCGTCCTAAAGAAGCTGCACCCCCAGCTACCATTTCTTGTCTAGGATATCTGGCAATTGTATCTTTTGCGCAATAACTCCTCTCAGCCTCGTGTGCCTGTCGCTTTCAAAGACGAGTACCAAACAGTGCCAACTTTGTACTGGTCCGGCCACTTAGGTAGCATCGAATTGCCGCCCCAATCCCATTCCTTCTCATCGGCTATAAAATTGCGGGGTTGATAATTTTCGTGTTGCAGGAGCTAATTCTTGATAATCATTGCACGTGTGGTAAGATTCAGCACGCGCGCATCTCGCGCGAAGAATACACCTATCACCAACCGTGGCAGTGTTTACTCCATGTTCTACCAGTCATCTGCGCCAAGTATTGAGATTGTGGTGTCGCTACAGCTGAGTTTGTTGATGAGATCGTCGCTCGCGAATCGGTCGGAGACGTCGCTAGTTAAGAACGAGGGGGAGAGGCTTGTGGCGGGGAAGGGTTCCGTGATCTTCATGGATGTACCTACCCGGTAAGGCTTAGGCCCCACACTACAGCAAAGAGGCGGAAGACGTCGCATTTAATTGTTCTACAACGGTGCTGACTATTGTGCAAAAGTTGAGTATGTACGTGCGAGTAAGCTGCTGCAAGCTTTGTAATTAGCTGCCATCACCATCTTGCCTTGCTCCTGATATCGCAACTAAAGACCTATTACGATCACGCGAAGCACGTGACACAGCTTTTCCGACCCCTTGTCCATAAAGCAAGGTAATACTTATCGCGTGTGTTATAGAATGCTGCTACCAGGTATTGTGTATGTCACCGCTCGCTGCGTGGTATGCAAGCGAGCGCGTACCTGAGTGGTGCTGCTGTCTGCGGCAGAACTCGGGCCTCCGGCGGCTTGAGCGCAAGTTTAGACGAAGTGGCTTGAGAATTCAAAATGAGCTCTGTAGGGGTGCTCACTGTGTTGATTCGCGCACCAATGAGTGATTGCGATATGAATACATTTGGTTGACCCGAGGGTGTTCGATAACGCTGAATTGCTGTTCACTCAATCAACGCGGAGGGTGCCAGTAGCATCAAAGATATACAACGAGCTGCGGATCATGTTGCAGACAGTCTACACCGTCTCGGTGAATGATAACACGGCCATAGCTTGCGGGTAGTAATTATTATGGAAAATTCGACTTGCCGAGTGGGACTGCTTCTGACAACAATACTCGTGTGGGACTTTTGAAAGGGGTAGATAGCACGGCTTGGGAAGGAAGTTACTAAAAAAGCCACTGCGCGCATGACATCAGCCGGGATCCTCAAATGAGGGTCACGTGATTCTCGTAAAGCACCGACTTTTTTACGAGTAGGCCCGTAAATGCTCGTAACCACTCGTAAAAATGACTGGCTGCAGGATCTAGACACCCCCTGAGATCTACTGCCGGGATTAGCCTCACCGTACGGCGACGATGTTGGTACGAGACGATTTCTATAAGTTGAACGTAACTCTTCCATGATATTCATTCTCATCATCCCCAGTCGCTCTTTTCTCCGCCAAAGTAGAGTTTATCGTCGCCATGCTGTCCCTCGCTCAAATTGCGGCGATTCTCACCTTCGCCGGCGCAGCGATTGCAAACCCGGTTCCACTTGGTGAGTCAACACATATTCCTACACCGCCTGCATGAAACTACAATGAGCAACTGCTGACATAAACATTGGAACAGACGAACCGTCTTCCTTCTCCATCGACCAAGCGCATCATACCGAACGCTCGGTCAACACCGCGCTGGAGTTACTTCGGTATAAGCGGGAAAATAATGAGCCCATCCCCGAAGCGCTCATTCAGTCTGCCAAGAGGAGTACGGAAGAGATAAAAGCTGCCCTAAGTACACGAGGACTCTCGGGATCTGTCGGTGCCATCTCATATAATATGTATGATGCTCTGTATCTGAGTCCAATGGTCATTGGTGGCAAAACGCTCCATGTCGAACTCAGTACTGCAACCGGTGAATTGTAAGAAAACCCAATAGTTCACCAACTACAGACGCGTGTAATTCCAAGCTAACGTTCCTCAAGCTGGGTGTTCTCTTCTTTGCAACCAAAATCTCAGCTCCAAGATCGCCAGTTCTATCAGGTGAATCCGGCCAAGGAGAAGAAGGGTTATTACTTCGATACCCAATACACAACCGAAGCCTCAGTGGTACAGGGCAGAGTGTTTACTGAAAATAGTGAGTCACTATCTATCTTGGACGCTGAGGCTGCATGTATACTAATACAACCTTATAGTCAAGCTCGGCGACATTACGACCGTACAAGACATAGGGGCCGCAAACTACACCGGTGACGACCTAGTGGATATGATAGCCGACGGTTCATGTGGTATTGGCTTTGGCTATACCAACTCAGTTGAACCGCAGAGATCACTGACATTCTTCGAAACTATCATGCCCCGACTTTCAAAGCGCCAGTTCTCTGTCGCCTTGAGACACCTGTGCCCGGGTTCATACGATTTTGGCGAATTCGACACTAAGAAGATGGCTTCTCCTTTTGTCTACGTCCCTGTAGAGGACGACAACGAGTGGGGTGCCTGGAGGTTCTGGGGAGATGGATTCGCCGTCGGTTCCAAGCCAGTAACGTCCCGCCGTATGCTCATACACCTTACGACAAGCACTTCTGTCTCCTACACCGACCCGGATATCGTCGCCGACTACTGGAAGCAGGTTCAAGGAGCAAAGATAGATGAAAAATATGGTGCTTACGTCTTTCCATGCAATGCCACAAACCTCCCCGACGTCACCTTCATCTTTTCCGGCAGCAGGCAGGTCATTCCTGGCAAATTCATGAATGGAGGAGTTGTTGATCGTAAGACGAAAACCTGCTATGGTCTCCTTCAGAATATTGGGGGTGGCGTTGACTTCAGCCTTCTTGGTAACAACTTTTTCAAGGAGAAGTACGTGCTTCACGACATGAATGATCCGAAGAATCTGAGACTCGGATTTGCCAAGCTGGCCCCCTCCAAGAAGTGGTAGCTTATAGCTCTACATCAGACATTCTCTCCCACCAGTCGATAGTTAGACAATCTTAATATCAATCTGTATGCTGCCTTCCATTTGGCTGGGGCTGCTCAATTATCAATCATACTCAGCTGTGCTTTGTGTTGCGGGAAGCGGCTCCACCCGCCTAAGTGCCCTTCCCAAAGCGGGACCCTTGCAGCCATCTCGTAGTTACCTACCCACGCCTAGACATGTGCCCCACACTACAGCTCAGCTTGGCACAATGTAGTACAATCCCCACATTGCTTGCAGCTTAGAAAAAGACTAGTCTTTACGCACGAAGATCCTCCACGCTCAGTCAAACAAAAGGAACAGCCCCCCGAATATTACCACTAACTTACTACTTCCATTTCAGACCGAACAAACAGCTGAACATTACGTCCAATGCGGGTGTACAACTCATGAGCCCTCCTACGATCGCAAAGTGGGGGCGTCGTCATTATCGTTGAAGTCGGCTGGGCGCGGAGAAACAGATATGTGTAGTGGAAGTTACTTACCTCAAGGCTCATACTATCTTCACTGGCTCACAGAACTGCTTAGCTGATTGTACATGTAGAAAGCGGGATTGCCGGAGCGGAATTTCTCTCAATGTCATTTCAGCATGCGTGACAAAAACGGCCGCATTATTGTGTTCGATGACCATCCGATGTTCAGTAGGGAGGTAGCCCGAGCACGAGAAGGAAACCGGCAGAGTGTTGTGGTTGCAGTGAACAAGGGAAATCCGCCTAACATTCCTATACAGATATGTGGTGGAAAGATCGCCATACCAAGATTTTGTCGGATGTAGGACAGGGCAGAAGAGAGGAAGAAGGTTGTTGTATTGAGAGAGCTACATAGAGCGATTATATACACAACCGAGATGAGTAAGCAGATGACGAGGAGTCACGTGAGTGATGCAGTTCACATGTACATTGTGAACTGAGGTGCCATGCTGACAGATTTTCTCCCCAGATGAATGCTGACATGCTGACACGAACTTCAGGCCTGCTGTTTGGCCCGGCATCTCCTTATCGATCGGTCATGGGACATCTCTGGAGAGGGAAAAGACTTGCCTGGAAGCTCATATTGAGATGGTTCGGGCTGGAATAAACGCTGTAGTAGCGGAATGTCGATGGGTAGCGAAGCAAAGCACAATGCGCACGATATAGCTGCGTATGCTATAGAGAAAGTAGTGATATACTGATTGTACGTACCTGAGCGTCTCCAGGTGCAGCAGGCGCAGAGCGCTGTGCGCTGTGCTGACACTGGCTTGGTATCCAATTTCTCCTCGATCAGTCCTTGTCTAACCCCCCTGTTGCCTGTATGCGGTGCTTTTTCGGTCCGTAGACGCGTCATTCAATGTACATATTTAAGTAAAGGTCTCGCAATCTTGGTGGGGACTTTTCGGAAACACTACATCTGCCATTTCTTGCCCATTCCTTCGAACCTCAATCATGAAAGCTTCCACGTAAATTCTCCTCTTTACCGCATCGCTCGCAACTGCACAAGACGAAGGCCCAGATTACCCAATGTCCCCACCCACCTATCCAATATGCGGACCAGCGCGTCCATTCCATTCATACAACAAGAATTGGGGTAATGATGGATGCGACGACTGCTATCGTCAAAGATTCTGGTGCGAAAGCTTTTCCTACCGTATGCTCTATAGGTACATCACCGGTAAAACAAAATGCCACTTGTGTAGAGACCACTTGCAATATTCATGTAAGTAAAATTAGCTTTGATAACTACAACCAAGGTGTTGACTAATATGTTCTAGTACCAATGTTGTAGTAGTAGAGAAGTCCTGAGATAGAATAAAAGGGTCGGTTGAAGCCAATCAATACACACATCTACTATTACACATCCACACCTAGACCATGCCTGCGACCAAGCCAACCACACCCCCAGCCCCAATCATAACAGCCCTTGCCAAATTCAACTTCGCAAACTTTTCCAACAAACCATCCACCACCTCATCCATCTCCTCACTACTCTCCTTCTCCGTCTTCTCCATCGGCCCACTCAAATCCCTCCACTGACTAACATCGCCCTCCCCCTCCACACTCTCCTCCGCGCTCTTTTCCCCCGCCTTCTCCCCATTCTGGCGGCGATACCTTGCAGACTTGGTACTGCGACTACCGCCCAACTCCTCGTTCTTTTCGATGAGCGCAAAGTTCGTGGGCACCATGACTAGCGTCGTCCATGGCGCGATGCTGATTGAGAGCGCGGCGGCGAGGAGGTAGAGGCCGGGTTGGCCGCGTAGGGCGGCGGAGGCGAGGGAGGAGAATGAGGAGAGGGAGGAGCTGGGTAGAGTGGTGTAGGTGAGGTAGAGGAAGCCAGCTGTGGAGGCTGCGGCGGCAGTGGGGAAGACGTGCGAGCCCCGGGAGAAGAGCCAGCGTGTCATGGGGAGGGAGCGGGACGCGGGTTGTGATTTCAGGAGAGGCACGTCGAAGAAGGTGAGGGTTGCTATGCCGCCGGATGCTATGAGCGCCGTGGCTGCGCTGAGGATTTGGACGGTTTGCGCTGCCGACATGTTTGTTGATGTTTTAATTCTCGGATATCAAGATGGGTAAATATTCCGAATCTAGTGCTTTGTTCGATACTTAAGAAAGATGAGGAGATTGTTTGTGATGATGGTTTATTCAAAAAAGCACTTTTACTACTTGTTATATATTCCAGCCCTCTCACTACTATTGCATTCATGTGAAGACTGCGGCGCGCGCGGAGTCCGAAATCGTTAGTTGTCGTTGCGAACATAATGACGTTGTTGCCCAAATATTTGGTGGTTGTTGGCCGTGGGGACGTACGATGACGTTAGTCCCCACTTTTTGCTGACCCAAGCGCCAGCGAGTATCGCATTTCCCATATACCTTCGACGAGGATACCTGTCTCGGTGTGAATAAGCACCGAATGTACCGTCCTTGGAAACTGGTACAATACCAGAGTTGAGATACAGATGAAGCTGACACGTGCAATCGGGTCGTGACGACGCGATTGACACGTGTTGCTGCCCTTGGGGTACCCCAGCGTCTACTCAGTCCGCTTGCGCACCTTGGGCAAGGCGAACCAGCAGGCAAACATCACCGCATACATGCCTAGACAGACTGGATTGAGCACCCATGTTCCCAAGGCTTGCGCGAGTAGACCAGTCGTAAAGGGAGCTACCGCACCACCAGAGCTACCTGCTCCGCCGATGAAGCCAACTGCAGTCGTCTGGACGTGACGAGGCATGAGGCGCGAGAAGATAGTCTGCGCGCATGGGTAGATGGGACCCATCAACAGACCGAGTAAGCATACGGCAACGGCATTTCCGATCAAATTTGGCGTCAACCAGGCAAGGAGTTGGAGGCCAACGAGGCCGCATGTAAGGATTACAACAAAGAACTTCTCGCCTATCCGCGGTGCTGCGTGAGTGAGGACAAAACGTCCTAGCAAAGTTAGCAACTTCACGAATACCGCCATGGATGCAGCTTACCCAGCGTAATTCCGCCCTGGAAAAGGTCAGCAATTTTCTCGATATTGTCAAACAGGCGCACTTACCCAGAAACCAGCCGTAACGTATCCGACCTTTGCAGGATCACCATTACGGTAATTGATAAGATACGAAATGAACCAGCCTGAGATGCTAACTTCGGCACCCTGGTACGCAAAAATGAAGATTGCTCCGATGATGGTCACCTTGTTCTTCAGCGCAAGTTTGAGGTTCTTGAACTTGGATGCTGCGTCCTCTGTAGCCGTTTGCCTGGTCGAAGTGGGCTCCAGAAGAGACTCCTCGGCGTCCTCGGTGTAGGACCAGAATGTTAATCCCGCGAATGCGATGCAGAAGAATCGCAAGCCGACGGTAAGGAAGTAAAATCGGGACCAAAGAATACCCCTTGAGACGATGGCTGTTCCGATGATGGGTGCGATAATGCCACCCACGCTGTAACTGCCATGTGCCAGACCCAGGATGACACTTGGTGGATGCGTGTTCGCGCAATACACATTATTGAGAGCCAGATTGATAGCAGCACCGAATCCCAAGAGGAAGAAGCTGTTCTTGTCAGCGATCTTCTCTTCACAGATGACCATGAACTTACGCGGTAACTACTAGTGGATAAGGAGGTGTGCAAACGAGAATGACATGAGCAGATAATCCGATCAACTCCGCGGTGATCAACGTTTTCGCCCTTCCAAACTTCCCCAAGATAATGTTTGTAAAGAAAGCAGCGGAAATGAAACCAATAGCATTGGTAACGAACACCAACGACATGATGGCGTATGAGATGTGGTAGTACGACTCAATGTATGGGATCAAAGCACCAACAACTGCGTGGTTATTAGTATGTGGTCACAGTTCCTCAAATACAAGGTCTTAAGTCAAGTACGCGGTTTTCCCTTCAGTTCTTACTCACCAGAATCATTCATCCCATTAGAAAAGTAAATGCTACAACAGCACAGAATCCTCCACTTGGTCATCCGATCACCATTCCACCTTCGTATCAACCCAACAGCATCATCGTGACTAGGCGTCGGCGGCCGACTCATCTCAAGTTCATTCGGCGTCCTCGGTGTTTGGAAGCCCTTTTGCATGTCCTGGCCAGGCGCAGGTTTCCGACCTTCGCCATCATTCTTGCTGGACGATAAGTCGTTCAGCTCGACGGGCTCTGGCAGTATACCCACTTCATTGAGGGTATGGGGTACTTTGCCCTTGCTCTTCTGGTAGGTAGGCTCGGGATTGGCAATGTTGGAAGCGGGTTGTATGTCGAACAGCCTGTGAAGCGCCGACATTGTGCCAGTATTCCGCGTTGGTTGGAGGGTGTGTGAACGCGAAGAGGGAGTGAAGATCCTCAAGTAGAGGGTCTTCTCACACGAGAAGGTATACAAAAATCTGAGAAGCGGTACTTGGAGAACGACTAACGGATGAGAATACGAGTTGAGGAATTGGGAAGGTATGCCGACACCGAGCTCACAGCCGGAGCATCGGAGGTACTTATCAAGACAGTTCGTGAGCGATATTGATGGATGAATAATACAGATAGCTGATGATAATCATGTGTAGCATTGTAGGCCGTGTGAGTGAATCCACAGTATTAGGTTCAATGACAGACCTATCAAACATGCTAGACTACGCATTTGATGCTTGCACTGCAGTAGCAGTGGAGATGCAGAACAATTATCTATTACCTAGTTTGCTTCACGACCGCTGTGGTGCACATAGACGCGTCTAATCGGTCTCCAAAACTAATCACCATACTGCTCGCAACGAGTAACAGATCCGCTGGTTGGAGAAGGTCCAAGTCTAGACCGCGAAGCTAAAGAAAGCGTTGGTTACCCCAACGGTGCAGAAAATGCGAGGTTTCCACACGTCAAGGCGGCCCGAGTTTCCCCTCTCGGGCTCGGCGATAACTTCCTGTTCCCGAAATTTCTCACCCACCCCCTCCATCATCGCATTGCACCAGGGACTTATCGCGATCTACCCACCGTCTACTCCACACTTTGTGCATACCCTTTAATTCCTCTGATAATGGCAAGACCCAAGCGCGCCGTTCTCGCCACTATCGACAGCACTGTCACGCCGCCGGATTCCCTGCCTCCGAACCACACGCTTGCGCGCATCACACGCGCCGAGGGCAAGAACATCTACGCTGCTGAGCTGCCAGACGGCAAACCCATGCTTGCAGAGCTCGAGCCAAAGTTCCGCTCAACCGTGTGGATAAAGCGCGGCAGCTATGTCGTCGTCGACACGACCGCGTTGGCAGACAGGGAGAACAAACTAGACGGGGAAATCGTAAACATAGTCCGGGACGAAAAGGCGTGGAGGAAGATGAGCTACTGGTATGTATATGGGTATCGTAATTTACTCTTTTTGCACAAAGATACTAATACGCTGTTGTTGTACAGGCCAAAGGAATTTGCAAAGAAATCTACGTATGTCGCGGATAGCGACGAGGAGGAATCCACGGTCGGAAAGATGCCACCCTCGGACTCGGATGAAGAGTGATATGCCCAGCACGCTCACTCTTTATGCGGATGGTCGTCTTCGATGACTCCTTTGGTCACTCCTTCGTACTCCTTTCTCGTTCCCCACCATACTCCCGCGACCGTAATCGCCAGTACGCCGACTGCCGTTGCCGAACTCAGAGGTGTACTCGGATACACATTCCATGCCCACTCTTGCGCGCCCCATAGTGCATACACCGCGATCGGGTTGAAACCTGCCTTCCAGAGCAGGAATGGCGTACACCACGCAATGTACGCGTAAAACTGGTAGTGCAGGCTTCTTGCGCAAAGCAGGCCGACAGTCATTCCCGTTAGAATCGTGGTCGTGGTGAAGTCTGGGGTGATTTTGCTGGCCATGGTGTCCTGGTCGCGAGGCTCAATGGTCGGTACACAGAGTTTGAGGAATCCACGGAAGCTGCGTTTGGAAGGTTTGATCCACCTGGTCAACATAAACACGAACAAAAGGCCGATGTTCAGGGCCAGCAGTCCGAGGGCAAACGGCTTTGAGAGGAAAACGGACTCCGGGACAAAGCGCCAGTTAACGGTCCACTTGTAGAGAAACGAGCGGCCAAAGTTGAAAGCGGCGGGAAAGTACGATAGCGATCTCTTCCTAAACGGATATCCGAACAGAATCTAGATATCAAAATTAGCAACCAAGCCATCAAAAAAATGCGAATACACATACCGCAACCTGTCCAATAATCATAGCCTGCGTCAGCGCCTCCCTACCCCCAAGCTTCATCACCATGATAATGCCAATCGCCGGCAACGGCAGCAGCAAAGTCATCTTGACATTCAGACCCGTGCTATACAGCGCACTCCCAATATGCCACTGATTGCGCTGATAGCAATAAATCGCCAGCCAAAAGAACAGAGCCGCAAAACAATCGTTGAAGCACCTCAGCACGAAAATGCTATGTAGCCTCTTTGACAGAATAAGCAGGGGGAAGATGTATGGTGGGACCTACATCTCCAATTAGCACGTCTGTTAAGAAAAAAGCAAAAGAACCCCATCAAAACTTACCCTAGCCCTCCTATAACACTGGATCACAACCGCCAGCGTAAGCAAATACACCAGCGCGAAGATATACTGCGCAAGCGCTATATTCTTCCCCTCGTCTGTCCACGCGTACAGGTACCTGTAGATCCAGACGTGGGCGCCGGGGTACACGAGGGGTCCTGTGTCGCCGCTGATTTTGGCGTAGTCGCGCTCGCCTTTGAGGTATATGGCGATTTGTTGCATGTATGTTGTCCAGTCGATTTCGGTGTCTAGGGGGTGGTTAGGGGTTGCGTGGAGGGACACGTGGAGGGACACGTGGTGGGATTGAACTCCAGATGGTACGGGAATGGGGATGGCGATGTGGTGGATGGGAACAACGGGAATGGCATATGGGGTTTGATGAATGGACAGATGGAGTGATGGATGGGCAACTAACATGGTATCTTCTCAATAACCGCACCACAAAGTGCCGCATCAGCGATCAATAGCAGCGGCGTCATCCATCTCGTATGTTCGGGGTTAAACGCCAAATCCTTGACGCGCGTAAGTAATGACATGGCGCTCTCCAATGTGTGTCTGGTGTATCCTCTCGTCGTTCCTGTGTCGTTCCGTGTTCAATCAACTTTCCCAGAAAGAAACTCGGATCTGACAGGTGTTATAACCGCGATCAATCCCCCCCAAACTAATCCTGTCACGTGCAGCTTTGCAAAGGTCAATATGTTGGCCTGGACGTTTCAGCGTTACATGGGTTGTGTGGGATGGGTTTCAGCTGCCCAGTGGGTTTCGCGTCGAGGGGGCGTGTTCGCGAAACTTTGTGGCCTAGGGTGTAAATGTTGTATGCAGGTGCAGGTGGGCTGAGCTAGGCGGCGCGCTGGGCTATTTCGGTGGCGGCCGCGTTTTTTTGCTGCGGGGCGCGCCAGGGCGGATGGGTCCGTCGGCGCGTGGGATCGGGGAATTGCAGGCGTGGGCGCGTGAACGTGGTGATGTGTCGTGCGTCCCTCTCTCCTTGTTTTTTGCGCGGCGTTTCTGGGTAAGCTTGTTTGAATGTATTGTGTTCGGGGTGGTTGGGAGTTTGTTCAAGGCGCTTGCTGGAGGGATATATTCGTTGTTGATTGTAGGGCTTTCTCAGAAGTCATGATCACGGCGGCGCGTCTTGGACGTGCAACAACCAGATTGGCTGTGGCAGCGCAACGTAGGCGATTACACATTCAATTAATCGCATAGGATACGAATTATTACAATTGTAAGGCTCAAGACGGGAAGACAGGATATATCATGGTCAAGTCAGGACTGGCAGCTCGATGATGTAATTGTGGTGATGCCTATCAATCCATCTATTCAAGTCTGGATAGAACCAAATGGTTCCAAGGTATATACATGAATATAACCACTCCAGCACACGTAACATACCTCTCGTTAGAGTGAACACCATCAAATCCTTTCTACCAAAAAGCCTACATGAACTTGACCATGTTGATGTATGCGTCAGCAGTACCGGTGCACGTGTAGTCGTCCCCGTGGCCATTGAGCTTGCAGACCTCAGGAATATAAGTAGTACCAAGAAGAGTTGTACTACATCAAAAATCAGCGTTTACCTCCACAATAACGAAGACCTAGCATATTGCCGAACAAAGACTCACCCCTTGTCGCTAAGGAGGTTGCCCGTGAGAGCAATACCACCAAAGTCACGACCCGCGCCATGATCGCGGTTGTAATTGAACGTCATATCGTTGACGCCAATATTGCAAAAGTAGCTGCGTTCATCCATTGGGCCGGAGCCGGAATGAGAGCAAGAGAATAGCAGCTTATTCTCGGTGGTAGAGTAGACGTCGAAGCTGATGCTGTCAAAGTATGTGCCCTTGGGCCTGTGACCCTTGAAGTTGGTGAGTTTCCAGACGAAGTTGCCTTGGGCGGGCAGAGTCGAGGGTGCGGTGTTGCCGCGTGCTTCGATAGCTGCGGCGCTGGCGAAACCGGCGGTCGCAGCGAGGACGGTGGCGATGGTGCTGAAATACATCTTGATCTGTGGGTGGAGGGTTGTTGGAAGGTGTCTTGAATGGTAGATGGTCTTTGTGGTTGATGGCTTGGAACAGATATCTGCCTGATGTTATATAGTGAACGCATTCCGTATTCAACACAACCGAATACCATCGTCGCTTTCAGATTATCACTCCCCTTGTTCTGAAGGAGTATTACGAGATATTCGATAGCCAACACGTAAAGTCCAGTCTCGCCCACATCGAACACACGATTAGCATCATCAATACCCCACCAGGTTCAAAATGCTGGCCTATGGGGGCGACTGAATGCACCGGCGGGGACAGCCGCGAGTAATGTTCTGGGCTGTTGGGAAACTCGTGACAACGTTCGTATGGGGTCGGGCATACGAAATGAAAAGTCTTGGTATTGAGGTATTCCGCGTTGTGCAGTTAATGATCAGAGCTTGATGAGTTGTCAGCTGGGGGCTTTGTGAATGTCACTATCGATACCCATATGCAGTAGTCAAATATTTTGTCTTGCCCCCAACAATTCCTGTTTTCGTGTCATGTCGTACGATACCCACGTTCGTAGTCGGGATTACGAGCTGGATCGAGGGTATCGGCTCGATGAAAGTTATGTGAAGATGTTCTGGCAAACGCCGTGAGTCTTAGAGCGATGGATCTTAGAATTCGAGATATTCGTGAACCTGAGTCGCGGGAAACATGATGGTTTCAGCTCGTGCATCTCAAGTTCTGTCTATTTCCAATTCTCGCCATATGCAGGTACTCGTGGAATTCAGATGTGAGAGCGGGTACAATGCGAAAGTCGTATCTGTTTGATCAGTGCTGCACCCAAAGGTTCAATGATTCGCATCGCGAACTGATCGGAAACGAATGTGCGATGGGGTGTAAGCATTTAGCCAAGACAAGCGCGCGTCGGCAGACAAAAACGACTGCTGACTACGGAGAGGAGTAGGTCATCGCGGACCAGGTAAGCTCGTTCGGCGGCATACAGGATCGCTGCATGTGTCCTCTGTGACATATGGAAAGCCCGGCCTTATTTGTACTGACAACTGTGGATAAATGTGACTAACAAGTCCAGAACCAACAATAAAAATGATAGTACGCTATGGAGTTGGGGTATAACTAGAGCCAAGCAACAAAGTAAAATTCACCGCAGTCCAAACGAAAAAAAGAGTAGTGTCCATCACCAGTTCCAAGTTCGGCTTGCAGCAGAGAACACAGGCGGCTTCCAAATTAATCGGTCTGGATCAATGCTCCTCTTCCCTTGGAGCTTTTCCTTTGCTTTTTGCCGCTCGCGTTGTGCGATGACGGCGTCCGTGAGCACGACGACGTGCTGGTTCTTGCTATACCGCAGCATGTTGAGGTTTTGCAAAGTATGAAGCACATCGTTCGTGGTCATTGCTGTTGCAGCTCCCAGGTCCTCGATATTGGCTTCCGTACGTCCGGGCTCCATGAGAATGTCAACGAGGATTTCTTGCCAGTACGCACGGTATCCGAGAAGACCCAAATCGGACAAAGGCTTTTCCGGAGAGCCAAGCTTTCCCTCACGCTTGGAGAGGAGGTACGAAAAATCAATGAGAAGTTTTCCGAAGCCTTTCCGTTGGTACTGGGGCAGCGTTAAGATACAAGCAACGTTGTAGCCTTCTGCAGATTCCTTCTCTTTCGAGAAATAGCCCACAAAATGACAGCCATGTTCATCGCGTGTGCACATGCAGTAGAACAGAAAGGGGTCGACGTCATAATAGAGCGTCTTGTGATCTAGGAAGAGCTTCGAGAGCAAACATAGGTTGCGGCACCATGTGCGCTGCCGCCGTCCATCAATCTCAAAGAAGGATACGTAATCGTCGCGATAGATCTCGTTGCCAGGCGGGTGGAGGAGGTGACACTTTGTGCGGTGGCGCTCGAACTGCGTTACTTCGCCATAGTACGAGAGGCAGAATTCGCATATGTAGACTACGTCCGAATCGACAAAGTCGATGGGGTAGGGAGAGAAGTACCACGGCTCGACTTCGAATTTCCCCATTTGAATCTTTTCCAGGTTTCGCACTCTTGAGATCTCGGTTTGATTCTGTGTCATGGATCCGGATGTTCGTAGCTTTTCAATCTCGTCTTCTCTTGAATAGTCCTGGGGTGGCATGGCCTTGGCGGCGGCGGCGGCATCCTGTACATCAACCAGGTCCATCTCTTCATCTTCCGGCTTTGGGGTGCCTTCAGTAACTTCACTAGTGACGATTAATTCTTGGTTCTCCTTGCCGCCTGCTTTGGAGGGCTTTGGTGCCTTCCCGGGCAAGTTGCTAGATGTCGACTCCGGTGTGCCTGAGATTTCGCGATCGAGCTTACTACGTGAACGCTTCAAACTCTTCTGATCAGACTTGGACGGTGCTTTGTCGACCTTAACGGTAGTGCCCTTCTTCTTGTCTGCTTTTTCTGGCGCAGGCCATTCGACTTCACGCGAGAGATCGATGCGCTCGGCCTCGATCCACTCGTCTAGACGTTTATTGAACTCTTCATAATGAACATAGAACTTTGGCCTGCCTTGGCGTGTTTGTATTGACAGTATTTCAGCTTTACGCTTCTCGCCATCCTGTGGTTCGTTAGTTGGTGGTCTTGATGTTCATGCAAACGGCAAGCGCGTCGCGTATCGCGAAGTTGGCTGAGATGACTGAACATACCTTTTCAACCCATGCTTTCACACCGACCCTACGAGCCACACATCAGTACATGTTCCTGTTCTTTGCGCATGGTTTCGCACCTACCTCAGCTGTGCCAGTGTGGCAAAGCCTGTTTCCACTGGTGCCGGCGTCCCGGAGGGCTCATGAGAGTTTTCACGAGGCGCCATTATCGTGCGCTATACGTTCCTTGATTATGGCGAATTTTGTGCTACGTTGTAATAGTTGATGTCGTGATGAAGTTGGTGATGCTGCACTTCTTTGTCGCGATGGCTGAGCCGCCTTATGATCGGCGCTTGGGTCGCGTTTCCGCCGACATCTGGAATGTGCTAGCGCGCTTTTGAACTTTTGCTCGCGGGGACTGAGCGGAGAAAGACAAACGGCCAACTTCCTCGACAGCCATTGACACGACGACTTTACACCGCTATGCCGCGAAGCTGACAACAATATGGCCCCAATAGACCCCGGTAGCCTTTCCAGCAACTGGAAGATCTTGCAGCAGCGGCTGAAGTCTGCGACACCCGCTACACCTACAAAGCACAAGAAGTTCGACGACGAGAAGCAGTCCTCGCTGAAGCGCAAGAGACCTCAACACGGCGATGGGAAGCACAGGGATGAGTCTGCAAAAGCTGTAAACGGCTCAGTGAAAAATACACCGCGCAAACCTCTACCTTCAAGAAAGCGACAAAAGATGGAGGAGCACGTATCTGTAGGTGCGTCGGTCAAGCATCATGACGCAAAGTCCCTCTCCAAGAGCATCTCCATGCCCAATCTGAAGAAGACGCCGCTTCTGAGCAACCCGAAAGACGCTGCGGCTGCCGTCTCCATCCTCGCACCCCATCCTGACTTCCCCGACATCGAGAACGAAGGCGTATCAGAGGTAGCGCTTCCTGGAAAGTACGTCGCATTGGATTGCGAGATGGTGGGTATAGGCCCGGAGCCCAATCGCGACTCGGCCCTCGCACGTGTGTCTTTGGTCAACTTTCACGGACACCAAATCTACGATTCCTACGTCCAGGTACCTCGTCAAGTCCAGGTTACCGACTACCGTACAGCCGTCTCTGGCATCGAGCCCAGACATCTCCGAAAAGACGTTGCGCGACCCTTTGACGAAGTACGAAACGACATCAAGATCCTCCTTACAGGTCGTATACTCGTTGGTCATGCGGTGAAGAACGATCTCGATGTGCTCATTTTGAAACACGACAAGCGCTTCATTCGCGATACATCCAAGTTCTCCAAGTTCAGAGCGCTGGCTACGATTCCAGGGCGCACACCGGGTTTGAAGCTCTTGGCAGAGAAGCTGTTGGGAGTAGAGATACAGGTTGGCGCGCATAGCTCAGTAGAAGATGCACGGGCTACTATGGCGCTCTTCAGGCTTGAAAAGGACGATTTCGAGAAGGAGATACGGCAAAAGTACGGACACATCCGCCTTGAAACTGTAGGACCTGAAGTGGATGTTGGTGGCGGCGAGGAAGTCAAGAAGAAGAGCAGGAACCGGAAGAAGAAAAAGAAGAAGAACTAGCCAGTAGTGGGCTCGTGCTCGTTTACTGGGGATTGGTCATGTTTTGCTGCATCTACATGGAGTCTCGCCTGCTGCGGGGATACCCTTCGAAGGTTCACTTGTATATCATTACTATAGGTTTAGTGTTGTTGCCGATTAGGCATTCACATGTTGTATTCTGCTGTATGTAACAGCAATCTATCCACTATATCTTTCAATCACTATATAGGTCAAGTCAAACCAATTGAGGTACATGCGAGGTTCGTCCGTGTGAAGATACAGGGATAGTAAAGTTACCAGGTATAACTTGATGCTGCTTCCAAGTGTACATGTCGAGCCAGGCTCGCATTACAATTGGAAATTCGGGCCGTCATGCTAGGCACCTACCAGTAACATCTAACGCTATATGCGCCTTTCTACTCTTTAACCCCACCGCTGTACAACAACCAAGCTTTATGCAGTTTAGAAAGCCCGGCATTTACGGAGATAGTGTCTTAACGGACCACATCCCCACATCGAATGTCCTGCGCTATAATAGCTACCCCTCCACCGTAACGCCATATGACAACGATTGCTCTGACGTTCGTTAGTAGCTCCGAACTGATGTAACCCACAATGAGCTGAATGTGGACCCTGAGATCGTCCAATTCGATGCGACGTCAGAATGGAATGATGCTTACATAAGAAGATGCGTTCGTCCGCCATCGTCAAGCCCAACTCGCAAAACCTTCTGGACTTGTACCCCCCACTTTCACCATAACTACATCACATACTACGCACGATGCCTACTCCATTCTCTGAGCCGGCCAAGGCTGTCTCTCTTCTGGAGATCCACCGCGTCATGGCGCCTACGGCTGGCGTTCGCGTCTCCCCGCTTTGCCTGGGCGCCATGAACTTTGGTGATGCGTGGTCAGAGATGATGGGGAAGTGCGACAAGAAGACTGCATTTGAGATGATGGACTATTTCCATTCGCAAGGCGGCAACTTCATTGATACGTAAGTTTATCGACCTCCAACTTGACGTAGAAACTTGCCGACACCCCACAAACGGCCGGGGTCTTGAAGCAAGATCGTGACGCTAACACCCAGTTAGCGCAAATAACTACCAAGCCGAGGAATCAGAGATTTGGATTGGCGAATGGATGAAGGAGCGCGGAGTGCGGGACCAAATCGTCCTGGCTACTAAATTCACCTGTAACTATCCTAACCCTGACAAAGCAATACGGTTACAGACGAATTACGCTGGAAACAGCACGAAGTCACTTCATGTATCGCTTGAGGCGTCTCTGAAGAAACTCCAGACCGACTACGTCGATATATTGTATGTGCACTGGTGGGACTTTACCACGAGTGTCCCTGAGCTCATGCAGTCGCTCAACACCATGGTAAACTCGGGCAAGGTACTGTACCTCGGAGTCAGTGACACACCAGCGTGGGTAGTCAGCAAGGCGAACGAATGTAAGTAGCCACCATGTTTCCCCCTACATGGCCATGCTAACATTCCCTTAGACGCACGGAACCACGGTATGCGTGGCTTCAGCGTCTACCAAGGCCGCTGGTCAGCCGCCTCCCGCGACTTCGAACGTGAAATCATTCCCATGGCACGCGAGGAGGGCATGGCCCTCTGCCCCTGGGGGGCCCTCGGCGGCGGCCACTTCACCACGGAAGAGAAGCGCAAAGCCAACGAACAAGGCCGTAACTTTGGTCCTCCATCCGAGGCACACATCGCCATCTCCAAGAAACTTGAAATCATCGCCAAGGAAAAGAATACGCAAATCACAAGCATCGCGCTCGCATACGTACGACACAAGTACCCCTACGTGTACCCGATAGTTGGCGGTCGCAAGCTCGAGCACTTGAAGGGAAATATTGAAGCACTGAAGTTAGCGCTGAGTGACGAGGAGGTCGATGATATCGATTCTGCTGTTCCGTTCGACGTTGGTTTCCCGATGAACTTTTTGTTTACGTTGGGGGGCGAACAGTATAAGAACACGATGACGAGTTCGGATATTGGACTTTTGAAGTTTGCGGGGCCAATCCAGAGTGTGCCGGTTCAGCAGGGGATTCAGCCGCCGCAGCTATAAGACAGCCGCCGTAGTCGGCATATAGACATGTACACATAGCCCCCCCCCCATACTCGATGAATCAAACATACAGATATAACCAAATGGACCCAGCTCTTATAAGAAACCCCATCTCTCCCATCACCCCCGTAACCTCCTCTTTTCCTGCGGTACCTCAAACCCCGGATTCCTACTCATCTCCCCCACCCCTTGCGCAAACATCCTCTCCTCATCCCACCTAATCAACCCGCCCTTCTCCACCAACTTAATCGCCTGCCCCCTATCCTCCATATTCATCTTACAAACTACCCTATGCACCTTCCAATCCGCCTTTTGACACTCATCCCCACAATACGTTGCTGTGCCACACCGTCCACAGCGACTTAGCCCTGGCTTCCCCACTTCGGATTCGGATTTGGAGCAAAAACTACACTTGGAAAAATCAATACCTTCGTATAACCATCGCACATCCATGGGAATGCCGTCGCCCCAGATATCCATCGGTGCGTATTCGACGCAGAAGGTGCGGGAGGAACGTTTTTGCGCGATCCAGATTTTTTCGGCTAGCATTGCGGTGGCGATTTCGCGGGCGAGAGCTTCTACTTCTGAGGGGGCGGTGGTTTCTGTTTCGCCTCGCATGCTTTCTTTGGGGTTGGGGAGCCATTTTCCGAGGTCGCTTGGGGTATTGATGGATGTAGAGTTGGCGGTGTCGTCGTTCCCGTCCTCCTCGGTACCATCCTCGGAGTTTGTATCGGTGGAGGAGGAGACGGTGATGTTATAACTAGCACACTTCTCCCAATTCTCCTCCTTGGCATCTAGGATCCCGAAGGTGATTTGGTTTGCTATACGTCCGATTTCAAACGTCACTCCCTTCTCCCCATCCTTCCCCTCTTTCTCCCTCACACCCCTCCGTCCAAACGTCCACGTAAACGAAAACCAAGCATCCAGATCCAAAAATGCCGCCAGCGCTGTGGGATGCCAATTATACAACACGGTAGCGAGGCCGATTGCTGGATCTATGCTGTTTGTGGAGACAGATGGTGGAAGGTCGTTTTCAACAGAGTAGATGCTGAGAGGGCGCTGGTTTAAGAGGAGAGGGGCATTAGGGTAGTCTGGGATGCGGAAGTTGGAGAGGGGGACTGTGGGGAGGGAGGGGGAGGGGGAAGTTTCTGTTTCTGTTTCTGGGGGTAGGTGCATTGTTTTGGTTTGTTTGTTTGGGTGTTGGTGGGTGTGTTTGCGGGAGAGTTAGGATAGAGGGTGTAGGTTTTCGGTTGTGGTTGGAGCGTGTGAGTGGGTGGGCGAATGGGGAGGTGTGAAAGTCTTGATGTGGGGGCAGGGACATGGGCTCTTATTGGTTGGAAGTATGGTGGTAGCGTGTTAGTTTTTTTCTTGGGTATGGTGATGCGATGAGGAAGTGACCATTGTGCGAGTGTTGGGATAGCATTTCAGAGGCTTTGACGAATGACTTGTTCGTTTGCATTGTTCTCTATTTTTTTGTAATCAACAGCCTACGCTGCTCACCATCACGCCAAAGTTCTACATCTAATCCTGATGACACCGAAATCATTACAAAATATGTGTTGATTGTGATATCTACCTCGTGGCGTGAAGCCTACCTCTCTTATAACCAATAACCCCGCATACAAGTAGTCGTAAAAAATCTGACGATATTCATCGAATCATAGAAAAGATTAATGCCATCCACATCCGCTTTCGCATTCGAATCCGGGAAAAAAGAAGACATGTCCCCAACTCCGACCACCTTTCTTTACCTCGCAAACGTTCAGAAACAGTATTCAACCCCCAAGAGAATCTGGTTTCTCACCCAAAATGTAAGAATGTCCACCGTGTAAAGACTCCGTCCCCGTTTTTAGCATGCCAGTTCTCCGTAGTGTAGGCTTGTTCTTTTCAGTTTCCCCCCTTCTAGTCTCCAGCATGCGCCAATGTTTCAATCGTTCTCTAACTCGTCCAACTCTTTTTGCCGCCTTTCTAATTCTTGTCTCATGGCATCTGCTTCTCGCTTCAACCGTTCCCTCCTCGCCGCTTTCTCTTCTGGCGACATCCCATGACTAGGCGATGGACCCCCACTTGGGCGGAGAGGTACAGAGAGAGATGGATCAATGTTAGCTTCCGCCTCTCCTTGCGACGGGTTCAAAATCGACGAGATAGCGTTTGGACGGTGGGGTGCAGGGTTCACGGGCTCCTCCGGGTCCATGGTGGCACTGCGACTACGTTTTCTGGGCGAGGGAGCACTCGGTTGCGTGTTTGGTATTAGGGACGATGGATTTGAGGTCGTAGATAGGTTGCCATAGTAGTGCGTAAAGTCGACAGCTATCGGGCCTCTGGGCGGTTCAGGGGTGTACTCTTCTCGAGATTCGAGTGCAGTCGATGGATCCGGTGATGCAGAGTGCTCGAATGCAGGAGTCTGAGAAGGTCGCTGTGGCGGCGAGTAGTTGGCGACGGAGGAGGCAGCATGGGAGCCTGTGTCACCGGCTGGCACTACTCGTTTTCGACGCTTGATTTCCTGCTTCTTCATAGCGACGGGGCGATGGGTGCCATGAAGCTTGTAGTATAGTCCTTCACAAAGGTTAGTCATCTACATGAGGGTCCACGAGCCACCTAGTGTCATGACTTACCACAAGCGTTACATATTATATGACCAGCATCATCTCGTCGCCAGAGTGGCGTAATTGTGGTACCGCAATTTTGACAAGCCGGAATCGCACTGGTGGAAGCCGCAGAGGTACCAGTCGCATCAATTACATTCTTGCCTTCAGCCGCATTCGCCTGTGCCAAGGCAAACTTTGCTGTCTTGGAAACGCGATTGTTGAAGGCAGGACACCCACTACAACCTTGTTGACCACCAGTGCCATTGCATCTTCCCCCTCCAGGACATGTTCCCGCTGCCATCTGATCTGCAGCAACGTAGGTTGCTACTCTTGGTGACGCGGCAAGATTACCAGGTGACGTACTGCTGCCATCACCGGGGCCTGGCGTTGGGCTTTGCTGTGTCGGCAAGATTTGAGTTGACGTATTGCGCTTCAGATTCACTGGACGTGACTGGTTTCGTGCCTTCATATACAGACCACAGGCGTTGCATACCGTCTCCCCAGAAGGTGATCGGCGCCATAACGGCGTTTGAGTTGTCTTGCAATTACTTCGGTCCGTTAGCGCTTCCCCTGCATGCACGGTACCAACAGTGACGGCGCGGGCGGCAGGCTACGAGAAATTTTCAGAGTACGTACCTGCAGACCTGGCCAGTGACTGTGGCGTTGGATGCATCGTAGTTTATGTTTTGAATTTGAAGAGAGGTTGAAGTGGCCGGTACCGCGGGTCCGTCTGGAATGGGCACCGCATCTTCCAGTGAGTGATATATCTCGGACCTTTGATCTTCTTGAGTGTCCATCTGTTGTTCTTGCGAGGGAGTCTCTGTTCTGGGTTTGTGGTGTTCATGGGCCTGGAGGAGGCGAAGACTCTCAGCCATCTCTAACTCGTCTCTGCTTGTTTCCCGTGAAAGATGGTGTGGATATGTTGGCGTTGGGGCGAGAGAGGTGCCTCCTGTCCCTGAAACATGTGCCATGAGGCGAGAGCCTCGCTGGTCAGGTAGTGATTTCAAAGAGGGTGGTGTCAAAGTTCGCAGTGGCGTAGTGATGCCTAGAATGCGCAATGAAGTTCAGGTAAACAGCAAGTTGCAGTTGCTCTGTCTACTACGGTCGGACTTTGACGTGATAGCCGAAGGAACCAAGTCGGTCTGAAGCAGGCGCTAACGTGTCTTGGTGTAATGCGCGCGCCCCCAGGTCTAGGTATGCGGTGTTGGTCAGGTGTGGCACACTGACGGACAACGAGCAGATTTAAGAATGATGTGCCGGGCAAGGGAGGACTACAAGTGGATTCGGGATCTCCGTCATCATAATCTGGTGCCAGATGGCTATCGGACCTGGCGGTGCTGATGTGGTACCCTCTGGAATTCAGGCGGTGAATGCGTGCTGACGGCCAATCAAAACAATGCTATTCTAAGCCGGGAATTAGCGCGAAGACCCTGAAATATACGTCCACGGCGACGGTGGACTGAGTCAAAGCCGCATATCAAGGATGAATCAATGTCGTGCGCTGCACATACACGGCAATCGTGATCAGGCGCCAACCATATGCCAGGTACATGCACTCCACGAAGCGATTTAGGTTCCCCCAACCTCGGGTCATCTGCGCGCGCGGCAGGAAAAAAAAGTAGAAATTGGCCATATCACTCCAATAGCTCCACTCGGGACTCGCAATAGCCCAGCACTCTGCGGATCTTGATCCGGCTCGCCTGTAGTTAGCGATTCGTGTTGGTTGGTTCTCCGCACGCCACCAATGCAATCGACAAGGGTCCGGCCATGGCGAAGCGAACTGATACAAACTGCCCACGTATCTTTTCCATGCATGCATATCAGATAAGATCCTGTCGCTCACCGCTAGTCGTTTTTCACTGCAGACATACACACGAGCTAGCACCTTAAGGGGACCACATCCTTTACGGTTCGGCGGAATAGCATATGTATCATACACCCGTTCAACTCTGGACCAGTCCAGTCCCTAAACAGTGTAGCCCCCCCCCCCCCAAGATCCATAATCATCACCACTTCTTCCCTGCGACATGCCTGTTCAAATCCAAACCCACACCACAGCTTCTACAACGCCGGTAGACGTATCCGGAACCAGAAGTGCCCAACCTGTGAACATGCAACACCTAATTATTACATGGAAACGCGCGCGGTAGGCCTAGTGACAAAGCTCAAGGCCGAAAAACGTTTGATATGAGGAATCTGCAATCGCCATCCTCTTATGGGCCCATTGTGATTTTAAACTTGTTCGGCGCCCCAACCAGCATCAGCGTCACTGCATTGCCATTGTTAGTTTGATGTGCTTTGTCCTCTCGGGCATTCTACACGTACCGCATGTTCGCTGGTGGCTCAATTGAGGGAATGAATTCCAGAGCAGCGTAGCCCACACCAATTATGCCGACAATGGTGCCAGGCACAATGCGGAACCAGCGCTCACCAACAATGACGGAACCAATGAAGATGTAGAAGATTCCACGGCCGAGGAACGAGAACATGAAGGAGGCATATCGGGCCACTTGCTGGGGAATCTGGAATTCGAGCAGAGCGGTTCCTGTTGCCTTGATTAGCCATTGATGAAGCAATTGAGGTGTCAGGGCTCTTACCAAGACCGAATATTATCAGGTAGACACCGAGAATGATGTTTGAGCTAGCAAGGCTATCAGCGCTGTCCTGGACATGTACAAAGATATCGCCGTCGTGGCAGTCGCGGGACGTGTGTCGTGTCTGTAGGGCTGCCACCCCGCATTGAACGCTCCGCCTACGTGTAGCCGTGCACAAGTGGACTCAGACCAGCCGAGAAACACTCAGGTACAGACTGAGACAGCACATGCCCCTGGCAGCATGCACGTCGTGGCTCAGTCCCCTATGCCCAGACACGTCCATCACAGCCCGCTGATCATGCCACGTTATGCGATGCCGAAGTCGATTGTGGAGGCCCGGTCAATGCGACCATGTTGGGGGCCAAGTATATGCGCCAGAAGGGACTCACAAATCGTTGAATGGGAACAACTTGGCAATACCACCGAGGACGACGAATACGGCAACGGCGAAATTCACCATGCGACTAAAAACACACGAATTAGCCTTGCATTGTAAACCTCTCCAACAATGCCCGTGAGCTTCAATGGCGGCTCCCAAGAGCTGCTGCCTAGCTCCGGCGCAGCTCCGGTCTGCGCCGCTGTCGCTACTGCTGTCACTCACAAGATATCGGAAAAGTCCATGGCGTGGGAATCACTGGCGAGATGTGGGAACCGCACTTTGACGACGTGTTGCGCGGAGACGCGGGCGATGGCGGGATGCGGATGAGATGGGGAAAGATGTGGCTTTCTTTGCACGAGGCTTTTTGGTGTTGCGCAAATGGACGTGTTGCGACGAGACGTTGCGAACAACAGGCCCCAGGGCCAAGCTTCTACGCGCTAAACGTCATAACCCGGTCGCCCTCCTCATTGGCTGATGCACGCTCAAGGGGTCATTTTCACGCGTCTTCACACTTTGGAGAGATGCATGTTTTTTTTTACCGTGTTCATTATGAACTAGTGTTCGTAAGGGGGGACTCAATGGATAATGACTAGCTACAATTCTCCACCAATGTGATACTGGTATCCTAGAGTGCCTGCTATCATGTCCTTCCCGCCTGATTCCTGCCTATGGCAACCAGCAACTTTTGACTACTCAAACTCCAGAGTCCTATCCTGCTAGAAGACCTGCTTGAAGACGTATGCCTTCCAAGCTGAAAAACTTCTCCTCAATAAGAACCATGTTGCACTTGGGCGACTGCACAGGTTAGTATGGGGGTCAAGTGAAGGTAGGACGAGAGGGATATACATACACGCAAAAGTATCCGACAAGTGGGAGTCCAGTGTCCAAGCTTAGACGACTCCAAGGCAATGTGACCCGCTAGAGGCCGTTCAAGACCCAGTCCTCAGCAAGATCAATGCAAAGGTGATACCAATGAGTGCCAATCCTAGGAATCTTTGCAATGGTGTTCATGAACGTCTCGTCGATGACAGTTCCTTGTCGGGGAAAGATCTTCAGGTTGCTGTTCTTCATGGCATACTCCTTCTTTTCCATGGTGAAGAGGCGATCGGGCAGCGCAAGCTTCCTATGGAAGTCCGGGAATGCTTTGTGACGGAGGACCCAATAGATGTCGAAGCCGTGGTCGAAGAACATGGTCACATCGCCAGGCGTGATCTTGAAGTCGAAGACAAAGAACCTCACAGTGCACTTCGAGTTCTCGCGACAGAACTCTTCGATGCCCTCGAATGTGGATGACGTGTTCTTGAGGCCTGTGAAGAAGAACTTCTCGGTCGTGTGATGGGAGAGTTCAACGCGTGACAGCCAAGATGCCTTAGGACCGCACTCTTTGATGAACATGTTGAACACTTGAGCTGCTCCGAGTACGCCGCGAGTCTCGATGAAGTTACTGTCGAAGAATATGGTGTTGTGCTTGAACTCCAGACAGATCGTCTCGTTGTACAGGCCACGGCAGACATACTTGACCTGGTTGAACTCCTTGCCACTCTTGTCGCCGCGAACCTTGATGTACGACTTCTTTGCCAACGGGGCATCGAAACGAGCATAGGGAAGGCGCACAGACTGGTGCATGAACTCGAGATCTCCATCAGCCTGAAAGACGTAGTGGTAGATCTTGTTGCGTATCTCTCCAGGAAGACACATCAAAGCACTCTCGGGCTGAGCAACAATGGCACGCTGCTCAAGGTGTTGCGAGATCTTGAGGTTTTCACTGTTGACTAGCCTAGCTATTGTCAGCTTGCGCGTGCGCGAGGACTCGATGGAGACTTACTTGGGCTGCATTGCAGCAAGCGCTTTCTCATGGGCAACTTTTGCTTCATAACTATGGGAAGATTAGCGAACCTGTAACTTGAGCGAAGCTAGGAGAGATCACTCACCCAGTCTTGCGGCCCTTGCCGTTGCGTCCTTGGCGTGCCATCTTCGCGACTGAGATGGAGAGCGTAGCTGTTGCTGTTAGTTTCATTCAGCTGGAGAGCAAACTGAGCAGCACAGCTTCAGATACTTCCCGATCATCGGCAGCACTGTTGCCAGTCTCTTCCTTCAACGCTAAAGATGAAAGCAAGAACGAATAGCGCTCAAGATGGCAGAAAGAAAGAACATGATACCTTACCTTTGTGTGCAGTAGAATGAGACGAAGGTGCGCTCGTCAAAGAGCGGAGAGCGGTGTGGTGGGGAGGTTCTCAGTAGGCAGCATCAACAGCAACAAAGTCGCGATACGCTAGCGCGTGTTAGCGTTGTTGTTACGCGTTACGTGCAAACGGTGAGTGCACGGGCTGTCAAAAGTGATAGTGAACGGTGATATAGAACACCGTAGAATCAGTTCGATGAAACGTCCACAAGGGTCGAATGCTGTGATATTTGATACAATCTGTCCCTTCTCCGAATGTATATGGCTCAAATTGTGATCTTAGACTATCTGGAAGTGCGTTGGTGAGACAGAGGTCCAGTTCAGATTTGGTTCGAACTGATTGCGTGCGCTCAATGGTGCAAGCAGCTCAAGTCCTCTACCCCTGATTGGCGAGAAACGATTGCTGGCCTGAGGAATGGAGTTTGAAGATCGAGTTTCTCTTGCAGACTTTTGTACATCAATCTACCAATTAGGTAGAATCTCTTTTCTGGTGTTTACGCTCGTCCACAGGGACAACCTAGTTCAAATGACGTCCTTGTCGCGTCACTTCTGACAATCGATCTCTGGCCATGCTATACGGCCCATTTACTGCGCTTCCTCAGGCTTGGTCCAAATCGATATAGCACGTATGGTATAGGTAGCGCAAGGGCACTGATGCAGCCGAGCACGGTCAAAGTCCAGTGTGTTCCCAAGTTCCCGTACATTGGGATGCTAACAACCGTCATCCCGCCAGCTGCAAGGTACCTGACAAGCGCGACAAGTGTCAACACCGACGCTGCGTAGGCCTCGTAGCTGTCGATGATGTACATGTATGCGGACATGAAGACGCAGATATTGCTGAAGCCGATGAGAAGTGACGCCGCAAGAGGAGACCATATCGAGATTGAAGGCTGTGACGCGTGTTATTGATGCATCTACAACGTTTGCAGTGACATACATAGTCTGTCCAGCCCATCCAGAACAGTCCGATCGACAATGCCGGTGCCCCAATCATGGCAAAGTACAATCTTGACTCTCGGTTTATTAAACTACCTGATCCATCGTCTCCATCCCTCTGAAGCTGACGAATTGTTATACGGTAGACAATCGGTACAAGGACAACTGCAAGTGCTATTCCAACAAATAGTCCAATGAAGCAAATGTTGGATAGTCCCTCGTTGATGCCGTATGTCTCGGTAAAGATGCAAGGGTAGCTGGAATAATAGTCAGCGACATGAGTTACTTAGATGCTCTTTAGGGAAAAGGGTTTTTTACCCATCTAAAAAAGTGAACAGAATGATGTACACGATGACCAGATACAGCGTGAACGCCATGACAACAGGCTGTGTATAGAGGAAGAAAGGCCTCGAAAAGCACCTCGAAAAGAGATTCCCCAAAGAGCTGTGGCTTGCTTCAGCGGTAGTCTTGAACTTGTTGTTACCGGTAAGTTTGCGGAAGTGGCTTGCTTTGTAATGGAGGAGTCGAGGAGCAAACGACTCTCTTTTAAAGAGTAGGATGAGTACGAAGACTGCGCCGATCATGATCAATGTTATCCATTCTGTCCATCTCCAGTTGATGTCTTGTTCATAGCCGATATAAGCGCCTATGACGGGGCCTGAGAAGATGGGTGGTTAGTGAGACTTTGCTGAAGCGGCAGAGGCACTTGCGTGATACCGGAGCAGGACAGACTCACCAAAAACAGGTCCGCCAAATGCGGGTATCGCAAACAAAGGGAAGGCGAACGTCTTCTCGATTGGATTCCACAGATCGCCCACCGAGCCTCCTGCCACAGTGAGAGAAGTACTTGCCAAAAACCCAGCCAGGAATCGGAAAACGATTTGTGCACCAAAGTTCGGGGCCAGAGCAGCACCCAATATCCAGCAAGCGAAGACAAGAAGAGATCCAAGGTATACCGGATATCTCCCGACAAGCTCTGACAGTGGGCTCGGAAGTAGCGCTCCGAGACCAAACCCAACAAGAAAGAGGGCAGTGGCCAGTAATTCCGCAACCTCCGAAACACCAAAGTCCGCAGATGCTCTAGTAATCACAGCAGAATCGATGGCAGATGCGGCAGTTGCGACGAAAGCAACGGTACAGACGAGTAAGGTAGCGCCAACACGATGAAGTGTAGACCATTGCTTTGGGTTATGAGGATCATCCGGCCCAACCCAGTCCACCTGGTAACAGGACTCGTTATTACCATCTTCCATCAACGTGATGCCCAGGATCCGTGTGAACGGCTCACTCTTACCCGCTGACTGCAAACCCCCCAATTCTTGCGCTTCATCAGATGTCATGGGCATGTGTGCAGTGGCAGCGGAAAACGGATCCGAGAATTCAGTAACGCGTTGGAGTTCTTCCTTGACATGGCACTTGATCGCCCTGTATTGCAGGAAGAAAGCCATTGCGATGGTGGCGATGCAGTCAAGTCGGAAAGCGGGAAAGGATCACATCGAAAGACGCTGGGAAGGTGCAGAGTAAATAGGTAGGTAGCGGAAAGGCGGATAATCCCCATTTTCCGTGACGTTTCCTAATTATCATCGGGAGATGCGTAAAATGTCCAGTATAGGACGATGATACTGAAGCTTTAAAATGGGACTTGTCCAGCTGCTTGCAACAAAAGATGCAGAAGTGGGTCAGAACTAGAAGTTTTTCGAAACTACCGATAACGCCTGGGCCATGATCCTGACGCTCTGGTTGCTCCGAGGGCGCTTTACTTAAAATGACACTAGGTGACGGCTGGCCCTTGCCTGGTCACGAAAGGGTCTTATTCCCGAAGCGCGTCATGAGGCGGAATTTTAAGCCGCATGCCACAATCGAAAATACCAAACAACAAAGACTCCGATGCCCGAATGTAAAGTCCGTTTCCATATTAAAAGGTATGACAAGGCAGGTGACAGAGAACAAAAAAAGAGGCTGCAGGGATACAACTCAAACACCAGTATGGACAGCACGAGATTTTGAGGAAAAGACAGAATGTTCTACCTGGAGATGGTTCTATCTACTTGTTGATGACTGGCGTGAAAAGTGGCAAAGTTGAGATTGCCTTCTTTGTCGACGCAGAAAGAGTCCCGAAAGAACATCCTGTTGTTTCGGAATGTCGCATTCAGGCTCTCTCAACACTCTCGGTCTTCGCCGCAGTGTACTCAGCGTTAGACTGAAAGCCACCCTCCGGAAGTTTGTCGAGCTGATCGTTCTCTTTGTCCAGGGACCTAAAGGTCCATGCGAAACCGATCCAGCCAAAGAAGGTGAGAATTGCAATGCTCACATACAGCCACACCAGTAGTGGATCTCCGGCCAAGGGAACAAAAGCCTGAGCAATGGCCGAAGAGAAAGCATGTGTGAACCAAAACATGCCTGTTACCAAGGAGCGCATGTTCTTTGGGGCTTTCGTGTAGGCATACTCCAATCCAGTGATGGAAGCAAAAATCTCAGAGAAGGCGATGAGCACATAGGCCGGAACCTGAGTCCACACAGAAAGATCCGGGGGCTGATCGCAATCTGTGGGGTACTTTCCACAAGGTGACTTCTGGTAGATGAAGTGTTGGATGACAGCTGCGACGACCATCGAAAGCATGGCACAGATGAAACCAGCCTGGATCTTCTTCAATGGCGTGAAGTTGATGTTCCAATGAGCGAGCTTTGGATACACCAACTTATCGAAGATCGGAATACAAATTAACAACGTGAAAGGGTTCAGGTTGTGAATGATGTCGTTTGGTACCCCGTTCAGTTTCATGGTCGATGCTTGAGAGACCAAATTGTTCGTCCTGGATCACACCTAGTCAGCACGTGTCTCGCGTATCATGGAGCAGTGAGGACTGACATTTGACTGTACGGTAGCCAAAAGATTGGCAACCAGAAGAACACTTGACATGCTTTGATTCCACGTCGCACTTCTTCGACCCAGGCATCATCGAAGGTCATCCATACGGGCTTGTTAGTAATCTTGCTTGGCTTCGCGCTGTCCCAAATGTTCGGATCCGATAGGTTCCTCCATGTCCGAACAGGATTCATGGAGAAGCGGCCCTTCAAAACCAAACCATACACCCTCATGGACTTGACGAGGACATCTCCTTGTGGAGGCTTCTTCACGTAATGCTTGCTAAACAAAACCATAAGAAGCGGGCAAAAGACAAAAAGAATTGTCGGCAGCGTAAAAGAGAGCCAGAAGCCGACATATTTCTCAGCATAGACTGGTGAGGGTCAGTGAATGACTCCTATTCGTCATATCATATCACATACCCATAGACACTTGACCGATCAGCGCTCCAACATTGATCAACAGGTAGTAACGCATGTAGACTCGGGAGTAGGTGATGCCCGGGTCTACGATGACACGTTCTCCACTAGGCTCGGTGCGAATATAAGCTCGGGGATGACTGGCCTCGTATTGCTCCGCAATCAACGGAGAGATGCAACACTTGAAGAAGCCAACACCAGTCCCGAAGAGGATCAACCCCAGAATGAATGAGGCAAGTGCGCCGTTTGGATTTGGTCCCATGACCTGAGGTATAGCGGCAATGATGATCAAGATGTGTCCAGCTGTGGCAACGCCGATGGCAAAGTATATGGTTTTGAACTTCCCCCAATACTCATCTGCGACCCAGCCACCTATGGGGAGTCAGCGCAACATTTGGTCGACTTGTACTCGTATACTTACCAACTAGAGGCATGATGTATGAGAAGAAAGCGTTGAACTGAGTGAGGCCAGTGCTAGCACGCTGTCCCATTCCCAAAGCACCCGGCTGACCATCGCCAGCTGCACCGGCTTCTGGGAATGGGCCTGTGGTAGGCAGATCCCTCTGTATGAAGTTGACAAAAACTGCAGTCGTGCCATAGTAAGCAAATCGCTCACACATCTCCACGATGCCGATAATATAGACTATAGGTGTTGGTGATTAGCTCACGCTCAGCCAAAACTTCTCGTCGTTGCGCGTACTCATCCAGTTGACCTTGCCATACACTTTACGAAGCGTCTGCCATTCTTCCTCTGTAGGGTATTGTTCGCCATTGGGTCCAAGAAGATCCTCGGAGGTTCTCAAAGATTTTTCCTGTTTTTCCAAACTTGAGCTGGCTCGCACATCGTTGTGTACTGGGACGGCATGCGCCATCGCGGCATCGACGATCTCAAGATTAGCGCCACTAGACATTATGACGAGAATGAAGGAAGCGAAACCACATCTCGCATAGCAACGGTATTCTGGCTATATTTATATTCTCACATCATGTGCCTGGGATATCCGAGCTGCCTTTTCCAGAAAAGCCATGTTGCCATATTATCTTCCTTCGCCCGTTGGGTGGCTGACAAGCACTCCCGTAATTTAGGCGCCCAGAGATAGAAGTACATAAAGGTTGCGCAGTCCGGCACCAGACCGATCCTGTATTCTTGGATTTCTGGGTATCACGGAAGTATGGTTGGCGCCGAGTATTTCTTAGGGCTGCCCCGTTCTTGATCGCTTGACGTTGGATCTTGGCGAGCGTTGCCGTGACAGGCCAAGCCTAAAAATGCCCAATGATACGCGTGACCGATATGGAATCATGCAGTTGTTCTGATTGCCACCCGATAGCAATCCGAGTAATGCAGACTATCCAACACCCAAGATATGGGAATTTCTTCACGCGGTCAAGATCAACACCTGCCCGATCAAGCACAATAACCACTGCTATCGCAGCTAATCACCCAAGTCCAGCAAACATATCCCAGAAACTCCAAGAGTCCTGTTTTGGTACTAATGCTTGTGCATGGAATTTCTATTGTGGCGATTGGTCGTACTGAGGAGGTGGTACGGTGATGGTGGGATGAGCCCCGAACGAAGCTAATCCTACAGTACACATCGACCATAAGTGGTGAGAGCTCCCCCGGAAGGTAGAAACGGTACCCGGGAAGATGCAACGCTGTCGCGATGGAGTGTTGGTGTTGCTGTTGGAGGCGGAGAGGGAAGCTGCCCAGGTGAGCCTTGGAGTGCCAAGCGCGCCCCACACGGTCAGACAGCTTCCGGTTAGCGTCGAGGAAGCTTAAGGACTTTGTCTAACTTCACCTTCTCGATTTGCTCATGAGTCCGGGACAAATAATAAAACCATAGCAAACTATGTCGTAAACAGTCTGTCAGAACACGAATTTGACTTGTCTTAACCCCCTGTACACTCGATCTCGTGGGTTGGTCTGTCAGAATTCGGAGGCTACTACCACTATAGCGTCAACAAGGCAAATCAACTACGTAATGTCTTCTTGGATACATGCTACCGAAATATAGTTTGGTGGATGCCGAAGGTTTCAAAAGTTTATATCATGTCGTACTACTGAGTATAAAGTGTTGGGATAACACCTTAACTGCTTTTTTGAACTGCTGCGACAAACACCGCGTTGTGAAAATCTGCTACTGCTAAGCAACGATATCAATTACTTTAATTATATATCATGTCGTACATGGCTAGTCGAGCAATCCCAACGCGACGTGCCTCTAACAAGGCTTTCTAAATGTAATTCAATCCGAAAGCGTTGTTCTTCGTATGTTTACTATAAAATAGTCAAACTCCCGATCAGATATTTCGTCATCTTCTCGAAATTAACCTCATCTTTCGCAGGTCATCCGACTCATTCTGTATATCCTGTTCCTTGTCTAAGAAAAGTGTGCAGTCAACGAGTAGATGGATCTTTCAGCCTCTGAAAAAGGCATTTTTGCAACTCTTTCATTCTACGACAATGAATTTACGCCATTGTGGAGATGCGGAGCGAATGTTGCATTTGCGTTGGCCTCGAGGCCTCGTTTGGTTTCAGTGCTTTGTTGAACTCGTCTGGCCCTCAGAACCCATTCTTGCACTGATAAATCAAGGCAACAAAGATCTCACGACACACAACCCCGAAAATTCCAGAGTGATATTCATGGGTCGAGCATTTTGACAGTGCTGGAGTTGACGATATTTTCAAAGTCATCAAGGCTGATCATGGCAACGACCATCCGTTGCACCCAGAACTCGGCATTTTGCTCTATATTACGAACTGAGAGATCTGATAGATATTACATGTGAGGATCTACTAAACCGGGCGCATATTTCCTCGGGGATTATTCCGTTGATTACTGGGAGCCGGAATCAGCAAGACACCATCCCGATTGTTGGAGTCCGAATCACAAGGTGTACATAGCAGATGCGTAGAGGCTTCGCGATTTCTTGGGAAAACGAACATCTTATCTCTACGACACTCGAACATCTCCACCCGGCACACGATTTTCGAGCATGACAACCTGTCACAGAACCTGCTAGCCCCGTCCCGAACAGTCAATGGAAGCTGAGGACTAGATTTTCTATGGACTAATATGAACATACAGAGTCACTATACTCCAGATTCAATTTTTGTAAACTATGGCAAGGAGTGAGTATCCCGAGGGAAGTGTTGGTCGTACAATGGCATTCACAATGATCCCTGACGTGGTCCTTGCTCTGAGCTCACAGCGCAGGGCCCTAGCGACAATGAGCTTTCACGAGGTCTTTGACGCGCCGTACTTAATTTCTCTCCTATATATCCGACCATTTATTGTATCACTGTTAACCACAAACCGGTCTCATCACGCAACTCAACCACTTTCTTTGGGTTGAACAAGGATTTCACAGCAACTTCTGTAAGCTAAGACTTGCCAAAGAGACTTCATTTGTACCAGATCAGAATCGTTGATTATGCCTGCCAGACCGAATTCTCCACGTCCCTCGTCCGGCCCCAGCATGCCCACGCTGATGACTCCTCCACATCCTAACTACATCTACGATACAGGCCAACCCATTCTCGATATGCCGGATCATCATGACTATTTCTCTCCGATAATGAAAACGCGTGGCTTTCAGCAGGATTTACGTCCACTAACACCGTACCCGCTATATGACGACGACTACGAAGTCGACATATATAGTGGCCATGGCGACTTCTTTCGCCCTGGGACAGGGGAAAACCTCCGAGCACAACATCGGCTCCCAACACCTGAGGTATATAATACGGAACACGATCTCCCAGTGATTAAGCCAGATATCCCATGGTCACCGAAGACATATGACGCGGACCATGATCTGCCAGTCATCAAGCCAGATTCATATCTGGCAGAGACCTCAGATCCCAACCACGACGATGCTCAATCCGATGCTCCTGGACGTTCTCAAACTGAGCTCGTTTTTCCTCCACGCCGTCTTTCTGCAGCAACCGAGACTTTTGTATCAGACTATAGCAGACTTTCTGTACGCGTGCCCACCATGCGGAGCGATGAGACTTTTGTGACAGACCATAACAGCCTGCCTGTACGTGTGCCCACCATGAGGAGCGATACGTATCAGCCTGCTATGGGGGGTCTGCATCGGCTTGCAAATAATGATGTTAAGCGTTCAAAGCGCGATCGGATCAAGCGTTTCATTTGCGGTCGACAAAAGTTTGCATGGCAGACTAAGTAGGGAGAGTGGAGATGGACGTGAGAGGTTAGACGACGTATTTTCCGCGCATGTTTTCGTAACGTGGGAGATCATTATAGTGATTAAGGCGGCTGGTATTACTTTTATTCCGGGAATCCGACAGATTGCATTGCAAGAACTGAAAATATCATTATTTATTCAGTAGTCCGTGCAGATGCTTTTGACCGTTTTTTATTGTGGCCCCGTTTCATGAACGCAAGGGGGAAAATTACGGGGGTCCATCACGCGCTCATTCTTAACTCATATGCTGACAGCACTCGGAAAATTTAATATGAATTCATATCGACAAGTCCCAAGTCAACCTCGCAAGTCTACCTTGACCTATCCTCTTTTTTGGTTCTTTTTTTTGGTCCTCAGTGCAACAGTACACAATCTATTCTTCAGCTCATCGTGCTTCTTCAATGCTCCCCTCTTTATGGGGCATGCCAATGGGATATCGATAATGCGTAAGTCGATATGACGATGATCCAGGTTTGTACAATCATAGCCATATCATAGTTTGGAGAAGCATCTACCACCAGCAAACCGTGTCCAAAGGTGAAATTTCGTTGGCAATCCGTGAATAGGGGCGAGAAAACCGACGATATCTGCATTCAGAAGCGAATGAGAATCACTCCGCAACTCTCGGTAAGAGCTCTTCATCATTACGAAGATCAACCTCGCTGACTTCGTTAGACGGACGGACCGCTGGAGGCGGGCGCAACAATGTTGTCGTTGGTACCACTACTAGAAAGTCAGAACGAGCGTGGTGCGCCCGTTGTGATTCAACCAGGAGCTCATGCAGCTCATATTGGGTACCAGGACGACTACATTGAGCAGCTTTATCTCTCAATCAAATGGCTTAGCTAGTGTTCTTTCAATATTTGCTATCATCTGCGAGCGTCGCGGCGCACAGGGTTCTACAATCCTCTGGATCATTCCAACGCTATCAAAGCATGAGAAGGGCAGTCAATTCAACATCGACTCAAAAAAAGATGGTGTACAGGAGGTATCAGTCCTTCCAGTAGCTGAGTTGTAATGATTTCTCATTCAAGGATTCTTCTCTATTCACATCACGCAATTGACGTGATTCGTGTCTTGAGGCACATGTAGCTGGCTCAGATTAGCGAAGTGAAGGAACGCTCGGCGAAGAAAAGGAGTGACGTGATCGAAAAAAGCTTTGCCAAGAAATAGCTTATTTTCATACAACTGCTACCAAAGAAGCAAGACGGGTATTTTAAAGATGACAGAATTGAGGGTGGTACAATTATGAACAGATAGAGTCTATTGGGGTTGCAAAACTATATTTTAGGACACAAGTTCCCGTACGGAGCGCACGTGACGCCAAGTATTGCTGAATGAATACGTGCCGTGCTCTTAGAACGATGGTAATATAGTCGATGTAGCCTGCTCGATTTCGCACCAGGTGGTGATTGCGGTATAGATAAGATAGTTTGACCCAGAGGCTTTCGATAATATTAAACTGCTGTTGGTTTGTGTCTAATAGTACGGTTCAACTCCACATGAGTACTGCGGTTGCTTGATCATCGTGGTCGATGTATACCATGAAACAAAATCTAGTCGTCTACTACTTGTATAAAAATGTGCCAGTCGTAAAATCTCCATCTTGAATATTCACGGAAATCACTTCGCATTTGGACTGGAAACTGCACACCTCAACTACAGCAAACTACACGTTGACAAAAAGAACCGAACATGACATACTTACTTCACCCACCCCGGAGTTACGTCGTCTTCGCTACTAATCACGGGACTATATCGCACTTCTTACGCCACAAGCACCGCTGGGCCAGATTTTACACTGAGCTGACCACACTTCCCGATTACATCAGTACCTCGTGTATCCGCGAACTAAACGACGGAACAGTTGGGATAGAAGCGGAGGCCTTGGATGGAGAGCAGATGGCTGAGGAGATCAAGCAGATGGCTGAGGAGATCAAGGGGCTGCTTATGCGAGACGGCGACGTGGAACCAGATTTACGATTTGCTGGGCGACTAGTCCATCGCAGTCAAGGCTCAGAATCGAAAACGAAGTGACTGTAAAGAAACGCTATGAGGGTGAGATTACGAGCTGGGATGGAGATGGTTTGGATGGGTCTCGGGAGGCGTGATACACATCCGAGTTGACCATGCGCAAGGACGTGAGAAAGGCCATGCTACCGGTAAATCGCCAAAGCGCGGGGTTTTTTCCCTCGTGTAGGCAACGCATTCAAACCAATGTAATCATGGCCTCGAGGTCATATGCCTATTTGTTACAATGACACGTTAGTCCATGTCTGCACCTCCGTCACTTGACACCACCTAAGTTTTGAGGCACAAACGTGGTGTGATCCCTGAAGACTAATGTTTTAACGCATCCCTGACTCGGCCGGCTATTTGCGACTCAGAATTCGGGATTCAAATCACGACATCAGGAGTGCGCGTATGAGAGAGAGGGGAGCAACACCACCATCGATTGTCGGCAACGGTGCAACCGCGGAGAAGCGAATTGGAATACGGAAACCGCGCGTCGCATCAATTCGCTCAACGATGAGTTGTAACTTAAATTCTTTAGTTTGAGCCGGACGCCATGTCAAAGGCCAGTGGGGACGATCATGTCTGGGGATGGAGTGGAGACACGATGGATGGTGCTGAGTTGTAAGCGTTTTGCTGTTGAGGGGCGTCATGATCACGTGCATGTGCCAGCGGGGTTCACGATCGATCGCCACGGCACTTGCCGGAACCTCCAGGACTGTCTGTACGAACAATCACAACATCTGCTGTTTATTCTACCGAAGCAACTCCGCGCATCACATAACTAGTTTTGTGCATAAGTAAGCACGCCATACAAGCGAAAAATGAGACGAGCCTTCTTTGGGCTGGCATCAAGGTACCCAGCTACCCGATTGGGCTCTGGTGTCTCAATTTCCCCTTGTACGACGACTTCTAAGCGTCCGGTGCTCCATTGATCAACATGCAGATAACGGCCCATCTACCTAGCATTATCAAAACTTTCCATGACCGATGTCATACGACCCCTCGCGTTTTGATCCAATACCTACTGCAACCCTAGCCCATATCTGCTGCGCGAGCAGAATCCGGTGCTGGCCCTGTTGCAAGCGTTGCAGACAACACCACGATGCAGCATCCATTTAGCTGCTACAGAGTAGTAAGTATATTGGGTTCCGGTACTACCTCCAGGGCGGGAATACACGCACAGGCCGCATCCCGCGGAAAGGCTGCCCAAGTGTCAGATGCACCATATCACTTGACCAGTGCTTGCGAGACCCCCCGTTTCACGAACCGGAACTAATCGACCGCAAGCCGACAAAAGCAACAGCGGACATGTGTAAGAATAGTACATGTAGTGTTTTGCTTTTGGCTTATACATGCACACGTGATGCCACGCAAAGGAACAACGCACGTATCTAGGTATGCAATGAAGTCGCGTGTGTAAAGAGACCTATTGCTTTTGCTTCAAGCCTACACACAACTACAGTGCGCCCTGGCTTGCAAGAAACAACAATGTATGCAATATGCATGCATGATAACCACACCTCACCTCGCAGTCACGCAGCTGGAGATCCAGAAGCAAAAAGGAATATCGAGTTCGAGGTATTATGATCGAATTAAAAAATTAACTACAAAAATTGGGTATTATAATGATGAATCGATCGATCCAGACACCTTCCTCCAAAACACTTTTTACCCCAAAGGGTATTGCCAAGTACATTAAAAGCTCGTGTGCTGTTTTACTCTTCTTCATCAGGATTCCTGGGCGTGTCACAACTCAATCCTCCACAAGCCAAGCCAAAGAAAAAAAAAAGCCCTTCCCCCATGCTTTCAAAACTTTTTCCCCTTTTCCCCACATAGGGGGGGCATCTCCCCATGGTGCTAAAAAAGCTTTCCCCGTAAACTAAACGGCTCGACTCGTCATACTGTGATGAGATGGCGCAAGTGCAAGGTATTTTGCCGATTATCGATGTGGGTAATTGGTGGATAGGATGACATCAGTGTTTCGGTGTTTTGACTCGTAGGTCGGCCCCCCAGTTTGGAGGAAGCTTGGCGTAACATCCGTTCCCGCCTTTTGGTTTGACTGGTGCGGGCCAGTTGTAGTCCAAGGCTTCCTCTCCCTCTGCGTCATCGCAGTTGGCTGTTGCTCTGTAGCCGCGGAGTGAGATCATCACTCGGTTGATTGAACGCTCTCGACGCTAGGGGTGGGCGATGACGAGCGGGTGTAGCGCGATGAGAGCGAGGGGCTAGCAATGGGCTGCTGGGTGAAGGAGTGACCCTCGGCTTCGGCTTGCTCGACGGGAAGACGGAGCATCTGGCCGCCAACTAGGTTGGGGACGTAGACAAACTGAGCAGCTGGGGAAGACATGGTGTTTGGTAGTAGGGTGGTTGTTGTAGAGGGTTGAAGTAGTAGTCGTGGTAGTGAAGTATTAAGCTAATAGAGTTTGAGGATAGATGGATATGAGGTGGTCTGATATCGTGATGATGATACACTGTTCTGCCTTCTTCAACGTGGGGATAACCGCCCATCTATATACCCGGCTCCATCAATGGCTCTCAGCTCCCAACGCGTACCTCAAAAAGATGCCCATGTCCCCATGCACCATCCTAAACCCCCAAGTGCCCTCTACCCTTGCAACCCACCAGGCCAAAACCCTATCCCCGACAATCCAAGCATCGCGATACCCACCAGTTTCTCCCGCGACCAACCACGCGCCGCCATGTTAACAGGGGTCAAGCGCCGCTATCTCCGCCGTGTCAGCCCAAGGCGCTGATTCGGCCCAGCTAAGCTGCAGCACGCGTGGCAACTCTCCCAAATAAGCTGACTTGTCGTCTCCGGCGGCGGTGATAAGCGGTTCATGCGTGTCTTGTGCAACGAGGTAAGCCCCGCACAGAATCCCATGTCCCATTTCCGCCCACCGGCCAAGCAGGCGCGCCGACTAGGGCCGCCCTCGCTGTTTAGCCCAGGCCAAGTCGCAATGTCCGTGAGTCTAGACCGACGTTCTGTTATCGTTGGGGCCTCGTGGTGCATGGTGAGGGGGAACAAGCAATCTGTCGCGAGGGGGGCGGAGGATCGGCGTGTATAGAGTTTTGGGCATAGTCATTTAGAGTTACCGCCGGCCGGTTCATGCTATTTGTAGCTCATTACACTACGGAAATGAGGTAACTATGGATGTTGCCTTTTACACAGATACGAGGGGGGAATTAGGATATACGATGGGTAGCTGGAAACCCGTTACGCCTCTGCGTTCTTGATGACGGATGGGTGGGGTTGCTGCTGCGACTTGCAGCCTGGGCGTTGCCGAGAATGCGGCCGAGAGACGTTCCATGTGTTTCTGTTGAAGAAAAAAAAAGCTTGGGGCCATGGCGCCTCGTAACCGATCTGTAGTACAACATGAGAGATGTGAGTTGCAAGAAGTGGTCGAAGTGCGACTCTGAGAAGTAGTGACAGTAAGCTCACGATAGATGCCGTGCCCGAACATGAAACACCCATCGGTCCGCTCTCCTGATCAAAATGAATTCGCTCGTTGCTTGTAATGCCTCATTCCAGCAACGCAAACTCAGCTATAGCGAGCGCCTCTCCGCCACAGACGAGTAAATCTGTTGGGAGCGAAGCCGAGGGCGGGAAATCTTGGACCCAAGCATTCCGCTATACGCAGAATACGCCACCTAATCAGAGCCTGGCCAGGTCATGTACCAGACGCACCAAGCCCGAGGGCGTAGTCATGACGCGCCAACGCACCCCAGATCCCGAAAGACTGTACGCACGGCTCCAGATTCCACCATCCGCATTATTAATATCGTCACGCGACTTGTCTTGCCACGCTTTGATGATACGTAGGCTTTGTCAACTCTCAAGCCCAGAGTTGCATCGGTACCGAGACTGCGTGCAACAAAATGGGTATCATATTGAAGTCATAACGCTATAGTCCATACGCTTCGCTAGTCATGTGTACATCGCTGTAATATTAGACATTATGGTCTGATCTTACCAGCCTCTGGATTTCCCCTGTTACCCTGCCAGCCCCAGGCCACCCTTTTCATTGTCTTGTCTTCATCCTTACCCGGCCACAAGATTTGTCCGAGCACAACGGCGCGTATGCAGAAGAATGCCGTCATAAACCACAGAATGACTAGCAGAATCGTCAAAGCGCTCGCGACACCATTGATGCCTTGGCTCTGCAGCACCTTGCCAGCTTGGATCGTTGCAAGCGTAAGTCCTGCATTAGGGAAGATAAACGCCCACCAGTTAAGCGAAAAGGACATGTTGCGACACCCAAGTAAAACGGCGACAGTCGTTATCATGAAGAACCAGTAGGCGAACAGGATGATAAAGAGACCTGCCATGATGCCGATTATCCGAACGATCTCGCCATCCGGGACCGAGATGTTGGTGAAGTAATTCGCTGGGACGACCGACGGTGCCTGATTCGCAAGGGCAAGAAGACCGGCAGCAGTGTAGCCTATGATTGTTAGCGTGGGATGCAGGAATGGTGTGGAGGATTGACGTACCAGCGGGTCCAACAGAAACGTACATGCCCGGCCGCGTAGTGGGAGAAGGTAACTCGCTCGTCATCAGGCGTTGCATGTAATGGCTGTACAGCAGGAACGACACGGCCCATGCAAGGCCCTGAAAGAGTACAGCTCCAATGAAGATGTTTCGACTCGCAGGCTCAGGCTGACCCGGTAGTATAGTCCCAGCCAGTGGTCCTACTACAAGCAGCGGATAGATGGGGAAAATCCATGCTGGCACGGCGTCGGCTACGCTTAGTCGCTCCAAACGGAAGAAGAGCGAATACTGCACGATGCCCACAAGAAAGGAAGCAGCGCAGTACATCCAGAACGTGACTTCGAGGGCTTTTGTAAGCCACGACCCGGTCGATGGGTTGCCATATATGTATGTACAATTCAGTATGAGGGCCACCGAAACCCAGTATGTGCCGAAGAAGAGACCCTCAACCGAGTGACGCAACGATGCGATTATTTTGCGAGGAACCAGGACGAATCGCACAAACATGCAAATGCTGAAAATGGTAAAAAGGACCAGGTCGGCGATGAAGACGACCTTACCGATGGTCTTCAAGCCGGTAAATTTGTTCGGGGTGTTTCCTAAGACGACGGCGAGAGAGCCTGTAGACATGGTGCACGCGAACCATGGCCTGTGGTATCGTCAGCTCGTTCTCTGGACGTCTCTGTCGCGTAGGCGTACCATGTGAAGTGCACAAGGCGATCGCGAAGCCCGACCTCCTCCGGTGGCTTCTCGTCCGCATTCTCATACTTGGCGTGTGTCCTGTCACGAAAATGCATATTTTTGATGAGTATGGAGAACCTCAAAGCGTTGAAGGAGTCACGACCATGCTATAGGTGATATCTGCAACTTCCTGGCCAGGACACCAACGATTTGGAAAGAGTGCCTTGCGCGATCCGCCATTTCGTCATACATGACCACGGCAAGTTTAACTTGTCTGTTGCGCATCGAGTGGAGAGGTGGGACTGCCGTTGATCCTCGGAAAAATCGGCACGCAAAAATGAGCTTGGAGGTTTGCGATTCTGATGCGTGACGTCATATGTCTTGGGGCACACTTCACGTGGGACACATCGAACACACATTCCAGGTTTTGTTTCGACAACGACGAAAGAGCGAAAGAAATCCATCCAACGGTTGGATGTTTGTCTGCAGCCGTTTTGCCATCATGTGAGCAGAGCCTCCCGAGCAGGGGTCGCGTGGCATGGTCAACTCCAACGGGAACAGCAAGCTAGACAAAGCCACCGCTCCTAAACGAGACCAGGTGATAGTAGACGATTATAATGACACCCAATTCCCAGTATGGGGTAGGAGCCAGAAGATGGATATTTCGTGTTTTGCATGATAACGCTAAGAAGCTAAAGATAGGTGCATCCTCCATAAATAGGTGTGCCACTGGCGCCTTGGAAGTATTATCGGTTGACACTATTTCCGGTTCCCTATATCCTTTGTCGCCTCGTCCGTAGATACGATACTATCTGAACTCGTATTTGATGCGCCTGGCGTTTCCACATCTGGCAAAGTCTCTTTCTCTCGCGCTCTCCATTTTTCGTCTTTTTGCTGCACCAAGCGGAGTATCAAGCACAACGCTATCATCGCTCCTCCGACTACCGAAGCAGCGATAAACCCAGCGTGGAAGCGCGGCGCATCGATAGTCTTCCATACGGCTGACTGGTACCAGATCTGCATGATGTAGCTGAACATGTTGGACAAGGCGATGGCGAACCCGCGGAACTCGTGATCGTGTGGTATAAGATCTGCATACCAGACGAACCACGGTCCTGGAATGCCAGCGGCGAAATACAAGAAATAGTATGCGACATACTTCAGCCGGTCTGTTACGTTCCAAACGGCCAAGATGATGACCGAGAAGAGTGTCCCGGCTTGCATGACAACAATGGCAGGCCAACGACGTCCTTTGAGTAATGGCGAATCTGAGAGCATGCCCGCTAAGATCTGAACGACAACGCCGATAGCGACTTGACCTGTTGGCCAGACGTTTCTTTCGTAGACAGTATGACCTTCAGCCTTGAGCCAGAGAGCCATGACAGGCTGTTGGCTTGGGAAACTAGCTTGCACAAGGAAGTATCCAAACGGAAGGACCCAGAACTGCCATTGCTTCATTACGCCCAACAGCTTCTTGCGCGTCCATGGGTTATGGCCTAGTGGCTTTTGTCCTTCAGCTATCAGGCGCTGACATTGTCGCTCTGCTTCTTCTTTCGTAATGTAGAAGGCGCGTGTCGTCTCCGGGAAGTCGGGGATGAAGAAATAGCCGATAAATGCCGTTGGGAGGGATATGACACCACAGATGATGTACAGCCACTGCCAGCCTTGCCGACCATGAACACCATCAAGACCTTTATATGCGCCAGCTTGAAGATAACCACTGAACATGCCCGCGAGCGCTGCAGTACAGTAGAAGAGGGAGGTCCGCTTCCCACGTTCTTCTCTGGTGTACCAACTCGATACAAGATACTGGGATCTTCAGTCAAAGTGTTCATAACAGGTCATGCGGGGGTTCCAACTTACAATCATGACGGGGAAATACCCGCTTTCAAAGAGTCCGATTAGGAATCGAATTGCGTATAGCTGAGAAACATTTGTGACTGAAGCAGAGCAGAATGTCAACGCGGACCAAAGAATCTCCAATGTCGGGATAAGAATCGACGGTCGGACGCGAGTGGCAAGCATGACTGCAGGTAGCTGCCCAACGACGTAGCCTGCAGTGAAGCAATTGCCAGCATATGTAAGTTCACTGCCGTGCATGTTCAGTGACTCCTTCATCTATATTCAGTCAATATCGAAGTCAACTGCAACCGCCCCCAATCAGTAGAACTTACTCCGGATACGTAGGCATTCTGGATGTTAGTTTGGTCCAGATTTTTACTGAAATATCCCAGACAGGCAGATGTCAGGAGGAAAATGTCGAGTTTGAGTAGGAACCATTTTTCTTCTTTGGGTTTGTCTGGATCGTCCCAGATGTACCGCTGAATAGTGCGGAGGGTTCTCCGTGTCTTCCCTAGTAAGCCTGGCTTCTCCCATGGCTTCGTACCGGTTGAGTCAAGAGAAGATGAGATACCTGACGAATTGACACCTCGGGCATCCACTTGAGGCCCAGCTTTTGCGGCTATGGTCGTCATGGTATCGTCGACTGCCTTGTTCCCTCAAATTGCTGCGAGGAAGGTTTCGAAATGGTGCAGTATATCGATTCAACTGTATATACGACCTTTTACATGGCATCTTACAGCTCTAGACTACAGGATATGCGGCTCAGATCACTCCACACAGCATTGCGCGATCATCGCGTCTTCTTCCGTCATCGGAAAATTGTATGTCTATGAGAATCCTGCACGACGCGGCGGGTTAACTTCGGTATCCTCGCGTGTATCGTATCGAGGAGACACTGGTGGTGCTTTGAGATAAACATGCACTACACCCAGAATGGGTAACGGCAGACCACGACAGCCTTGACCTCAGAATTCTTCTCCCTTATACTACGATAAGTGAGCATGCGTTGATTCGACAAGGGCCAGCATGGCGATTCAATCTGACCAGCAATTGTCCTTTTTGGTCATTTGATACAGCATTCGCGATACAAGGAGATCATTGCGACATCTGATAACGGCTGGCTCAAAGCGCTAGCGGGGATAGACAACCGCCCGAGTATGGAGTAAAATGCTTCATTCATGTACCGACTCCACATATTCCCTGCGCATACATGATATCTGATACATCCTTCGCGTTCTGGCATGCCAATCGAGCGCATGTTATTGTTGATGTTCGCATATCATGACAAATGCGATCAACCGAGGATGGGATTGCGACATTGAGGGGTCGTCTGATGGCATCGAACTCCACTTTCAACAATATGGCTATCGCGATTAACAAACATTCAGCACGAGAATAACGCTGAAACAAGACTATTTAGTACAAGAGCAGCCTCGTCGAGGACTTCATATTCAATTTCACAACATCCAACTACATTTTGTACACCTTGTATCATACACCTTGTATCATACACCATGTCTTCGACTACCATCGAAGAGGCCACAGCCAAGCTTTCAGTGAAAGATGATGTCAAAGAACATCTCTCACAGTATGACTTCTCCAAGCTCGAACCCTATTCCCACCCGCCCGAGACCAAAGAAGATCTTCCATGGTCTGAACTCGTCACGCTTGATCTAGAAGACTATGACCGTCCAGGCGGCAAGGAGAGACTAGCCAAGCAGCTCGAGCACGCCGTCCATCATGTCGGCTTCGTACGTTCCACAAACCCATGCTCACCTAATGTTCCCTAACACATCCCCAGTTCTACGTGAAGAACTACGGCCTCACCCAGGAGCAAGTAGACCGCCAATTCACCCTAGCAAAACACTTCTTCCAGCTCCCCACGTCCGAAAAAGAAAAATACGAATGCAACTACGCAGAAGCCGACTACAACGGATGGCGACGTCCCGGCCGCTCCCTGCGAGCAAACGTAAAAGACAACATAGAAATCTACAACATACCAAAATTCACCCCGGACTTTGCGGGAAAATATACTCAACCGCCTCTCCTGCAGGCCCACATATCAGAAATCGAGTCCTTCCAACGTGTCCTCCACTCAAACATTGTGATACCCCTTCTCCGCCTCTTCGCCATCGTGTTGCAACTGCCAGACGAGGAATACCTGGTCAAACAGCACACCTACGACAAGAAATCCGAAGACCACTTCCGCTACATGATCTACCACGCCCGCACAGAAGAAGAATGGGCAGCCTCGAAATACGGTGCCACAGACGGCCACACCGATCTCGGCACCGTAACTCTCCTCTTCCGGCAACCCGTCGCAGGACTCCAAATCCTCGGTGAAGACGGAAACTGGACGTGGGTGCGCGCACAACCGGGTACCATAACTGTGAATCTCGCAGACACGATATCGCATCTCACGGGCGGGTGGTTGAAATCTTCGGTCCATCGTGTTGTAGCGCCGCCGCGGGACCAGAGGGAGTACGAACGTACTGGTTTGCTGTATTTTGCTAGGCCGCATAATGATACAAAGTTGCTGCCGATTACGCAGTCTGCGGTGCTGGAGAGGGCGGGGGTGAGGCCGAGGTTCGAGAAGGTGGTTACGATGGAGGAGTGGGTTAGGGCGAAGCAGACGTTGCAGTTGAACCCGGAGATTGCGGCCAAGAGGTGGGGGGAGAGGGGGGATGGGAAGGTGGAGGTTTTGGCGGGGTTTTTGGATCAGAAGTATAAGGAGTAGGAGGTAGTAAGGGGGTTGAGATAGGACGGGTGTTTTTTGAGAGCTTCTTGAGACTAAATGTAATCTCTTTGCTCCTCTTGTATTCCATAGGTATTTTGTGTGTGTTTTCCGTTTATGTTCTACTTTTGTACATTCGTCACAACTGTTTTTTGGATGAATGTAAGGATCGTATCCAGGAGTGATCCCAACTTTCTATTCCATTTCTCGGTGCTGCCATGCCGACGTTGAAAACTCCTCTTATCAAGGACATTATGTACCTATCAGTACTGTCTCCTCATCCGATAAGTATCGTTCTTGTCTCTTTGCAGCGCTCTAATAAATTTTTGTAGTCACGCCTTGGGCGCAACGCTTGTCTAATCTCGCCCGTCTCTCTAGGTCGGGAAAACCAATACTCTTCGAAATACTCTACGGAATCAGGCCTTGAGGATAAGCCTTGTCCAACTTAGCCTGTCTCTCGGTGCCGAAGAAAGGAATCTGAAAGATCGGATCGACAATGCCCAATGCGCTGGTAAATACCGTCCGTCTCTTCTAGTATAAGCAGCTCGTGGCCGAATACTGCTTCCTCTTGGCAATGAAATGCAGCATTGGGAAATATTGTTAAATGCGTTCTATATGCATCTGTAATCATACAGAGGAGCGAGGCTCCGCTGAAGGGTACCTTGGACCAGGAAGTGAGAAGCAAGAGATCTTGGGTGTCGTTGTAAGCCAGTGCAATACATTCCTCTTCTTGCTGTATCGAACAACTTGCTGCGACGCCCTTGTTCATTTGAAGTCTTCTCCAAAATGGCGTCGTGATTCTGAACACTGATGCTGATATTACAGGACCCTTCCACTGAATATATCGCGGCTGTTCCGTGACCGTGGTGGAAGAGTTCTCTATCAGTACGGAGACCAGATCCATATCATCTGGATTTTTGGTACTCTTGGATAACGACAATTTGCGATAATCAAGCTCTAATGGGTTAGACAGCCATTTCGCTTCACCTTGCCAACCTAGCACGGACCAGCTAGGGAATTCATGGCGACGACGACACGGTAGAGTGTGGTAAAAGTTCAGCGCAATAGAGAATGAACAACCTTGGTTTTTAAAGCGCGACGATATTGCATTAAAGACTGGTATAGCCCGAATGTGGTAAACTGGGCTCTCAGAACTTTCGTATGACTCCAAGGTACTCAGGATCGCGTTGAGGGCATCTGAATCGTATGAGAGTTGCCGGGAAGTGTAAGCTTTGAGACGATCCTCCAATTCGCTTGCTTTTGCGAGGGACTTGTTGAGTTTACCTATGGAGCTGTAGGGACTAGGCAGCCCGAATCTGTGTCGATTGTGGTCATGTGAGATTTCTTTAGGAAGACTGTCTTAAAGAGCACCGCGTACATTCCAGATAGGATCTATCAATTCGCGCCCGACCCCCGAGTTACATATGAAGAAGACTGCCGTATCTGTGAAGAACAGTCTTCTTCTAGAGGAGAAGCATTCTTGGAACGTCCAGGCGCGCGAGTGCCAGCGTGATGTAGATGCTTCTATCGATGGTGCTGATGGTCCGATTTCAGGCTGGGTTACGAGATAGATCTGGTTTATGTTCTCGAAATGATATATCTGCGGCGTGGGACGTATGCCCACTCCTGGTAAACCGTACGAGGGGTCTTCACCTGCTGCTGCAATGATTGTCAACTGTGCCGCGCCGTATATGTCGCTCATTTGGCGTATCTGTGAATTTTGATCTCGGGAATCGGACTGATTAATACACTGTGGTAGTCAGACAAGAGCCAGAACTTCTAGATATCTACAAACGTACGGAGCGGTCAACCCAGAGATAGTCATAGCCTAAGGCCAACGTGACAGTGATACTGTCTTTAATGGTTGCAGGTGCATCTTCCAATCGCAGGGAGCTCTGTTCTGATCCCCAGACGTATGAAAGTGCTACAAATCGGCAGTTCGATGGCATCTAAACGATCCTGCACTTGTCGCAATCGATGACCCTAACGTCACTCAGGTGAGCTTGGGCGGGTCTACAGCAATCGACGTGCTGATTTTCGCATTCGTGGATATATTCTCGATAGAGAGCGATATCCAGCTTCTCCCTCGTTAGATGCTTGAGTCTTGACCTGCCTTTCTCACTAAGTGTATTGACGGCTACCAATATGGGCGAGTGTCTGTCAATGTATATATTTCTACTGTCGGGCTATATAGTCCTGGTAGTTTCCGTGCCACCGAAGCATTTTAGATCCATATCTTTGTCGTAAATACGACATCTTGATGTAACATTGGCCAGAAACCGACAGATCTTGCAGTCCGGTGTTTTTGCAATGGCGATACGATATCTAGTAGAGGGCTCCCTGTCAAAGATCGTGTTCCAGGTCTCGAAGCAGTATTGACAGATGTCGCCAGCTCCCTCAACTCTTTCATATCTAGTGACGTCGTTCGTTGAAGTTTCCATTGTAAAATAGGTGAAATTCCAGTGAATCTGTTAGTACCTAGTAAAAAGCTCGAATGGTTGACTTTGATGTCAGTGTTGTGAGTGACAAGAGGAAGAAAAGTCGGGCTAAAGATAGGAGATGACAAAGCCCCAAGATCAAGATCAAGATCATCAAGCGCAGCTACCGTAATTCGCGTAGCTAATGGGCGCGATTGCTTGCAAGCACTCATATAACATTCGCTACTTTCCATCATGAAGTAGCCAGTCAGACGGTCTGATTTTGATATGAGCGGGGTAGTTACATATCTGAGTTCTGTGCGTCACAGTTGCAATTGCACAGCCCCGCCTTCTAATCCTATAACTAAGAGATACTTTACAGTAAAGCTAACACTATAATTTATCTAATCTTGTTTTATGTAACCAGATAAATTATAGCGACCTAGGTAAGTCTCTATTAGTTACCTACGTAGATCTCCGAACACACATAAACCTAGCAACCAACATAACCAATTTATTCATTCCCGCGCGTCTTCCTTGATCATGTAGCACATTCTCGCCGTGACTCCACCCAAAGCGCATGGTGCCTTGTGTCACTATAGTAATGCCGCCAGTCATGAATTAAACCAAATAATGAGCCCTGTTACATCATCAAGGCTAGTTATAGTTAGAAACTTCTGCGGAAGACGAATAAACATCAAACAAGAGGAACTGAGATCAAGAAGCAGAGCGCAATTGTAGAGGTTGGTATTCAGAGGACTTTATAGTAATACCCCGTTTCCCAACAACTGTCCATCATCTTCCTCCAAGACAAACAATGTCGATCCATCAATACATGGGCTCACTCCTTTGAGCGAAAGCGACGAAGTTTGCGAGGCGGTTTAGGGACTGCTGCGTTCTATGCGATGTTGCTCTGGATAGCGGCCTCGAGTGCCTTGGGGTTGGCTCCCACAACCTCGGCGACCTTGTCACCGCCCTTGAAGAACAGGAATGTAGGCATGGCGCGGATGCCGAGCTCCTGCGCGACATCGGGGACTTCGTCGACGTCGATCTTGTAGAAGCGCGCGTTGGGGTAGGCCTCGGAGAACCTAGGAAAATGTCAAAACCTCCCGTCTTTTTTTGCTTCTCGGTATATTGTTGCAACCACTTACTTGACGACCTGGGGAGCGATCACTTTACAAGGGCCGCACCATGTCGCGAAGCAGTCGAGGACCATGAGTGTGTCGTGGTCGGCCATCGCTGCGTCGAAATCCGCCTTGCTATAATTTGCGCGTCAGCCAACGTCCAACAGATATGACGTCGTGCACGTCAGACGAGACGGGCCGGGGAGCAGACTCACCTCTGGAGGTTGTGTACGCCCTTCTTTTCTTCGCTCATTTTGGCGGTGTTGGTAAAGAACCTTTGGGTAAAAAGTGGTCGGTAGAGGTTTGCGGTCGAGGTGGGGTTAATGGAAGCTGTTTGCAGGCGCGCAGATGTAAGCAGTGTTCTGACAGTCCTAAAAGATGACGGCGCAAACATGGTATATGTAGATGAAGTGAGATAGCAGTGAGAAACGATTTCAAAGACTCGGGCTGATGGAACGGACTGGTCGCACACGCCATTGCCGATAACGACGCTGATGCGCGCGTATTTACCGGCAAACTCGTCACAGTGCCTATGCCGATCCAAGAGTAATCATGCCGAGCAGCATGATTAGGCAGCAAACAGGGACAGAGAAGAGCCACTTACAATGTAGGGAATTGAGGATATTTGGGATGGTTTGAAAGAGGGGCTTCTGCGAGTTTCCTGAGGTCTGGCGTTATACGCGGTGATAGCGGCGGATTACTGTACACATCAGGCCGTCGGCTGAAGGAGGGGCTTGCAGTGAATGACGTGCTTGGCCGACCGCCCGATTGCCCCACCAAGGGTCATGCCTTCCGTGTTAGTCATGGCAGCAACAACTCAAACACTCTTGCATGAATCGGGCAAGACACCTGAGGCCGCCATCAACCTCGCAAGTCTAAGAATACAGTGTAACAGCATAACGCACTTTCCGCAAATACCATTTGGTCCATTACATCCATCTGTTGTACCATCACCACGAGCATGCTGGAGGTGGAACAAATATTGTACAAAGCTTTCCATGCAGCTGATTTCAAATTACAATCTCCAAGAATAGAATCCCGGACGTAGCGTCCTCTCGAGGCCGGCCCCTAGTATTAGCCAGATCCCCCCATTTTTTGGTTCCAGATAAAAGTACAATACAATGTGGCAAGCCCAAGGACCAGGCCTACGGGGCCTGGCCAATCTATATGCTGCCAATAATCAAAACATTCAAACCAGATTCGCACTCCAGAAAGAGGGTATCGCAAAAGCCGCACCAGCAGCTTGTGGTATCACACCGAAAGTAATCCCATAATCAATATCAACGCCATGCTATGCTTCGAAATCCGCCTGTGAGTCCGATAGGGTATATAACTCCATCCGTGGGGTCGATCGGTCCAGGAACCGCATGCTGCCAGCCAGAAAACACAAGAGACAGGTAAGGAAATATGAATGAGTGACTAGAGTTGGACAAGAGTTGTGCAAGGAAATGTGGAATGAGCGACTGGGTACAAAGGAAAACAAAATGAGTGGCGCGGTCTGGCATGCATGCGTATTCCTGGAACCAATCAGTCTTTCACGGATCGATGCCTTACTCCTAATCAGAATTTGTTGTTTGAGCCACCTTGCACGGGTGAGCTGGTGCGCTTCTGGATGTCCAAGAGCCTCGCGGAACCAGCGCTGAGGTGCCTGACGTGGCCCTTTCCAAGATCGACGCTTTTGGCACGCTGCAACATGCCGGGATCCGTGTCGGATGTTGGGGACGTGGGTGACTCTGATTCGATGTCGACAACCTTTGAAGAGCGATCGAGTTCATCGGTGAACATGCTGAGTAGACCTTCAGCAGACTTGATGCGGGGTCGTCGGTGGATAATTGTAGGCTGGCGACCGACGCTGCTCTTCACATACTGCTCTCCGTTGGATGGTGTGTCTACAGCTGCAGGATCCCTCTCCTCATCGGATTCAGCAGCAGTGTCGAGCCTCATCAATGTGCTAGAAGCTTTTCGACCGCGGTCGTCACTGCCGTAGGGAGATCGGCCCCGTTGGTCTGGCCGGTTTGTCAGTTTGTTGAAGTATTCGTCGTCGGCCATTCCAAGCTCCTCGTATGAAGCATTGAAGTCGTCGGTTCGCTGAACCGAAGATGTCAAGCTGGAGCGCATTTGCGATCGCTTCGGGGGTCTTCCAGAAAGCCAAGAGGCTTCCGAGTCGACGGAAGCAAGCGAGCGTGACATGGCGTTGACGGGTGCGCCCGGGCTGACAGGAGAATCAGACCGATCTCCAGAAAGGGAACCCAGGCGGAGATCCGACGGCTGTTCCCTGAGTCGGCGAGCAGCGATGGCGCTTCTCGGCTGGGCTTCTGGCGATTGCACGCGTGAATCCGGAGGAGACAGAGGGAACTCTGGGAGATCTTCCCGGAACTTTGACATTGTTCGTCGAGGTACGCTGGAAGGCCTTTGGATCTGGATCGGTTTGCTGGCAGGGACGTTGCCTACCAGATGAGCTGGAAGTGGCTGGCGAGACATGGACTCTCGCGAAGTGTTTGAGAAGGAGTGTTCTGATGGCGCGGGTGCCTGGTCGCGCTTTCCCCTTCGGAAAAGTGACGCAAACACGCCCATGCGCTTGCCCTCTGAGCTGCGTCTGCGGGTCGAGGAGCCCTGCTTGGAAGTGGCAAAGGTGTCGGCAGTATCCACAGGATGCAGCGAGCCACTTCTAGTGGGATCATGTGCTTGTTCGATAGATCCGACAGGTGTGTCATGTGCAACTTGTTTGGAGATGAGCTCCGGGAGAATGGAGGCATTGGATGGCTCGCGAGTGTGTACTTGGGCCGAGACGCTGCCTCGCGAGTAGCGGATAGCCCGAGCATCGGATACAACTGGCTCATCAACAGGGCTGTCCAATGGGGTGGGCAGTTGGTTGTTGTCGTTCGTACGAGGCGTGACGGGCATGTCCAGCCGCTGCGAACGCTGCGGCGTCGATGGACGAACATCCTCCATGGACATAGATGCGTCCTTGTCAATGCCCAAGCCAACAATGCCCGTACCCTCCTTGCGGGGAGTACCGGGGGTGCCTCTAGCTTCTGCAGCATTTTGCTTTTCAGCACGTCGTTCAAGTCGTCGTCGCAGCCGCTCCTGGTCGGCCTTGGCCTTCTTCTCCCTCCGCCTCTTGTCTCGTTCGAGGATATCGCGTAGTGCTCCGGCATCGAGGTCGTCGGCAAGGTCATCGATCCGGCTCGTTCGCTTGCTCGCTCGCTCGTCTTCGCTGCTGATGGGCCGTCGCCGCATGGTCGACTTCTCGCTGTACGTGTTGGGCGACATGCGGTCGCCGGCATGGTAGTTTGATCCGACAGATATGCGGATAGTCGGTCGGGGTGAGAACATGTCGAGTGCACTCACCCTGAACTCGCGGTTTTCGGAGCTCCCTGACATGGAGGAATGGATGGAGTCGGCGAGGGGGAGGGAGACATTGGACGTGGGACGCTCGAAGCGGTGGTTCAGGGCGCCCTTGACCTTCTTGCTGTCTCTGCGTAGCATGCCTCCCGAGCTTGCAGCGGGGCGTTTCTGTGGCATTGGTAGTGTCATGGTGCGGATTTCCTCTTCGCGGACGTGATCATGTTCTTTCCGCCTTTTACTCGACTTGCGGCGGACCAGGGAAGAGTCAGTGGTCAGATCCCTGCGCATCGACTGGGGTCGCTGGAGCTTCCCGCGGTCCTTTGCTGACGGGGGCAGGCTCGCGTGCGAGCGTGATTGGAAGTTGTAAGGGATGGCGCCGTGTTCCTGGGCTATTGGACGCAGGTGAGGGCTATATTCGAGGCGGTACAGGCGAGGCAGCGCAGTAATGTCCTCGACGCTGGATTGCGGCCAGGCGTCCTTGGTGAAGGCGAGGTGGGGAAGGGCCTTTTCAGCGTCGCGCAGCGAGGCCCTGGAGCGCAAACTCTCTCTTTGGCGGCGTTGGCGGTGGCTGGGTGTTCGTCGCAGGGCCGTTGTGTTCTGAGTCGTGTGGGTTTGGTCTGCAACAGGCCGCGTCCTGTCTGTAACCGCAGCGGGTCCGCCGTCGTTCTTGTTAGCGGCCTTTTTACGTCTCCGCCCAAATAGCCACATGGAGCTTCGCTGGGGACAGAGCGGCGCTGCAATATTAATAGAGTTGGGGTTGCAGTCGCGGACGGCAGGTAGGACCGCGAGAGGGCGGCCGGGGCGTGTCCACGGTGGGAGGGTTGATAGTGCAGCCGGTGCTATGTGGATATCGAGTCGCTGCGCCGGCCGTTGGGCTGCATGCTGACAGGCTCAAGTCGACAGATGGCACGTGGTGGCGACAAGGTAGAACTGGAAGGAAGCCTGTTTGTGGGCGTGGGCGTGGGCGCGGGCGTGTGGGCGTGAAGGGAGCAGAACAGGACTGGAAGAAGGAGAGTGAAAGAGAAGGGCGGCCTGTCAAGATGAGAGTGTGTGCAAAGTGCATGTGTGATGTAAGGGAGGATCCGCTATCCGCTCGTAACAGGCTGAGTCCACGCCTCGACCCTCGCTCATGTCGATCCCCACGACGAGGAAGACGCCAAAAATATACCCTTCTTTTTGTTTCGCACCTTGTCCCTGTCGGTGCGCGGGCGCGGGCGCGGCCAACGGACACGGCACTTTATCTGCTTTTGCTGCACCTTGCTTGTTGCCGTTCTGCTCGACCGTCGACACACACGGGACTTGTGTTCATGATTCTGAGTTCCGAGTTCCGAGTTCTGACCTCTGACCTCTGACCTCTGACCTCTTCGACACTGCAAGGCTGACGACGGCTCGCTGACGGCGTGCACGCAGCTTGCAGCAAGACTGACTGGTGATGCGCCGGTGAGCAAGCCTGCAGCATTGCCATGGCCCCATTTGCCTCCATCGCCAAAAGCTGCCCTCCCCGGGGGACAAGGCCTTTGGGTCTCTAGTCCGGACGCCCAGCCGTCATCCGGCAGCTGAGGGTGATGAGCAGCCCTGGACGTCCCCCGGCCTGCTACCAATCATACGCCAGTCTGCAAAGGTAAATTTCTCGACCAAGATTGCCCGAGAGAAAAAACAACCATCGGCACTGCCATGCGCCAGTAGCAGTAGCGACAACTCATTCAACGGCCTCGCCGCCGGTCAGTGCAATGCAGCGTCCTGCGCAGAATATCGAATTGCCAGCGGCAAGTATCGAAAAAATGCCAGCGGGGCGTCGACAGCCACGTCGGCCCTGCTGGGCAACGGCCGGAATCACTAGCCAGGTCGGTGGGAGGATAGCTGGTGCCCCACCTCTAATCAGCACGCCCCATGTCGAATCCTACGCTGCACTCTTCCCAGCCGAGTGAGGCATCGCCAGCAACCTTGTGTCCTCCACTCTGCACTCAGGTACCCGCGTCTCCCGAATGCACGTGTTATGCGTCATGTCAAGTTTCCTATCAGGCTCTGTTCAACAGTATCGCCGCCACCGAGCCGAGCAAGACGGCTGCACACACGCTTTGTGTACTTGGTGCCCAAAAGCCAAAAGCCAAAAGCTACCAAAACTTAGGCCCGTACTTCCAAGCCCGCCTACGGTTGTGAAACAACTCAAGCGTGCCGTGTTAGTGTTTCAGATGCACCATGTCGTGTTTTATCGCGTCTTACTTGACTTTTGCTCCACAGGAACATTGTTGTTGGGCCATGTACACAAGCAACTTTGCTTCCTCGCTTGTGCCTCTCCAAGCTCAATACATCCTCCTGCCTCAAGGACATGTGTTTCTGCGAGTCGCCGACGTCGCAGCTGCGTCTGACTTGGGTCCATGTTGCATGTCTACCTACACACACGACATGTTGTAGTCAGAGGAAAAGGCGGGACTGATGCTAGTGTGCGCCCAGATCCAGCACTATCGAGAGCCCGACCCTCAACCACTAAGCCAAACCTACCTCTTCTATGGTTCTTACAAGTCAAGCGCGCCTTGTACCGGTAGAACAGAATGCACCCCTGGGCCCAGAACCACGCACTGGTCTATCCACTTGTAGTGCGCCGCCTTCATCTTTAGCACAAGGTTTGCCTTCCCGTCGATGCTAGACCACAGCAGATGCAGGGGACGCTTTGGGTCCCCAGTTCCGAGAAACGACTCCGTGCCACCTCTGGGGTTTGACCCTGATGGAGTACGGCGACCGAGCTGGTGTTTTCACAATCTCTTTCATCTAGACACACCCACTAGAAGTGAAGCATGAGACGTCTTACACCAGCCACGGCAGCAAAACAATATCAACTGCATCGGAAAGGTGCATTTGTTTCTCGTGCGGAAGCCCGTCAGTGCTGTGCCTCTGGGGCAAAGTCAGCTCGGGATGCAAATGAGCAAAAGGAATCTCCAGAAATCACTTCCGAGTCCCAGCAGCCGCAGCTTACAGAATAGCCCGGCTAACAACAGCGAGTCGACAACATTGCGTTGACTGTATGGAGAGGTTCCTCTCATCCAAGCTACTTCCATTGGGTCACAGGTAGAAGTCCCACATGTCGAACGCTTTCACAGGATGGAAAAAGAGCGCGAGCAGCGGCTATGTAGGTTTGGTAACTCGTATAGCACGGATGTGCCGGGTCGAGTGGTGTGTTGTTACGCGATACCTCTTTGGGAAAGGGCGGTCTCGCTCCTGCCTTGCCAACGCACTGCACCCTGTCAACAACAAACATTACCCACCTGCACCACTTGAATCACCACCACCCCACGAGTAACGAGACTGCCCCGCCATATTGCAAATCAAACACCACAATCCTACTGCGATTAACTCATACACCAACATGTCTTACAACGGGCGCATGAGCATGGCGCGAACAACGCAGCATAATCAGCGGGCACCGCCGGCAAACGAGCACGATGCTTTCATGACACTGGTATGCGAGGAAACAAAGCCTGACTCGATGCTTTACTAACCGACATAGCCCGACCACGAAATCGCAGGTTGCATCTCGGATATTGGCATCCAATTCACCGTCTCGGACCTGCAGAAGCCGAACCCCCAAATCATCCAGAAGGTCTTCGAATGGCTAGCTGAATTACTTATGAACACAACCCGCGAGGTTGTTGCACCGGCGATGCGCGCCGCTGCCGAAGATATGTGTGGTGGTGATGCGGATAGACTCTACACCAGCGACACGAGGGATCTAATGGCCTTCTTCGTCATTCTCAGGAAACTCCTACGCGAGGTGAGTCCTTGTGACACGCTCTCTTCTGTGCGTATTGCTGACGCTTCCAGTGCGGAATCCATGACTTCACATTCAACGACCTTTACAAGCCCACCCATGGTCGCCTCGTCAAGATCTTCTCCTACATGATCAATTTCATCCGCTTCCGCGAGTCACAAACCGAGATTATCGACGAACATTTCAACAAGGCGGAACGCACAAAGCTACGAATCGAACAGCTCTATGACGACAAGCAAATCAAGGAGCAGCAGCTCGCTGACCTTGAGCGCAACCGTGCGGCGACGCAAAGGCTGATGCAGGAGAAGGAGAAGCGCAACAATGAGCTCAAGACCAGATTGTTGGAACTAAAGAGGGGCCAAGAGGCAGTTGCAGAGAAGCTTGAACGTGCCAAAGCCGAGCAGGACAGGCTGAAGAAGCTTTTGCAACAAAGGGTGGAGAACAAGGAGAACGTCCAGCGTGAGGTGATCAAGCTGAAGCCATACACACAGCAAAGCCCAACGGCTTTGGAAGAATCACTACGAGATTTGAGTGACCGACTCACTGGAGAGAAGACGCAGATCGACATGATGGATCGTCGTGCACGCGCTCTCCAGACCTCCACCGACTCGTTCGCTGTCGTTGCAACGGACGTTACTTCGTGCACACGGCTACTCACAGACGTGCAAGCCGACCTCGCAAGAGAAGAGGAGGAACTGGCAAAGGCGTCGAGGCATCGAGACGCATTGGCCGACCGGAGCAACAACGTTCGTGACGTCGAGCGACAGGAACGCCTACTACAGAAGCAACTCGGCAACATCAATGCCCGAACAGACAAGCTCAAGACAAAAGGCGACGAAGAGGCGGAGCGGGCCCGGAAGCGCATGGAAGAGCTACGAGACACACACGCAAAATTGACCGAGGAGCGAGGTGAAAAGGGCCGAGAAATGGAGAGGCGGCGAGTACGCATTGAACAAACGGAGAAGAAGATGGCTGAACTCAAGGACAACATTGAGAATGAGGTTCATTCTGCTCATGACGAGTATCTCAAGATGGAGAGTCATATTAAGCTTTACATTACAGAGATGGAGCAGAGTATTTGAGTTTTTTGTTGGAGTTTATAGACGGGGCTTCTGCGGGCGTTTTGGTGGTTAGAGGCTGCTTTCTTCCAGATACCATATATGTTGGACTAGGATGTGATAACATGATCCATGGGCGAGCGGCGCACACGGGCGAGCGGCGCACCCCACCAACTTTTGCAACTTTAAAGCGATGCATCTCAACAACGCGATAATATTATTGCTAGATATTGATACAGTAGATTACTCTATATTAATAGTATCAGTCTTGCATGTGCGCGAGTTGTGCCCAGTCTCCTTGCACCTAGTGCAGCGCCTTTGAGCCCGCTGGCTGAGGCCTGATCGCGCTCCTCCTTGACGCTCTTCATGAGCAATCTGCTGGTCAGCCTCATTTTGAGCCAGTATATCCTCTCCAGCTCCCTTTGTGAGTACTCCATGCTTCTGTATACGCCTTTTAGAGCGCCGCCTACGCTCTGAGGCTGCGCTATTGGCCTTCTCAAGACTAGAGATCCGATCGCGCATCAGCTCAGCAGAGAGCATCATCACCTCGGCGCCCTTCTTTAGCTGGTCAATCGCCATAATAATTGAAGCTGGTGATGAGCTCTTGTGCTGGCGCACGCGCTCACGTATTAGGCTTGACTGAGCCTCAAGCTCACGCGCGTTGCTCGGCGTTTGAGCTACCCAGGGAGCCTCTGGCAGAGCTGCTGGAGGAGTAGGTGTACGCAGTTGTACATCTACCTTTGATAGAACAGCCTCTGGTTGTAGAGGAACAAGGCCTGCGCCGCGGAAGGCTGAGCAGATATTGGCTGGCGTGAACGCTTGATCAAATGCTGCCTTGAACGCTGGCAGAAACTCTAGCTTGGTGATGTGGTTGATGTGGTTGCGCATAAGGCTCTCCACCTCACGGCTGTACGCGCGCTTCAATGGCGAGAAGCAGCCAACATCAAGTGGCTGGAGTAGGTGAGATGAGTGAGGAGGCATACAGAGCGTATGGATATTGTTCTCCTTGCAGAGCTCCTGGAACTCTAGAGATTGGTGGCTCTTATGGCCATCAATAATAAGCAGGCGACGCGCGCCTACACTACGAGCCTGCGTGTGAGCGTTGAAGTGCTTTAGCCACTCAACTCCAAGCTCATTATTCGTCCAGCCATTATCGCTGACTGCGATCGCCCAGTCGCGTGGGATCTCAGCTTCCTTATACCAGGCTGATAGGTGGTACTGGCCAGCGAAGATGAGGAACGGTGGGACTGACCAGCCAGCAGCGCTGATAGCAGCGATCAGCGTTACCCACTCGCGATTGCCTGGCTGAATACTCTTCGGCCTGCCTCTCCTCTCTGCTCCTGTTATAACTAGCTGCGTTGTAATCTTGCCCATCATAAAGCCAGCTTCATCAAAGTTGTAGACGTCCTCATCGCAGATACCTAGCTCAGCCTTTGTCTCTTCTACAAGCTTAAACCACCTCTTTATTAATGTTGCATCCTCACAAAGAGCTCTCTGCCTATCGTACGCTTGGTTGAAACACGTCCGAAGACTGTCTGTACGCTTAACAAAGGTAGATGGCCAGTTGACTCCAACCTGCTCTCCACCACGCGCAGCCAGCAGCTTATCAGCCATATCACGTACAGCTGTGTAGGTAGGCGCAAATCCACGCAGATCTAGCTGAAGTATATAGCTAATAATCACCTCCTCTTCTCTCTGGGTAAGCTTCCTTGAGTTGGGCGGGCAATCGCGTCGGGCAGGTATACCAGCGCGTCGGCGGCGGAGCGTTGTTTCGGCTACGTTGTAGACTACTGCAGCAGTACGGGTACCTTGGATCTGGTGCGCATTAATAGATGAGATAGCAAGCTGAATATCTGCTTCATTTGATAGTAATTGAGTAGCGCTGCGTTGAGCCATTGTAGATTAAGATCAGTAAGGTGAGTAAAGTTGGTGGGGTGCGCCGCTCGCCCGTGTGCGCCGCTCGCCCATGGATCATGTTACCATGTATTGCTCATTCATAATCGCATATCGACACTTGCTTCTTACTTCGTGTTGTTAGTATTCTTGTCCCATCTACTGCAAGTATAAGTTGCATCACAAAGATGACTTGGCCAGCTCTACTTTTGGATCTGGACGCGGGGTACGTGTCGCGAAGGTTGGTATTGGTACGCCCAACGAGTGTGAGGAGTTTGGTAGAGGAGCCCTATAACGATGCTTGTACATGCATATCCTGCTCCGTACGGGGATATGTGTCCTGAACTCTGGTTTTACGAATTTCATGTACTCCGGTTGAAGATGGCACCGGCTTTGGTTTTGTTGTCTTTGAGATACATTTGTTTTTTCTTTGGTGGCAGTTTCCATGAGATTAAACATGCGTATCATGGAAGGACGCCAAAAGGGTGCAAGAGCAGACGGTGAGCAAACTACATGCCTAAAAAACTGCAAATCTCTGTAGAGGTGAGGAACATATGTAAGATCATGTCTTACGTCTGTTGACTAAACTATAGTACAGAATTAATGAATACAAGGGTTCCTGTTGTTTTCTGTGGTACTTCAATCATTATTTGTGGGGTGTACCAGTAGAAGATAACCGTTGACGGGACGAGCCGTCTGTGGAACATTGAGTGAATATATCTTGTGCAATACTAGTGGACCACGCGATGCTCGTACTGGGATGTAGATGCGATTCTCACCGCATCTAGAGCATCTCAATCGTCTATCGCTCTCAATCTTAACGCCAAGCTGCGATTGCAAAAGGCTAAACAAGCCACCCAACCGTCCGCTAAGGCAAGATTATCTTGCACATTGACCTTTTAGGAGCGATTGTTCGTGTGTTGCGACATCTCCGCCCTATGGTGACACACACGCCCTTCCGACGGGCCCGGGACCCAGAGATTGATGACATGTTGGTGTCGCGTGCGGTGAGCCCAAGCATGACTATGTACCGTAAGACGTGCGTGTTGAGAGGGCGAAAGGTGTCTGATTTTATTAAAGCTGCACTTGTCTACTAGCCAGTGCAAGCATCCATGGATTGCGTTTCGAGATTCGGAGACTTGGTTTAGATTTCTCCAGGTTTGTGGAGAGAAAACAGATTGAGACGGAAAAACGAGCTGTACTCCGCCTTTCGTGCATAAGCACTACCATGTTCTGGTTGGTTGCCATATTACGGCAACCCCACATGTGAGCGAAGACGGCTTAGCGTACTGCTGCAGAGCCGATCCCGGCCTGCGCTTTCATCATCGCTCTTCGAAGCAGATTTTTGTGTTTGACTCACCTTGGAAATTAATCCCCAGCCTTCATAAGCTCGCCCACACCCGCCAGATCTCTTGCACTCCATCACTCTCCTCGATTATTCAACATGTGTCCCCAACCTGAAGAAACACCTGCCACCAACGGCCACAGCAATGGTGCTAATGGCAGCAGCAAGGAAGGCTTCACCGGCGTCCACACCAAGCAGAACCCTCACCCAACACACAAGAGCCCATACCAGCCTGTTGGCGACTTCTTGTCAAATGTTGGCCGGTTCAAGATTATTGGTACGTCATTATGCCCATCCTCACCGCTTTCGAGCGCCCACGCAGCGCCAATTAAGGTTTTCGAGAATTGTTACTGACTTTATTTGTGTAGAGAGCACTCTAAGAGAAGGCGAGCAGTTTGCCAACGCATACTTTGATCTCGAAGCCAAGATCAAGATTGCACGGGCTCTTGACAACTTTGGTGTTGACTGTACGGCACTTCTCCGCGGCACTTGGCCTGAAAATTCAAATACTGATTTTATGACTAGACATCGAAGTAACCAGCCCCGCTGCTTCCGAGCAGTCGCGAAGGGATTGTGAAGCTCTTTGCAAGCTTGGAGTATGTTGCACCGAAAACATCTGGCGGCGAGAATACTTTCTGACAACTTTGTAGCTCAAGGCCAAGATCCTCACCCACGTACGATGCCACATGGACGATGCCAGGATAGCCGTCGAGACTGGTGTTGACGGTCTCGATGTCGTCATTGGAACTTCAGCATACCTCCGCGAGCACAGCCACGGCAAGGACATGACATACATCAAGAACACGGCGCTGGAAGTCATTGAGTTTGTCAAGAGCAAGGGCAAGGAGATCCGCTTCAGCTCTGAGGATTCATTCCGATCAGACTTGGTAGATCTTCTGTCCATCTATAGCGCTGTCGACAAGGTTGGCGTTGACCGCGTTGGTATTGCTGATACCGTTGGTTGCGCATCTCCCCGCCAAGTTTATGACTTGGTACGAACTCTGCGAGGTGTCGTTTCGTGCGACATTGAGACACATTTCCACAACGACTCTGGCTGTGCTATTGCCAACGCCTTCTGCGCGTTGGAGGCAGGTGCTACTCACATCGATACCTCTGTACTAGGTATCGGTGAGCGTAACGGTATCACCCCACTCGGAGGCTTGATGGCTCGCATGATCGTTGCAGACCGCGAATATGTTACCAGCAAGTACAACATCAAGGCGCTCAAGGAGGTCGAGGACCTGGTCGCCGATCTTGTGGAGGTTAACATTCCTTTCAACGTGAGTGCTGCCACATATTCAATCAGATACGGGCCGACCACTAACTATGCTCTAGAACTACATCACTGGATTCTGCGCCTTCACGCACAAGGCTGGTATCCACGCCAAGGCCATCCTGAACAACCCTTCGACGTACGAGATTATCAACCCTCAAGATTTCGGCATGTCGCGATATGTGCACTTTGCTAGCAGGCTTACTGGCTGGAACGCGATCAAGAGCCGTGCCGAACAACTTGGACTGAAGATGACAGATGCGCAATACAAGGAGTGCACGGCCAAGATCAAGGCTATTGCAGACATTCGCAAGATCGCCCTCGATGACACCGACTCCATCATCCGTACCTACCACAACAACCTCCACGCCAAGGAGGAGGTGCCTCTTCTCCCAGGCATGACCGAGGAAGAGAAGAAGAAGTTTGCTGAAGCCGAGGCTGAACTGAACGGTGTGCCCGAGAAGCGCGAGCTCGATGCAACGGCTGATGCACAGGCCGAAATCCCACTGGCCAAGAAGAACAAGACTGAGACAGTGGCATAAGCGAGAAATGCTTTGTAAATATGGGGTTCTTGGAGTTGCTTTCTATCCTTTTCTTTGGAGTTGTCGTTTCCCGGCATATTTGCATGTCTTGCGGCTAGGGAAAAGTTTATGAGTTATTGATACCTGAAGATCGACGAGCCCACAGGCTTCCGGCAAACAGTATAGAATTTACGAGAAATGATTGCCATTGAAGATCAAAAGATGACTACTTGCGTGTGGCAGTTTGATATTGGATGGTTACTCACCGCCTTTGACGAGATTACTAAAGCAGGCAATGTGAGCGGGTGGCGAAGAAAATGTGATCTGGACCCTGCATGCGCAGGGGCGGCATTGGCCCAGGGTAACTTCTCACTAGCCTTTTATAGGCGGAAGCTAGCGTTATGGTCTGGCGGACATGGCAACACCCTTTCACTGCAATTATCCATTCGCCAACCGCGCCTCCTAATTCTGCAGACAAACAGCTACGTATTCGATACATTGGCCTTTGCTACCGGTTTTCCACCATGAGCACCACGCAGACTGTCACGCAGCAGCCCGAGATCACAGCAGAGAATGTTCTTCGCCTCTTCCCTGAAGTAAACACAACCCTCATCGGAGGATCGCACAACTCGGCCACCAGCGACAATGCGCTCCAAGGATACGACGAGGAGCAGATCCGCCTCATGGACGAGGTCTGCATTGTGCTGGACAACGACGACGTCCCTATCGGCAGCGCGACAAAGAAACTCTGTATGTTTATACCCCAGACCACGTCAATTGAGCGAAGCTGACGTGGGGCAGGCCACTTGATGGAGAACATCGACAAGGGGCTCCTCCACCGCGCTTTCTCCGTGTTCCTATTCGACTCCCAGAACCGCCTACTCCTCCAGCAGCGCGCGACGGAAAAGATCACATTCCCGGACATGTGGACAAACACATGCTGCTCGCACCCGCTTGGCATACCCGGAGAGACTGGCGTAGGGCTCGAGGAGTCGGTTCAGGGTGTGCGTCGCGCCGCGGTGCGCAAGCTGGAACATGAGCTGGGCATCAAGCCTGAGCAGGTTCCCATTGACGACTTCAAGTTCCTTACGCGGATACACTACAAGTCGCCTAGTGACGGCAAGTGGGGCGAACACGAGAGTAAGTCATCAGCCTTGCCCTTCGTCTTCTTAGATGAATAAATACTGACAAATGCTCAGTCGACTACATCCTCTTCATCAAGGCCGATGTTGACCTTAATGTCAACCCCAACGAGGCCCGGGACTCGCGATTTGTTTCCCAGGAGGACCTCAGGACCATGTTCAAGGACAAGTCGCTCAAGTTCACGCCGTGGTTCAAGCTTATTTGCGAAAGCATGCTGTTCGAATGGTGGGACCACCTGGATTCTGGTCTGGAACAGTATATGGGAGAGACAGAGATTCGGCGTATGTAAAGACAAGCAGAATACCCATAGTGACACTCTTTAGACCAATTGAGTTTCTCGAACCTAGAATCTCGGTCCCGACCACACCCGCTTTCCGAAAGTGAGGCGACATGTGCATGCAAGCTCGGCCTCCGTCAACATCACATTTGCGATGCTGTCCAGTCATCAATCATTTGACCATTCCCCACGCCGACTTCTCAATACGGTGTTATCGAGCGATCATCAGCGTCTGCTCCACCTCGTAGTTGTGTTCTGGTGACGCTGGTGACCGTTGACGTACATCAACCCCGCAAACTGCATATGCTGTCCTGATAACCTGACCAGAAACACGATCCCAGGCAATTACGTAGGCGGAGCTCTCCGAATGCTTGCTTTGTCGTCTGCTATCAGAGAGCATTCTACGCATTTCCAACGCTGGTGGTCCCTTTGCGCTTGCCTGTTCTGAGGAGGTACAGCCGAGGTCAGCGTTCCATCCTCTTCACCCCACAGTTCTCACCCTGTATCGCGTTTACGCTCCACGCCTCGTCGCCAACTGCGGCTACATGCGGAGCTACGAGCTGTTGGTTACAAGTACATGCCAATCGGATGCGGATCAACAGGCGCGTTGAGCCCCATCGGTCCGACACGACGCTAAGGTCACAAGACGTAGATAACAGTGAATGTTGAAGGCGAGCAGGTGGTCCACAGATAGACGCCGGTTCGGCCTACTCGAAGCATGGCCTCCGATTATTCCTAAAAGAGTATGGTGTCGTCTCTGGGCAGCGTCGGGATGGAGGTATATCAAGGACCCGATACCCCATCTTCGTCTTGGTCACAAAGGGACATTAGGCGTACAAGTGGCGCAAGTCAATCGTCAACCGTCAGTTGTCATCTTACACAAACATATCTTACCAGCCACTGCACCCCCACGACACGCATTCCACTGCAGCCGACCTCGCACGCAACCTTCACGATACGCAGCTCCTGCCGCTCGACATCAGCCAAGCATCGTACAGCCGTGTGCTGTCACTGGTCTTGTGACAGAACCGCCCAACGAGTAAAAAGCAAAGGGCAGACTTTGTGCCCGCCATAAAGCAACTTCCGCCTCTTTATACGCGTGACATCGATACCGCACTGCACACATTGTCGACGCAACAAGACCTCATCGGTCTGACATCTTGCCGTCATCAAGACTGACCTCAGGGAGCTCACCTAGCCTCACCTATTGATGTCGGTTGATCGTCGTCAAGCCTTTACTTCTTTGCGATACCCTTCTCGAGTCGAAACCGTCTCGAGATCGCAACTTTCTAGAGTCCATACAGGAGATCTGAATCGTCCGGCCAAAACCTAAACACCAGCCAGCAAGCTAGAAAAGGTATACCATATGACAGGCAATCGACGGTCACGGTCCTGCTCAGCCCAAGACCACCCATGTGCCACAGCCAGACTAATCACAATCTAGTAGTGTTGTTTGAACTGAAGGTCTCTGTCTAGATACACCACGGTTCAAGTGACTAACCAGCCCTTCGCCGACCCACATACCTAGCCCTACGGGGAACACCTCACGCTGGCGTATTCCACGACTGTTCCTATTATCAAACGAAGCGGAAGATCCCATCTGAATACTAGTAGAAGCTTACCATCGAAACCGCAATCATGGCGAAAACCTTCTCTCCCGTTACGCCAGTCAGCTGTAATTTCACAGTCGAGTCAAAGTCATCCAATCTGAAGTCTAGTAGCATCCGGGTCAATGAAGTACCCGCTAGCTTCAGGATCCTAAAGCATAAGCCTGCTGCTACTGTGTTGCCTCCACTTACCGACGGCGTCCGCGTCGTTACGGCTGCGGAGTACAAGCAAGCGGCACTCTGCCTGGCAGAGGCTTTTGCCCAAGACGATGTTGTAATGTACTTTGTTGACGTGCCCGATCGTGAGCACTGGACTGCCGAGCAGAAATGGGCTCTGCATGTTGAGATACTCGAGTACATTACATATGCTCACATCCTCAAGGGACTGGTGACTACGGTCGGAGACTTTGAGGCTGTGGCGCTGTGGTGAGTAGGCATTTGTGGTGATGTTGAGTACTGGACTAATGTGCAACAGGATGCCACCCGGCCAGAACATGGATGACTACTTAACCATATTCCGCTCGGGTATGTGGCGCCTCAACTACCGCCTCTCCGCCGAAGGCAAGCGACGTTTCTTTGACGAATTCATGCCGCTCCTCCACGACACAATGCATACTACGCTCGGTGAGCGAGAGCTCGAGGCTTGGTACCTCGTCTACATTGGCACCAGGCCCAGTGGCCGTGGAAAGGGCCACGCTCGCAAGCTCATTGAACATGTGACCAAGGTCGCGGATCGTGAGGGCAGGCCATGCTACTTGGAGTCAAGTAATGCGGCCAACCCTCCGATCTACAGGAAGTTTGGGTTTGAGGTGACTAGGCAGATCAACCTGCAGAGAGGAGGCAGGAACATCCCGCTGGATATCATGGTCAGAGAGCCAGCGGGTCTACGAGAGAAGAAGAAGGGCGGATTGTAAGGTGGAAGTATCGGCATGGTAGTGCAATGCTAGGGAAAGCACGAGTTCAACACGTGTGCTTCGGAGGTGGATACAAATTGCTTTACTCGTCGTTGTGGCATCCTTCAACAGGACCAACGTAGCTATAGGTCTATGTTTTGTTTGTTAGATGGTTGCTTTTTCACCATGAATGATAAGACGGTTGCATAGTTGGCAGCGGTGTCTATTGGCTTTGAGCTGATGCAGTGCATTGTAGACTAAGTGAAGAAGCTGGCGATAACCCAGGGTGGGACGGTCGAATTGGTGTTTCTCATACCAGTGTAAGCAAGTAGCGTTTCACGGCCGTGGGACAGCCTCATGAAGTCGTGTAGAATGAAACTGGAAGGCGGATAGGAACCAAGCACGCTGTCACGCGTCCATGGATGACGCGCATAGTCGTCGACTCTCAAACCTTAGCTCATCGTCGTTGCTGGAGGCGGAGGGTACAAGTAGCAGTACAGGCGTCAGGACAAATTACGGTGTCCTGAAACGTGCATTGCCGACACATTGGTTGCCCACTCTGCCCTGGCCGCCTTCTCTCTCTCCTGACCCGATTGACCCGCTTGACCTGACTTTCACCTTTTGTCGCTCGCTCGACCTTCTTCAGCGCGTTATCTCAGTTGCAGTGGGCTTATCGTATCACTACGCAAGTCTCGCCTCGTCATCGCAGCCCTGCTTCACCCGACGCCGCCTAATCGGTAGAAAAGTGGTGTCTCCCCACTTGCGCATCCGCTTCGCCAGTCTACGCGGTCCGCATCCCCAACGCTACCTAACGCACCCCGCAAGCCTCGTCCATAGGCGCGTCAAGGCCAACCAAAAAGTCATCGTGCAGCCTGCCAGCACATCTGCGCAAGACTCTGCTGAAGCCTGCCACCCTCTTTATCCTAACACCACCTGCCCTCGCCTCGCTCCCGACTCTGTCGTTTCTGTCTCCTTACTACTGTGCCATGGTGACCCAACGCCGATACTCAGTCACGGGCCAGACTCCTCCGGACGATGCCGAAGCCATGAAGGCCCGCTCTCCGAAGTTGCAGCCTCTCGACACCAGCGTGCAAACTCCGCCGTGCGGCTACTGTGACGGCGGAGCGGACCAGTGTACCGCTGCTGAGGATAGCGGAGCGGAGCAGCGGAGAGGAAGGACCATGGGACAGACGGGTACCATTGTGCGCACGTCGAGCAAGCGATCCGCTACCCAGCTGCCTTCACCCAACTCACCCTCGCATCAGCTGCCGCCCAAGATTCCGCGATATAGACTAGAGCATAGTGAGCATGTGCATATGGACATGGACATGGACTCTGAATCAGACACGGATTCCGATGTCACAGACGTCTTGGGCGATGCCAGCGAGCCAGATGATCTCGGTTTCGAGAGTCAGGCAACATCCGTTCCCTCGACGCCTGAGTACTCGCTTGAGGGCAGCGTGCTAAGCCTGCCTGATGCTACGCGCTTGGAGGGCCTGCAGCTGTACGCGGAAGAACGACCGGATGACGAACACATGGATGACTACGCTCTTTCGCCCTCACACTCGAGGAACCACAGCCTCGATCGTCTCCATACCAACGGGTCGAGTGAGGTGCAGGTGGATTGGGCTGCACACATTGCCCTGCATCAAGCAAAGTCGGAAGCACTTCATATTGAAAACATCGAACCACCGTCCAGCGAACCACCATCCACCCAAGCCATCACCCCACCCCCGACCGACACCACCCATGCCCCCCTCACCTTTGTCACCCTCCCACCCGAGATCCGCCATCAGATCTACCGCAACTGCGAAAACCTCGTCATCGACAAACCCCTCGTATACTGCATTTCCACCTTTGACGGCGAAATGCAACACGCCCTCGCTTCTGTATCTCGCCTCGTCCGCTCCGAAGCCCTCGCCATATTCTACAGCTACAATCTCTGGGTCATAAAGGTCGAGTTCAAGATGATGTACGAAGCCTTCCAAGACTGGATCATCCGACTTGGCGATGGTGCTGGTCTGCTGCGGCTGATTAGCTTCTCGGTTCGCGGTTCGCTGTTCAAGCCCAAGAGGAGCCATTCGCAAAGCGTGCTAGTACACGGACATCTTGTGCAGCTCAACCCTGGCGTGATTAACCCCGTAGCCGTATCACGAGAAGAGCTCTACTGTCCCCCTGATGGCGATGCTAGCTTCAAGATCGATCTCAGCGAAAAGTACGCCGGCGGCAAGGTACAACTTGTTAGGAACGACGGGACGAAAGAGGCGGGTGAAAAGGCTCGACTCTGCTTGAGCAAGATGGTTGAAAATCTCTGGGAGAAGAGAAGAGCAGGCACACTGAATGGTCAGGACTGGATTACAATGGTCGACAGCTTCATCACTTTCATCGGTGGGTGGTAAAATCTAAAATAGAGAAGTCTCCCTCCTCTCTCTCTCTATGTATTGTGTGGAAAAGGTTGAGATGAGCATATGGGTTTTCGGTTTTTCTCTGTATTTCGCTTTTATCCTGCACGTATCCTTTTTTCGCATCGTTTGAGGTTCTAATATGACTCCACGGCGCTACTCTGGGACGGGACGACGAGGAGAGGCTAGGCGGGCGAAATGGGGGTGCAGGGCAGGGCAGGTCAGGGCAGGTGAACTGTGCATATTTCTGGTATCATCTTATCTTATTTTTGGGGGATGGGGCAAGGGGGAGTATCTATCTACATATCATTTCTTTTTTTCTTTCATGTGTTGGGGCAGGCAAAAAAAGGGTTAATGAGACAGGTAGGTGGGCGGGTCAGACGGGTATGGTGGTCGATGATGCATGCATGTATAGGAGCTTATGGGTTTCTCGTTTAACGGGTAGTTTATTTCTATATGGTTAGTTATTTAGTTATATTCCGTCCTATTTGGCAACTAATCAACTACATCATCATCATCATCATCATCATCATCAGATACAGTCTATAATGTATTCCTCCATCTACTTGGCTATATATTCTACACACTATCCATCCCTATTCTCCTTGTCTTTACAATCCTCGATTGCAAACTCCCATACTCTTCCATCGTGCATAAGGCTGACAACCAGCGCATCTGTATTTGATTTCATCTTTTCAATATCTTCCGCAGCGGCCACAGTTCTCAGTTGATGGCCGGCTAGCAACAAAGGCAGAATCGACGACTTCCACGCAGGAACCCTACGCTTATCAACCAGCGTCTTACCGCACGTAATACATAACAAGACGACCGTCAAGGCTATTAAACCAAGCGGGAAACCTAACCAAACCCAGTCGAACTTTGTGCACGTCGTCGTGCGCACAACCGTTCCTCTAACAAAGATGGGAGAAAGGTTGGTTCCTGGACTAAGGTCCGAGCCCTGTTTGTGCATCTCGCTAGTAACGACAGTCGCAAGAGATTGCATACTGCGATTGATACTCTGGAAGCTGCTGCGTCCTTTGTTTACCAAGGCTTTGATGTTGTCACGGGGAGCATACGAGAGTGTTGTAGTCGTTTGCGTTCGCCGTTGAATTCGATGGTTGTAGGGACTTTACAAGTGCCCATGGCATGGCGCTGACTATGAAGGCGTCTAGACCCATTGCATAGAAGACACGGGAAGTGCTATATGTGCAGTCTATTGGGACGGTTGTATTAACGTTGTTGTTGTTGTTGTTGTTGGGGGTGGGGGGGGGGGGTGTGTAGGTGTAGGTAATCGGGAAAGTCGTTATGGCTTTGTCCTGGTGGGTGTTTTATTGGGGTTTCTTTTACGATTATTTCGGTGAAGATGGTGTCGCTGATGGAGCCGTGGTAGTTAGTCGTGCACGCAGGGGTAGAAGGTGCATGTTGTCGCCACGGCGTTTAGCATGTTCATGATTGGAAACGTCCGATTGGCGTCGCGGAATGGACACCGCTGTAGTCCCTAAGAGTGAGGACCAGGGTCTAATGGCTCGCAACCATCATTCGTAAAGGCAACGATGCTAACGTTCAGTATCGAAGCGGCAAATATATCATCAAATGAACTGTCCAGAGCCTTTTAAGAGTGATTCGTTTAGAGAAAATGTACTCGTATCCTTCTAGATACTGCTGCCGCCAGAGACGGATATGATAGTTCCTGGGAAGGATACATTTGGTCTTCCATGACCGCCTGGTAACCAGATCCACTAAGTATTATCGATCAACTGTTCCATTTTCCGACCGGGCTTCCAGCTCTAACTTACCTCGCCTAACCAATCAGATGTATCCACACATTTCTCGCACAGTCCGACAGAAGAATAATGTGCCACCGCTGTGCGAAGGAAACATGCAGTTGCCGGTACTGCAGCTGGGCGTGATATTAGATTGTGGGGGATAGTGGGTGTTGGAAGAATTGAAGGATTGAACTGAGGTTGTATTGTCTGAGTCTACAAACTGTATATGTAGGTGGGTGACCGTCAACAGCGCTAGTCCTAGATAGGCATCGGTCCATTACAAAGGTAAGTTGCGACTACAGGAGCAGAGCAGGAGAGACCCCAAACGGTGACATAGATCGAGTCGTGCTCGGATTCACAAGTCCATCCAAGATGGCAACCTTTGCGTCCAAATCCCAATCCCAGTTGTCTGAATCGATCCGAGTGAGATTCATTATATGCATCCACTGGGAAACTCTAATGGATGCTTCTGCTTCCCCTAGAGGTCGCTCACATGATACAGACTTGACGGCTTGTTGCGAGAAAGGCCCGAGTCTAACTGACAGTAGAATAACTATGCAGCCTATAAGTGCCGCATCACTACCTGTGTGTTAGACCATGTAGCGTTTAACCCCTTGGTTATGGTACCGTAGGATACGTACACCGACCTCGTTCGAAAGAAGAGCAGTAGTGAGCCCCAGGGTCCTCGAGCAGCTGTATGCGCGTCGCCGTATCCCTAGAAGAGCTGGTCATCATATGATGAAAGCTAGCAAGTAAACAATATCTAGATAGTCTTTATCTATGCGTCTTTTAGGACTATTTCTCCATCTATGATAAACCGGCCAGGAAGGCTGCAACAAAATTTCAACTGATAATCATCTGGCCCCACTTCCTACTACATGTCAAGGCGTTTATAATGAATAACTCGCCCTACTCGGTGTACTTGATTGATTTGGGGTCCTCCATGTCTGCATATGATTGGACAACGACAGGTAGATTCATGCATCTAGTGGCGGTGCAACATATTTATCGTATCAAAAGTAGCGTCGGTCCGGTCTATTGGTGTTTCCGCAGAAGCAGACGAGGCAGAGAAGCCGAATTGCTTATCAGCCCCTGAACTCGCTTCACGGGCATGTTGGGGTTTGAGGGGGCTGATGGTGAGTGTGGGGGTTTCTTTCTCTGGTTCTGGTTCTGGGTTACCTGGATGGTTTACACGTGTAGTACGCATCTGCCTACGCGACCACGCCGAAATTCCCCTATACATCTTACTAACCTTTCCACACCAGCTCTCTCAACAACCCTATACTTCCCCACTGTCTGGCGAACCATCTACGTTACGGGCCGCGAGATGATCGGAGACCTACTCAGTGAAAAACCTCAACTTTCACACCTCACCTGCCCTTTATCGATTCCTCGCATCAGTACTTAATACACAAAAAAGGGGGTGAATCTAGACCACAACCGCCAGACGCCGTTGTCTGTCTTTCCAAATAGCGGCGGGTATCGCTATTGAACTAGGTGGTTTAGTGCTGGTGGGTGTTTCTGCGACGACGGTTGGAATGTTAATTTGAGGCGTGCATGGCGCGAGACGGGAGTTGGGGGAGGTTTAATATAGACGCGGGGGTGGTTTCTGTGGCCACGTACGAGGGTGAGGGCGAATGAGGCGAGGAAGGGGAAGGGGAAGATAGGGGCGGGCCGGTCCAGGCCAGATGTAAGCGTGTTTAGTTGGGAGAAGGTGCGAGGAGTTTTGTGTATAGGGGACGGTGGTGTAGTAAGCGACTCAGCGCTGTGTGCTGACTAACTTACCAACCCCCAATGCCAGTTTTCTTCATCGCTCACGATGAATAGAGTGCTGTGTTGTTGTGTCCATGACATAAGCGGACGCATGTACATCATCTTGTCTGGGCTGGGCATAGAGCATGTCTTACGTCAGAGTCGAGACCCTTTTTCCTCTGCAAGTGTGCAAGCTTCTTTTCTTCCGACTTTACTCGGCTGACTTGCTTATCTCCAACAACGGGCCACCGAGGAAGAAAAAGTCTTCAAAGAAGAGCTGGTGATGTCGTCATTCGCATCTTGGAGAGGAGGGGTGTGCAAAACTTGTACGGTATAGTTGCATCTGTTTGGCTGACCGGTAGGTACGTAGATATGCTTGTGTGTATGTGCATGTCGGAGTTGTGTAGGTAGCCCCTCGCACCGGTGCCGGTATTACACCCGACACGGCGAACATGGCCTCCTTACCAAGCTTTTCCTTCCGTCTCACTCATTGCGCAATCCGCATATCACACGTCTCTAGCACCCCATTTGCTCCACCACGGGGCCAGGCAGCCGTCGCATCCGTAACGATTTTGGTGGCAGTGTGTGACGTTATTTTACGGCACTGACGGCAGTGTTTGTAGGCGTGATGCGATGCAGACGGGTATGCGGCTATCTGACGTGAATATCTACCCGAATCCGCTGCTTATTGTAGGGTTCACGTCACGCTGACTTGCATAAGCTTGATTGCACCATCTGACGATAGCTGTACCGACATGTTGGTCGGGGTTCACTGCATCCAGAAGGGGCGGTGGCTGGGACAGACATGCAAACAAGTGTGTAGTGCTAGTATGTGTCAAACCTTGAACTTTGTTAGATTGGACTATTGGAAGATTGGTGTTTGGTGGTGGTTGATGAAACGATGATTATGTTTCTAGACGCGCCGCTGTTGTTCGCTCGTGCTGGTTTCTGCTCGCTCGCTCAGGGTGGCTGTGCAGGTGCAGTGGAACGGCAGGCTGGGCAATACCAATACTAGAATTAAGCATCCCATTTGTTCCGGTCGTATCGGGCGGTCTGACTTTGCGGCATGCAGGCACAGGGGTGTAGCCAGTTCAATGGACGGCTGAGAACCAAACACATTACTGAGGCATTTGGCGCGCGCTCACGGTTCCACTCAATTTTTTCCTGCAAAAGACAAGACGACATGAATGACGACGACGTGCGCTATTGATAACTCGGGCGGGGTTTATGATGTGCGCGCATTGGGCATATGGAGGGGAATATTGGCGAAAAGCAGGCTTGGAGCTTGGGGGATCCATGACCCATGAGGCTGAGAGGCGTTGATGGCGTGCCTGGCCCACTAGGGTGTAGGTTGAGGCTAGCCCCGTAGCCGCTTATTCAATTATCGACACCGGTAGCTAGTAGGTAGAGTGCAGCCGCCCGGAAGAATACTTACTGCTTAGTCCAATTGTCGTCTATCGGGCAAGGAGAAGAATAGCTGACGCGTTTCCCTTGTTGAGCACAAAACGCAACACGCAGAGCGCACTCGATACGAGACATGAGTTGATGAGAACAAGATCAGAAATGGGGTAGGTGTGTTTCGGGATTAATGGCCTGGTGTCGCATCGTCGGACGCACAGCTCGTCGTGATGTCATGGCCGCACCAAACGAAGGCGCTTTCGGCCGCGTTGGCTGTGGATATTTGCAACTTGGCTCGGACCAGCGCCCGCCTTCGCCCATTTCGTGACGCACGCATGGCTCCATACCCTTTCTTGACATCTGGCTTAGTGTGGCCCTGTCCAACCATCATCGACGCGAGCTTGCAGGCCCGCTAAACCACCTTCCTTGTTCTCAACTCTCTTGTTTCCTATGATAACCTCCGACGACTGCTTGCTTGCTTGCTTGCTTGCTCACTCTCGCTCTTGATTGCTAGTTCTTCCCTGCTGTTGTTGTTTTTCCCACTATCCACCCTGCTTTCCTTTGCAAGCACGCCCCCAAACATGGTGCACTCGTTATCAAGTCTAGCACTGCTCTCGTTACCCACCTTGCGCCTCGCCCTCGCCCAGTCCATCTCGTTATCGCCAGGCACCACGGCTCCCAATGACGCCTCCGACTACATCAACCCCTCGTTTGCAGGTTTCGGCATCGAGCCCTCGAACCTGTTCTCGTTTACCGGGGCCGACACAATCAACCAGTTTTCCGTCCAGTTATTACAGAACCTCGCCGACTATGCCGGCGCCCCGCCGCATCTGCGCATTGGTGGAAACACGCAGGATTACATGATTTTCAACAATACTAACCAGCAGTTTGCTTGGTTGAACAATAAAAACTCTCAAGCTCAGGGCGCAATTGCCGCGGATTCCATGATCATCGGGCCAAACTACTTTGCCGCCATTGACAGATTTCCAAAGGACTCGCCCATTACTTTTGGTCTCAACATGGCCTACATGGACAGTGACTACCAGGACGATATTATCAACATGGCACAGGGAGCCATCGACGGCCTGAAGAACACCAAGCTCTATTCGTTCGAGGTGGGCAATGAGCCAGATCTGTGGCTCCAGAACCAATTCCGCGCGGCGCCTTGGAACGGCCAGGTGTATACGAATCAATGGCTAGACCGCTGCAGCATTGTATATGAGAACGTTTTGAAGAATGCCGGTCTGCCGTCGTCGTTTTTCGAGGCTCCCGCTACTGCTTCCACCATCGGCACAACCTTTGAGATCAAGCAGCTCATCAGCGATGGCATCATGGACGGAAAGGACGGAAACAACTTCCTGGCTACATGGAACCAGCACGACTACTTTTACTGTACGTTTTACCCTTGATATTCCCATACCCGACTAACACGCCACAGTCATTGGAGTCACACCAACACCGCTCACCCTCAACGACCTCATGGACCTCGACGCCACAAATACACAATTCGCATACTGGGAGAAGCAGGTTGGCATCGCTCTCGACACAAAACTCCCCTATGTTTTACGAGAGATGAGTTCCGTCGGACCAATCGGTATGCCTGGCGTCAGCGACGTATTCGGTGCTTCTCTCTGGACCCTGAATTTCTTCCTCTATGCAGCATCGATCGGCATCTCGTCTGTGCAGATGCACATGACAGACAACTCAAACGCCAGTGCATGGCAGCCTATTCCCATGTACGGCCGCCAGACGTCCTTTGTGCGACCGCAGTACTATGCTCATGCTGCCGTTGCACAAATCATCGGCAACGGCAACGGAACAACACAAATCTCCACGCTCAAGACGAACAATGTCGGTGCTTCATACGACGGTCGCATTCGCTCATACGCGGCATACGCGAATGACAAGCTCCAATCAGTCACCCTTATCAACGCCAAGCAGGCAAACGCCTCGGTATCCAACAAGGGCAGCTTCACATTCAACCTCAACCTCGGTTCCGACAATGCAAACAAACAAGTCTTCGTTTCCTACCTCACAGCCGATGGCGCAGACTCGCAAACGGGCGTTACCTGGAATGGAATGTCCTACGATGACGTCACAGGCATATCTTCAACTACGGAGAACACAGTCACAGTCGCCACAACTGATGGTTCCGGCAAGGTCGGTATCCCCGTTCGCGACTCACAGGCCGCGGTTGTCAACATTGGGTGGCAGCTAGGTGTCAACGCCGTCCTCAAGCCCGACGGCACGCAGTCGAAGAAAAGTAATGCTGCTTCGTCTTCCATCGGCGGTGCAAACTACGCCGTTGCAAGTGGTGTCCTGGCCATGTTGTGGACTTTGATCATGGCGTAATGCGGGGAAAGACACACTATTCTGTCGTCATTTCTCCTTTTTCTTTTCCTTTCCTAATGTCCTACTTCCTTTTTTCTTCCTTTTGGAGGGGTTCATGCAGCATCACGGACTTGCATATGCGTTACGACTGGCGTTTGGTATGTTTTTTCCTTTTTCCTTTTTGCCTCGTCATCAAGTCGAGGGGGGACTGGGCTTTTTTGTTCTAGAAGCTCCTCCTCCGTCACATGCCTGTTTTCCAGGCCATCTCCTTTTGTCTTCTTTCACCTAACGTCATCGGCAAGCCGAAAGCGCGCCTCTTTGAATCGGCCAACTTGGGAATGGGAAATTAATCGGCCCCCTCCTACACTGCTGTTCTTTCCCTTTTGGTCAAAGGAAATCACAGATGAAGTGAGGAGTGCGGGGCCTTGATTGGGAATCGGGGTTGGATCAGGCGCTTTGCGGAGTTCATATCCTGCGTTCGTGTGCGTGTTGCGTTTGTGTATATATGTATATACGCCACCCATTTTTTCCTGTTCACTTATTCTTACTGCAAGCCGATGTGGTGTGGTGTGTTGTAACATGCATCAAGAAGAAGAACAGCGACTATAGAAGTTTTTTTTCTTACAATTGCTAGAAGTACTATTCTACGCGCATATTAGGAGTTATCGGGCAAGATGAAGATGAAGATGAAGATGAAATATCATGATACTTTTATTGTTCTAAAAACCACCGTTCTCCATCACCCTTGCATTGATATACTCTGAATGAGGAAATCGCGATACAAACTTCCAGAGCTCATGTCTAGCTTTTTCCCTCTCCGCCCTTGGACGGTAGTAGTAGGCTACCATAATAGATCCACATTGACAGCAGGGAAGCAAGATGCGGATGGGTAAATGTAAATGAGTAAAATAGTGCACGGATGCAAGGGAGGTCATATACTCCGTTACCGAAAGGATCTCGGCCGAACTGTTGTGGTCGTGGTTTTCTGCCCCCGCTTCCCGATTCTTGCCGTGCCGTGCCGTGGGGGTAACGTGTGGTTGGGTGGATGGGGGCGAGTATCGTGGGAGTAGACTAGCGCCGCGGCTGAATAAGATAGAATATGATGGGTACGAATGGTTTGTTTGATTAGTGTAGGTGTTTGTAGGATATGTGATGTGGGTTAAGATGCGTGTAGAACGAGGTGGGGATAGAACGAAGTACGGATAGAACGAAGTGGACATGTAAAGGCTGGGTTGCGTTAGTAGATAAGGGCTTGTCTACGACTATAACGTAAATTTATCTACGAAATGTGTAGAGAATGCGAGTAATGTGTGTGTTTGTTTACTTCTACTTCTACTACTACTACTACTACTACTACTCCTAGGTTTTGGCAAGGAGACACGGGAGGGGTGTGAGATATAGAGTTGATGTGTTGTGCTTTTCTTCTTTGGAAAGGGTGGTGTGAAGGTGGTACATTGTTGTTAGCTAGAAAAAGTGGCTTTTGGTGGGTGAAAGGGTCAGTCTTGCTCACTGAGATAACTAGAGTGAATATATGAGGCGTGAATGTGATGATTACGGATAGAGTATTGTGGTGTAGTAGCTTGTCACGTGTTCGGCGTTAGGTAATCGGCGCTAGGGTTGAGTATTTTAGGACGACTCCACGTAGAGGAGCTCGACAGCTATCGTACACCATTCTTAATACTACCGATTGTTACTCGGATACTTTCTTATTCTCTACTATCTACCGATTGCGGGTCGGCAGCCTCTCTTCTGACTATTGAGACTATCCCTCTACCACAGTATATAGGATCAATACATTCGTATACAATCGATCCGTCGTGATCCCTTTCTCATCTCCTGCTAGGCGAATAAATCCGCTTTGCAGAAGAACATTGCTGAAGCTTTTGAGTACTGTACGTCGAGAGCATATGTAAGTGGTATGTCCAGTCTTTCCCGTTTCCCAGTGTCGCCTACACCAGTGGTGGATTGTATCTTGTTTAATTTTGTTATGTTTTGAGATACTTATCTCGTTTTCTTGGTTGTAGTTACTCTACAACTTTAAACTAGTATCGGCCAAGAAGCTGTGATTAACGGGAACTCGCGCAAGCGTGATATCCTTTGTTGCTAATGTTGGAGTGGGGTCATGTCCAGTTAGACGTTGAGGTCAGCGTGCTGACGCGACGACGATGTTCGGCGGTCTGGGTGAAGTGCTTTCATGCGTTGGCATCGTCGGGTGTATGTCCGAGCTATCATACCTACTACACTGTAAATTGTCTTGATTAGAGTGGTAAAGATAATCTGGCTGCCAATAAACTCATGCTTCCGTACCATCGATATGTGCACTGCCAGATTGAACACCTGATAAGGACTATCACTTGTCTTTGTGTTATCTGGGTCGGTATTGGAGTTGAATAGTTAGGCCGAGTTGTGATGCATAAGGGCCGCGCCTAACCGCATTCAGTGGTAGGTCCCCTGGTCGCTCAGGTGAGGGGTAGTATCGATTGCTATCGAATGTCATGTGCCGTTTGTCCAGGTCGGATGCTCCGATTGATTGATTGATTGCTTATCGTGGTCTACTTAAACCTCCCTCTTTCCCTACTTCACCTGTCATTTCTACTCGGAAAGCCTTTCAACAAAGCAAGACATGTCAACTGTAGCAGCACCTCTTGTACCCACCACCACTCCATTCGTCGGAGCCGGACTCCTACCTACCGTCTGTACGCCCTATGATGAGACTTTCGATACCATAGACCTTACGGTCGCATCTCCTGAAGAAGCGTATCAGAGACTTTCGCAAGCGGCGAGTACGACAGGCGTGGCACTCATCTCCAGCCTACCCGTGCGTCCTCCCATCTCCGCGATACAGAATCTCTTCGCGAGGCTGTATGCAGAACGCTCATTGGCCTCGCGACTCAATGCCACTTACCCCAAACGTGGTGTTTTCAAGGACGCCTGCTTGGTACCTGATGCTTCTCCTGAGATTGACCAGAAGACGACTGTGGACCTCTCCATCGGTCGCCTACAGTCCCTGCGCGAGATGGATCCGGACCTTGTAGAAGAGCTGGGCGAAGACTTTGAAGACATCATGAAGTTCTACACATACATCGAAACCGAGGTCCTCCCTGTTATTACACGAGCTACGTCGAACATCAGTGACCTGGAGTTAGAGCTCACCCACAACGGAACCAACAACCACCTCCGCCTGATTGACTATTTTCCGTGCTCAAACCCATCTGCACCCAGGTGTGGCGAACACCGGGATTACAACACATACACCATTGTTTTCCAGGACGGCGCTGTGGGTGGTTTGGAGTTTGAGGTTGACGGTGTCTGGAAATCTGTCCCAGCAAGTGTCGATGCTGTCATCTCATGGGGTTGGTGTGCTGCTATCTTGACCAACGATGAGGTGAAGGCTGCCAAGCATCGCGTTCTAAGAACCTGGCCCGTAGCCCAGCGAAGGACTACCGCGGTTGTCTTCGTTGCACCTGATCTTGATACCGTCCTTCAGCCGACGAGTGGTCAAGGAACGAAAGATGGAAAATGGCGTCGAGAGGTCCAAGAAGGATGTGTGACTGTTGGGGCTTTCAAGGAGATCATAGGCAAGAAATGGAGGAGACGTGAGGGAAACGAACCCGGCGAAGTCATTCAAGGGGCACAAGATCGAGAGATCGAGGCGTATCTGAAGTCTACGTAATGCGAGGTGACGGGAACGTACCTTCTTCGCCATGAGGGGGTTGCGTTAGGGCTTCTGTAACTTAAGTTAGAAATTCGAGACTCATGTTTGTGAAAAAAATAATTGTGTCTATACACTGGACGTTGAGAATGACATGAGCCAGCACTAATCACCACCTGGCGCGAAACCAAGCAGGAGTGTAGGTAAGAGTGGACATTACGTTTGTCACGGTTTGGTGATGGGACGATGCCTATCTGAGACTAGCGCTGTTTATGGTCACTCACCTACATAAACTTTCCATAGCTTGTACAATACAACCTCAGTCAATCCTCAACTTCTTCCCTATGCGTACGGTTCACCCACTCCAACAGTTATGAGCCCGGCTGCATCCTGATTGTACTCATTTCCCGATTACCGCGTCCCTCATAGCGCACGATTACTAGGCCCCTCATAGCCGCACGATTACCGCGTCCCTCATAGCGCACGATTACTAGGCCCCTCATAGCCGCACGATTACCCCGCGTCCACCACAGCGCTCGATTACCCCGCGTCCACTATAACGCACGATTGCTACGTCTGTTCTACGCACACAATGGCTACAGGATCAGCAGTAACTCGAGTTACTGTTATCCTTAATACACCAGATGACTGGTTCAACTGGATCTTTCTCTGCAGAGACTTCGCGAAGGATCACAAGATCTGGCAATACGTCAATCCAGATACACCAAAGGAGAGTCTGCCTGACCTAGAGGCTGCCAATCCTAAGCCTCAGCTCACCGACTATAAGGCTAGAGCTTCTAAGCTCTCTGATCTATCCACTGAGGATCGTGATTCCTACCGATGGGAGGTTGAACAATGGAGACTCGACGAGATCACGCTGCAGAAACAAGAGAGAGCTCTGGTGCAGCTAAATACAGAGATCACTAGGTCTATCGCCACGCGTCATCTCTACCTAATACAGGATCTCCCTACTGTGTACGATCGACTTGTCGCTCTCAAGAAGCAATTCTGTCCTTCTACAGCCGATCGGAGTCGCGACTTAATAGCAAGATACACCAATCTGAAGACCGCTCCACGCAACCTAAAGAAACTCGATGAATGGATGGCTGACTGGATACACATCACTTCTCAATGCCAATCGATCAACCTACCAGAGACAACTAGCTACAGGCCTCAGGAGGATTTCCTGATTGCCTGCCAAGCTCACTATCCAAACTACGCTGCTACCTGCCTCGATCAGATATACGAACACGAGATAAACGGTACAAATCTACTCAGCTTGCCCGCCTACGTCGAAAAGATGACGAAGTACATCCGCCGAGCTGCCCAGACCACTGCCACTGAGTCAAGTGTGCTATCTACCTCAGCTGCTAAGCTTGGGATTGCAAACCTACCTTGTGTTTGTGGGCTGTCACACGCTTTACCCGACTGCTGGATACTCAATCCACTTCACCCAGGTCGACCAAAAGACTGGACACCAGCACCTATTGGAGTCCGCAAGGTTGAACAAGCTCAAAAGGATCCTAAGATTTCGAAGCAAATAAAGGACGCCCTAAATGAATGGGCTTCACGTCAACAGTATAGAGACAAGATTCAGGTAGATGACGGCCAACCACCTAGTGGTGGTACATCATTCGTGGTTCATCTGCTGGATACAGGTCAGTTATCACCAACTCACTGACTTGGTGACAACTGGGGGGTGTGTCACGGTTTGGTGATGGGACGATGCCTATCTGAGACTAGCGCTGTTTATGGTCACTCACCTACATAAACTTTCCATAGCTTGTACAATACAACCTCAGTCAATCCTCAACTTCTTCCCTATGCGTACGGTTCACCCACTCCAACAACGTTACTAGCGTGACAGGCAGGGATCGACGACCTTGGAAGCTACCCCGCTTTTGGCCTAGGGTCGATGCCTCGAAAGAGATGAGCCTCTTCGTATTGATGTCATCTACAACTACCACCACACATTTCACTCGCGACGCGAAATCTTCCGTATCACGAGTCATACTGCTCATCCTGTCACATGTTTCTTTAAGGCGTCTTCGCTTGCTTCGTCTTCAGCCTTACGTGGTCGCACAAAATACTCATGGTAGATAGTGACGAGGCTGAACAGTGGGTGGGCTAAATTGATGGATTTTAGGATTGCTAATCTGATAAAGACATGGGGTAGGTAATATCTCTGCAGGATGATTGGACCCAGTAGACTCAGCCCAACATTGATACCATGCGTCAATGAAAATCACCGCCCCCAAACGGCCCCAGATGATTGATTATACGCCCGGCTCCGCGATTGCAAGACCCAATACGCCCTTTTAATAACTTTAATCATGGACGGAGATGACCCATTAACAAACCGGGCCCAAATCAGCTCGTGGGTGTACAAGACGTTTTGAGGGAGTCGAACTTTCGCTATCCAAATGCGTCTATCCATAATGTGTAGAGAAATAGTATACGAGCTTCTTCTTCTCCTCCTACTGAAAAAGCTGTAGTGACTCTCAATCTACAGTCTACCGTTGAATGTACGCTATCAAGATGATCACGTACCAAAGCGGGGATCTGGTTGTCGATCAACGATCGCCTTGACCGCTTGAGCTGCAGTTTGGTGCAACAAAGGCTACCGTACAAGAACTCCATAGGCTGCTGCGAGAGTTATAAATCAACTCATACGCCTTCAGACGAACCTATCTTGACTCTGATGACACCGATCGGCCACGACAGCCATAGTGTATTATGGGGCCACTTTCTGCAAAGAAAATTCTCACATGTATTTCCGGCCAGGCTGAGCAATGGTCTTACTTCTTATCTAGAATTATTTTATGCTGGACTATGAATAGTAGCTTCGGGCTTTACAGCCCAGCCCTTCTTTCATTCTTACTTCGTTCAAGCAGACTACACTTATTCTTCATTTCAGCGACTCGCAATCATGACATCGAAACCTGCCAGTACAAAACTGTTCATGCAGGCTCGGAAGAAATTCGAAAGAGAATGCAAGCGGAAGTACCTGGAAGGAAAAAAAAAGTCCAATACGAAGCATTCCTTAATGACAGTGGCAGCTCTGAAGAGGCAACAGTGGCTGCTCAAAGACTCCAGGACAAAGCGGTACAGAAATGGGCGGATATGAAAGACCGTGACACACATATACCGGACGTATGGATCAGGGGAATCATGCTCGGCATCACCAAATTTATCACTTTCGGTGATGTCGCAATGCAAGTTGCACCCCAAAGTGTCGGTCTGGCTTGGCTTGGTATCAGGCTCACACTCTCCGCCATTCAGAGTGACTTCAGCCTCTATGGTCTATTCTCAACTGGTTTGTCGGATGTCACTGATATCATGGTCATTATGGCACAGTACGAAATGCTGTATAATAACAATTACGACGGCAAGACGGAAACCAAACTGCAAGCAAGCTCTAGCCTGACGAAACTATCCGATACCATTGTGGACACATATACAGCGGTTCTGAACTTTTCATTTTCTGTCCATAAACATTTGAACGGCGGGACACAGGCAAAAATACGCCATGCAGTTGAGCATTCCTTTGGTATTCCAAAGGCAAAGTTTCAAGAGAAGCTCGATATCGTGTCAAAGTTCAAGAAAGAGGTCCTTGAAACTAGCCATCGTGTATTCCAAGAAAAGTCATTGCGGCAATCGGAATTAGTACTCAGTGCTATCAGCAGCATAGAAAATACTGTAAGCAATATTGGAGACTTCCAGAGTACGATGCAGGACCTGAAAGATCGGACAACTGCAACCACCAAGGCCGTTAAGGAGATGCAAAAGGAATTGAGAGAAACTAGTACGAACACAAAAGCCAAAACGCCATGGGACATGGCTGTTGACGATTTCAAGAAAAACAACGAAGCACTGAAGCCGTTGAATGACACCAGCGAAAAGCTCGGTGACGCGATTGATCTGCGTTATCCTGGAACATGCCAATGGATTTTTGAGCAGCCAAAGTACCGAGATTGGCAGGTCTCAAGCAAAGGCATGCTTTGTCTCGAAGGTCAAGAGGGCAAGTCGGTGCTCCTTATTAGAAGTGCCTGTGTTGACTCCGTACAGGTTCTGGAAAATCCGTTGTTCTTGCAACCGTTGTCGAACATCTCGATCTTGATGTGGAATATACCAGCAAAATATTTTATCTTTCTTGTGGACTCAACCGGGACGACGATTCAAGTCGAGTTGCCCCAACGGCTGACAGTATCTGCAATAAGCTTCTCCATTGGCTTTATGCTTTCGCAAAGCAGAATGAGCAACAAATCGAGGTCTTAAAAGACTGCAACGGATTCTTCGAGAACTTCAGAACGAAAACGAAGGAAGAGGGCAAGGATATCTCCTCGAAAATGGGCCTTGTAGGTACTGGTGAGAGTGGCCCAGATTTCGTGGATACATTTTCCTCGTTGATGCAACGACTCGATGTTGGAGTCACCATTGCTTTAGATGGGCTGGAACGCATGCCTCTTAAAGACTCAGAAAACCTGGTTACACGACTAAAAAGCCTTCGCGACCGGATGTATACCAAAGCTTCCTTCAGAGTCATCGTGACATGCGGTTTGAAAAACCGCGTCCATGATATGATGATATCACTCAATGTTGGCGAGTTTAACCGGGAGGACATGGCGAAGATGCTCTCTGAAGAACTCAAATCAATACCCGGTTTAACTCAATCTGAGTTCAAAGAAGCCACCGATGCAATTCGTCACAAAGCTGGTTCTCGATTTGCATATGTTAGAGATATCGGCATACCTTTCATGCGGGAACCCTTCCAGCGACCTATGTCAGACCGTCTAAATGCACTACCAGAGGGTATGAAAAAAGTATACAGTACGGCACTCCAAGTTATGGGACCCAACCATGCTGAGCTACTTCGCACGGCACTAATGTGGACGTTGCTAGCTCGTGTCGACCCCACAATTGAACTAGTCATGGATACATATAACAGAAAGTACGAGGAACGTGTCACCAAAGCCGAAGCAGAAGCCCGCTCTCTTGAGCATCTGACGTTAACTGGTGCTCATGGGCTAGAACTAAAACAATTACGAAACGCAAGTGGTCCTTTTCTCCGGATCAACCAAGACACTACCGTCGTCCTCACCGATTTTGACCATATCAAAGAATTCGTCATGAAAACAGGCAGCTCCGAGTTACCACACAGTTCGAACAAGGAGACATTATGTACGAGCTGTCAGTCCAGCCTGACTAGTACCCGGTCTGTAGAATTTGATCAGAAATATGGCCATCTCCATCTCGCGCGGATATGCTTGAGGCATCTGAATAATCCTGTTTTCCAAAGAAAAGCCATTGGTCAGTCAAAAGAGGACAGAAGAGAGAACGGAATTGATGAAACAGATGGCATGGTTGAACACAACGGTGATATGCAAGAGGTCGCTGTTCTTACGGAAAACGACCCGACGACAAAGACACAGAACGGCATCATGGCAGACGCTACCGGGCTTGGCACAGAGATGAAAAACGAAGACAAAAATAAGTTGGAAGAAGCGGATGAGCATAAAACTGTGGGCCCTAGCCCCGAAAGACACAGTGACACTGACACCGACACTGACGATTTCAACGACGACAAGGATCGGTGCATTGAACAATACCCTGACGATTATGGCGACAGTATGAACTTCGATTGCAGTACCTACGAGAGTCGCTACGAAATGCAATACTGGATGTACCATCTTCGCGAGGCACAAGAGCAATGGAACTCAACGGAGAGGGCAAAAAGTCAAGGCTGGGCAGAGATCTTCGATGAGCTCGACTATCTCACCTCAACCAATGTGTCCTTTTTTAACCTCTTGGAAAACAATGCCAATCCACTCAGTGTTGCCGCTAAACATGAATTAACCAGCTGGATCCAGCACTTGCTTGTGAAGGGCGAAACGCATAACAGCCAAGAAGAAATCCAAAGCGCGTTGGAGGTAGCAGCTTCTCGCCTGAACAATACTGCTACCTTGAAAACACTTCTTGAGAACATCGAAGAACCAAAGGATGTCGAACGGTTCAATGGCGCGTTCCAAAAATGCCTGTCCGTTGATCCAAGCTTCGATACGATCAAGTTATGGCTTGACTATGGTGCCGACCCGTCCAAATCTAAGAGATATAATGGTTTTACTGGCTTCCACTACTTTGCGTGGGGTGGAACCGACTCAAGAGTGCTTGCTCTCCTGTTGGATCATGTCACTGAACCAAACATCAATGTCCAAGCTCGCGACGGTATGACTCCGCTGCACCTACTAATGTGCCGACAAGAAGTCCCCAAAGATCTTTTGAAGACTTTCCTCGATCATGACGCGGATATCAACAGAGACGACTCACACTCAAAGCGCCCACTACAACTAGCTAGTGTCTGGGGTGAACTTGCAACCTTGAGGATTCTGCTCGATTAACCAATCTCCAAGATAAACGACACAGATGACAAAGGCAGAACCGCTCTACATGAGGCTGCCATTAACAACCATCCAAAATGCATGCATCTCTTAGCAAGCCACGGAGCAGACGTAAATGCGCCTGATATGTATGGTCGCGTTCCTCTGCATGATGCAGCCCGGCGCGGAGAGAAAGAATGTGTTGAAATACTACTCCAACACATCGCGGAAGTCAACATGAGAGACAAACACAATAGGAGTCCGCTTTTCTTTGCATGTCTTGGCCAATCCCTCGATAATGCAGAAGTACTACTCGTCACGCTGCTGGAGATGAAGGTGCCAGTGAAGGAGATTAACCAGGTGACCAAGAGAAAGCGCTCTGTAATTCACCAGGCTGCGTCACATGGATTCAATACTATCATTGAAAAGCTTATTGAAGCCGCAAGGGCAGAACAAGACCTCGAGAGCTTGGCAATCAACGTCCAGGATTCTTGTAAAGGGATGACGCCGCTGCACCGAGCGGCTGTTTTTGGTCATGTGGATTGTATCAGTTCATTGTTAGAAGCACAAGCAGATGCTACGATTCGCGACAAGAATGGAAGGGCTGCTCTTGTCCTTGCTTACGAACAGTGGACTCTGTCAGACAGTCAAGAGTTTGAAAAGAGTATTTCCCTCCTCATTGTAGCAGATGCCGATGCTGCACGAGCGGATGCTGAGCTGGCAGCAATTTGCGCTGCCAATGGGAGCGTACCACTTCTTCGAAAGCTCAGTGAACTGGGCGCAGACCTCAGTCGCCAAGATCAATACAGCTGGACCCCACAGCAACTAGCACGCAAATACAGGCGTACTGAGGCTGAAGAGTTTTTGAAGTTGCAAGCTGGAGAAGCAGGACTACTAACTTCTCGGTGGTTGGTCAGCCCAGAGACTATGATATCAGATGATGGAAGGACGCTGACCCATCGATCCGGCAAGCGTGTTTGTTACTCGACCAACAAGCCTATACCTGCATGGTTTGACAAATTCTACTTTGAGGTCACCTGTAAGAGCCCACCTGCTACAACAGATAAAGATCGGGAATGCATGCAACCAATTGTGGCCATCGGGATCTGTACCATCGACGCCAGTGCAATCAACTATCCAGGATGGCCTTCTCGTACCCGTGCGCTATCCGCAAAGTCATGGCGCTACTATGGTGATAATGGTGGCTTATACACATCTGAAGGCAACGTGGGTTATATGAGTAAGCAGGGAATTCCTTATAAATACGGTCGGACAGTTGGTTGCGGTGTTGATATGGAGAAGGGAATAATTTGGTTCACATTAGATGGGAAACCACTTCATGTACAGTTTGAAAATGTCTCCGGACGGTTATTTCCGATGATTGGACTGCGGGACCCAATGATACTGGAGACAAATTTCCGCGTCGAGAAGCTAGTCGAGACTATTGGGAACGGCCAAGGAGATTTGTAGATGATGTTGAAAGGATTTCATTCCATATGTCGGTTGTTAGGGCTCATCATATGCTGTTTCTCTTTATTCCATAGTTGACTTCACACATTTCCTCTAGGGTGGGCAATATATATCTCATTCTTAGAACGTAATACATTCAACTTATTCAAAGAACATCTAGACTTCAAGTGGTCACAGCCAGGCCTCATATGTGGCAAACGTCAATGCAAAACGTGATATCTTCAATCAATATCCCACGCCACGACCAACTCAGCGACCACATCACAAGGACCTGACATACATTCACACACCACCATTATGTGCAAAACCCAAATACCCCCTCCCTTTCCAAAAAATATCTCCAAAAAGCCGACCCACACAAACCCAACAACCCTTAGAAATGATACTCATAGTAGCAATCCCTAGCTACTACCTCACCTCCTCCTACGCCTTCACGCCCTCCCCAAAAACCCACCCCACAACAAGCACCCGCTACATCGCCCTCGGCCCCACCGCGTCCTCCTCCCTCGCAACGCGCAACCACAAAATCGCAAAAGACGTGTTAACCTGGGGCTGGCTCGTCTACTCCGCTGACACATCGCTCCCCGGAAACGCAGCCTGGTTCGCGAAATATCAGGCCGCGGCAAAGGATAAGGGCTGGGAGGAGGATCTTTGGCGGATCTGGCAGAGCGAGCATGGTGTTAGGATTTTAGCTAGGGAGAAGGTGAGGAGGAAGGGGGAGCGTGGGGTGAGGGGAATGGTAGAGAGGGTGGCAGGGTGGGTTAGAAGGGAGATTGATTGGAGGGGAGTAAGGGAGGGGGTGTTGAGGGAGTGGGAGGAGCAGAGGAGGGTGGCGAGAGGGAAGGGGGATGAGAAAGAGGGAGAAGTGGAAAGGCAAGTGAAGAAGAGTGAGTCGATTATTTCGCTAAAGGGGTCTTTTATGCAGAGGATTGAGGGGTTGACGGGGACTAAGGAGATGGAGGAAGGGTGGGAGAGTGATATATTACCAACGGTGTTGCTGATGGATTCGGTATTGGAGGATGGTAACCCGTTTTTCCTGGCAAATTAGTCATTTGATTCAGGAGTAGAAATTCCAAACATGATGTTATTTATTTCAGGATATTACGCCGCTGTGTTTGCAAAGGCTGTGTCACGTTTCTGGGACAGTAAAATCGAGTAAAGAGATAGGCTTGTTAATTCAACCAACAACGTTGCGCCTGTATGCAACGGGCATTGTGCCCTTCACACAATCTTCGTATCCTATATCCCTTATTGCATCCTACCAAAGAATCATCTCCCTCCCCATCCCTCCTGATGTATGACCTTACATTACAACCCCACTACTTCGACCCCCTCATCACCGTAAACCTCTCCTTCAACCGTCGACCAAACCTTGCCAACCTGTCTCCCTCTCTACGGATAATTGCCCCAACAACAGTTCCCCGCAGCCGCTCCTATAGCATGCGCTCCGTATTCGCTGTTCGCGGGGGAGGTGGTTGCGGTATATCAGCCTGCCACTCCTCTATGCGCTGACGATTCCGTTCCCGTTCCCGTGCCCTAGATCTTCGTCTATCTGCAGAAGGGTGCAATATCACTTCTCTGCCCAATTCGACATGGTTTCGGATTACTGGGGTTGGCGCTCTGACGGTTAGGTCAAGCGAGTTTGGGATGGTGACGCGTGGAAGGGGAGATATCGGGCTGTCTGCTTCGTCGCTAAATTCTGAGGGTGCTAATCGAGCTGCGATGTTCGGAGGGAGTGGTCGGACTGGGATGGGTGAGTAGATTGGATTTGTTTCCGAGGCTGATACCGACGGTGGCTGGTTGTTGGTGTTTGATTCAGCTCTCTGCGGGCTGGGTATAGTCTCGCTGGCCTTGGGCAGCTCCGATACTGACGCACTCGAAGAAGAAGAAGAAGAAGAAGAGTCGCTCATACTTGGTTTGCGTTCGAGAATGGGCCAAGAATCTCGCATATGGAATACTTGTAGGGGTTGTGAGAATGGAGAGGTGGGACTTGTTGTAAGCACATCTTTGGGATTCAGATACAGCCTTGCGAAGCCCATTACCTCTACCCAGTGGTTCTTGTAGTATGTCTCGATTGGTAGAGTGAGATCGAGGAGAACGGTCACTTTGTAAGTGTCGGATGGCGTGACAGGCGTGACAGGCGGGCGAGATAAGACGGGTACTGGTCTTTCAGGCGGCGATTCCACAGTCCTTGTCGGCGTTGGCTGCGTGGACGACGCAGATATCATAGTATTGGACTCAGCAGTATCTTCTTGTGGTGATACTGGCGGAGATGATGTTTTGTTGCCAACGGCGGCTGCTGGTGATGGCGTTCGTTCCCGGACATACTTCTTCCCCGGCGCCTTGTCAGGTGTCGTCTGGATTGAAGATCCTGGGGCTGAATTTTGGTAGTAATCAATCAGTTTCGAAATGTCAAATTCTGGTGAGGGCGACGTCATCTTTGGTGGTCGCTCAAATGGCAGCTGTGGTTGTTCGGTGGATAAAGAAGGGTGGTGGAAAAGAATACAGGAGCCGTATGGGCTAAAGAATGTACTGGTGGGTTAACGAGCTGGATGCCTGATGTCCATGTCTTTGGTGCAGTCAGCACGACGATGCTATCAAATGTCTTCTGCCTCCTTAGCGTAGTCTCATCAGAGGAAGGTGAGCTTTCATGATGTCGCAACTACTACATTGGCTATCTTTTCAGTGACGATACTGCCAGCCTTACTCGTGCCTTATACCTACCTATAACGGCGTTATTGCTGATTGGGTATCGCATTCTTATAGAACACAGTTTCCGCTTCGAATATCTACCATGCTATTTCACCAGTCGTTCTCACCAGTTGGAATATGTTTATCAATCATTCCTATTGTCTCGCACTCCAATTGATCAACGTGAAGCCTTTGGGCTTTGGATGCGTGGGGTGGCTATGAAATAGCCCATAATACAAAGGATGGAAGAAATTGCTTTTCGGGGTGTTCTTTAGTAACAGCTATACGGGGAATACGGCGATGTCCAGCGCGTTGGCGATGACATCAAAAGGCGACTCGAAATTCTCACGGAATGCATTGCATCCTGAAACTTATAAGAGAGTAAACTGAACGTCACGGTCACATACAGATAGAACTTAACCACTAAGCCAACACATAAAGATGCCATGTTGTGGTGTGGAAGCAGCAGGAGCAATGACGAAGCTAACCCCAACTCTTGGCACATGACTCAACCGCTCACCACTCCCCACCATCCAAAAAGTCCCCCTCACAGCAACCAATCTCTCCCAAACGCCTCAAAATGAGTACCACTGACCCAGCAGCGGCCGCACCCGCCAAAACAGCACCCACCTTCGACATAGTCGCGACCTACCGCCGCATCCTCCAAGATGACCCGGAACTCACCATGCCCGTAGCAGCCATCGAATCGCTCGTAGAAGCCATCTCACAAAGTAGCGTCTCCACGGTAGCCGAAACGCTCGACCTCCTCGAACGCCACACATCCGCCCTAAAAGCCTCCATCGCGAACCCAATCTCCCTCTCCGCCGGCACCGACCTCTTCCAACGATACCTAATCACAACCCTGAACCGCCCCGCGAGTCTAAACCTCGGCCCCGACGACGACTTCCGCGCAATTCGCAACCACCTACTTTCGAACGGCAAGCTCTTCGTGGACCGCGCCAAGCAAAGCCGCGAGAAAATTGCTAGTTTCGGTAAACATTTCATTCGCGATGGGGCTACCGTGCTTACGAACGGGGGGTCGCGCGTTGTAGGCGCTTTATTGCGTCGAGCTGCTGAGTCAAGCACGCTCCGGTTTAAAGTCATCTACGTACTGCCGGCCTCCAACTCGCTCGATTCGAAAGAAGGATTGCAAACGGTGTCGGACCTACGCGAACACAATGTCCCCGTTGCTACGATCCCCGATTCTGCAGTCGCGTACTCGCTGGGCAAAGTCGACATGGTAATCGTTGGTGCTGAAGGCGTTGTAGAAAACGGAGGCATCATTTCGCGCATGGGGACGTACCAACTCGGCGTGCTGGCGAAGAGCAAAGGAAAACCGTTTTATGTGGTCGCCGAGAGTCATAAGTTTGTGAGGTTGTATCCGCTTAGTCAGTTTGATCTGCCCATGGAACAGAACGTGTTGGATTTCAAGGTTGCGGAGGGGCAGGTGCAGGGGCTGGGACTGCAGCTGGGGGGTAAGGATGAGGAGGCCGAGGGCAAGGCCGAGGAGGAACAGGGGAATGTTTTTGACGAGGCGATTGCGGATATGACGGCGAAGCAGACGACAGGGACTGTTAAGCCGCTTGAGGCTCATGATGCTGTTGATGTTACTGTAAGTTTGCTCATGGCTTTCCATATCACATCGTTTTCTTCTATATCTACCGTCTCATCACTTCATTTTCTACGTTCATCAACCAAACTAACACGTCCTCTAGCCACCCGACCTCATCTCCGGTATAATAACCGAATCCGGTGTCCTCACCCCCTCAGCTGTATCTGAGGAATTGATTAAAATCTGGTTTTGATCGCTGCGAAAAACCACGCACTCCTAACAATGTATTGAAATAAAAAACGTGGATACTACTACCGAAAAGAAAAAACTGTATTTATAGACAGGAAGCGTCGGGAAAAAACCTTTGTTTTGGTGAACCGCGGCGTATACTGAGGATAGATGATGACGATGATACCCAAGAATAGAACGATAAAGAGGACTTCAATGGAAATATTTCCAACAATTCTGTGTGGGACGTGGTGATGTATTCTTCCAACTTATCTTATGGGAACTTTTGGATCATGAAATCAACGACGCGTCTTGAGATCTGGGAAAATAATGGTATTGTAAGTCGGACTGGACGCATCGTTATGACGCATACGATGATCCGATACGATCATGATGTTTGGATCATGGTGCATTTGTGCACTCCAAACAGGTGGGTATCGCTAAGAAAAAATACAGGACAATAGGAACATAACTTCATCTATAAAATCCAACCAGCTTTCTTCTTCGCCTCTCTCGTCGTCATGGGCTTCTCGACTGGTGGCGGAGGTTTGATATCGCTGAGGTCGGGGAGGGGATCATTGTCTCTGATGTCTAGGATGGTCATTTCTCCGGTTGGAGAGGGGCTTTTGTCACCTACGGGGCCTCCTTCGAGTTCAACGCCATCGTCATCCTCCTCAATCTCGGGCTTGTATTCTTCAACGTCGTCAACATCCACACCATCCTCATCATCTTCGTCATCGACTCCCTCCGCGCTTGCGCCTGTCTCGATGTCTACTGCATCGCCGTCGACGCCATGCTCCTTCATGTACAGCTCCAGCTCCTTTGCCATCTTCTTGCTGAAGCCTGACGCCTGCACTTCGACGTCTAGTCTCTTGACAAGATTCTTGGTTGCGTCCTTGAGGAATGGGCCTGGCTCGTCGCTTGTGAAGCCATAGCGGCGGTCAAAGTAACGCTTTATGCAAGCGACATCGCGGTCAAAGTAGTACTCAGCGTTGGCGTGATCTATCGAGACCATTTGCGGGAAATCAATAATAGTAGGTATTAGCGTTACGCTGCCGTCCTTCTCTGTGTGCTCCTCGACTAGGATGTTGAACTCGTTAAAGTCACCATGGATAAGACCGTATTGTGCGAGGCGAACGATGAGAGTCATGAGTTCTGAGTAGAGGGTCGCGGGATCGCCGACTTTGGAAATCTGGCGCAAGGGAAAAGCGTCGATGAGGCTCATCACTACCGTGTGTCTGTTCTGGCCGAGCGGTTCGGGCACTGGAAAGCCTTCGGCTCGCAGCGCCTTCATAAACTCGTACTCTTTCACGGCGGCGAGGCGCGACATGTACATCCAAGAGCCTCCCTGTCGATTGCGTAGGTAGTCGCGGTTCGCCTTGACGGTACGGAAGGATATGCGACCCAGGCGGTGGATCTTGAGAACCAGCTGCTTGCCCGTATCCGAAGCGCAAACGATAATGTCCGACTCTTTTCCTATGCCAATCTGGTTTCCTACAGAGTACACCGTCGACGCCTTTTGGTGCGTGTGTAGGGCGAGGTAGTCCAGTCCGCCATATGTGAGTCGGTAGCCGTCATACTTTGCGTTCTGAATTTTGGCGATGAGACCGAGTTTGGCAAGATTGGATATACACCTGTGAACGCCGGTGCCTGAGCGGAGAGAGGCAATTTGCGAAATCAAAGCGGTAGGTACAAGTTCATGGTTGCGACTGCCCGTCTCTGTCTGCCGTCTTCATCAGTAACGTAACGCGTTAATACCCCCACTACAAAAAGTTGATGTGCGGGCAAATACAAGGTGTAGGCACTTACCGCTCTCAGAACTCTCCAGTCATCGGGGAGGAGATAACGGATGTTCTTGACGTTTAATTTCATGGTCGGGGTACGCTGAAGGCGCCAGGTTGTGGTATTTCGGGTGGAAGTGAGGCTTGTAATTTTTGGCCGCCGCTCTCTCATCATCGGAGGACGGTGCTTGGCGCTAGCGCGGCGGAACCAACGCGAAGCCAGAGCTGCCTGCCTCATTGACATCAATCCGCCCATTATCAATCCCCGACTACTTCTCCCTCTCCGGTCCATTCGAGCGGCGCCTATACATCTCGGCAATTCATAATCACGCTCAAACAGTCGATATCACCGCCGCTCCATCCCCGCACGAGCGCCATAGTTCGCCGCTTGCCCTAGGTACATTTCGTAATCACCATGGCCAAGGACGACGAGAAGAAGCCCACGGCCGCCGACAAGGGCAAGGGCAAGGCGCCCGCTGCCAATGATGCAGATACGGCAAAGGATGCAAAGCCAGATGTCGAGGACAAGAAGGCCGGCGTCGCAACCACTGGCGGTATGTTGAGAGTCGGCGGCATAGCTGTTGTAGTCGCCCCAGGCCATTTATACTGACGGTCAATTACAGAGGAGCTCAGTGAGGAGGACCAGCAGCTCAAGAGCGATCTTGACATGCTGGCAGAGCGGATACTGGTGAGCTATTCAGCTTGCCTCGTGCCCGCAACATGCGCTGATCATCCGCGTCTAGGGTCCCGATACCAGCCTCTATAAGCCGGCCCTCGAGCAGGTCAAGGAGTTCATCAAGACATCGACGAGCTCAATGACTGCCGTGCCCAAGCCTCTCAAATTCCTCCGGCCACACTACGAGAACCTAGAGAAGGCCTACGCATCATGGCCCGGCGGCGAGAACAAGGTATGCAAACACGGTGCTGCAGGACAGACGATTTAGGGCTGACTCCAATAGCAATCGCTTGCCGATATGATGTCGGTATTGGGAATGACATACTCGGATGAGGAGCGTCTGGATTGCCTAAAGTACCGCCTCGAGGCGCCATCAACAGATCTCGGCTCATGGGGCCATGAGTACATGCGCCATCTTGCGCTCGAGATTGGCACCGAATATCAAAACCGCCTGAATGAAGAC